TCAACATCAGCACATGTTTCTGTTATCATCACAATGTATTGTAGGATTAAAGAAAGGTTTAAACTTTGAAGACTGAGAACTATATGAGATAATGTTTTAATACAGACATCATTACTGCTTCATGAGTTCATGTTTACATTTTCCGTGTTATATACAAACTAAAAGCTTCGCATTCTTAATGTGTAGCCATGCAGGATTAAATTTCTTGCTCTTTTGCAGCTGTTGTTAATATAGTGATAAATCTTGAAGTGTCAGGCGTTTAAGTAATCTGTGCCTTCTGTCACTAAAGAAAACTGATAAAATAGCTCGAGCTGTTTGACGTGTATCCATTCCAAGTATTCCAGTAGAACGACTTGGGTCATCGTCAGGCGATTCGTGTACTTTCGCGCGGTGTGACTTCTTCAAAGACAGGTTTAATTGTTTCTTGGTGCATGGGTCACTTTGTTTCATTGTAAAGATTCTACTCTTGTGGATTTAAGAACAATACTGACTCATATTTTATGTGGATAAAGATAAAAAACAGTTGCTTGTGATCGATTATTTCAACTTGTGTATATTTGACATATATTACCATAAAGACGAAGCATATATGGGATGATTACAGCTGGACTGGAGTAACCTTTGATCAACAGAGGGCGGATTGGAAATGAATTAAACTTTTCTATTATTTGCATTGTTGGGCGCCCATCCTCTTAGCATATATACAACCTCTCGCTGGGCAGAGATAACCCGAAACCCCTGACAGTTACGACAATATATTAATAATTGCATGCTTATTATAAGTCGTTCATCGTTCCATCTTTGACTCAATCATTCATGTCTGTCATGGAGCTATTCTAACGTGACTGCAATACCCGACTGAACAGCTGTCCAGATAACTATCTGAAGGTGTAAACAGGACCTATAGGTCTGATTCTCCAGAATATTCAGTCATATCATAAATTAAAAACATTGTTGCCGCGTTGAGCGTGCCTGATGCCATGAGTTACCGAATTGATATATGTTATCTATTTCAACTAAGTGGAGAATAAACGTCATCCATGGTTTTACGTTGCTATCCTTGGCATACTTCAGTGATTACTTACAACCAAAGAATGTACCGTTTGTGTTACTAAAAGACGTTCATCTGTGTGGCAGATGACTGTTCAAGAATTTTATTAAAATGAGATCATTGGTTATAATCATTGGATTCTTTGCAAGCGCAAGTTGTTGGCTTTCTGAAAGGGGTAAGCTAGGATTATTCTTGACATTCTACTAATGATGGGCAGCCAGCATTAACAAACTTAGCTATATCAGCATTCTGTTAAGCTTATTCAGTCATTTATACAAGATCGCGTGCTGTAATTGCCCGTAGGCCACTATTAGCGAACAAGTTGTCTTTTTCCGTGGCGCGGTGAAACTCATTACTGATGTCATCGGAGTAGTTGAAGAAAAATACTTGAAGTGCAGGTTCTAGCCAACATATACATCAAATAACTAAGAGGCGGGATTTATATATTTTCTTTTAATTCCTATGTGATTTTTCATCAGTTACTCAATGTTTTAAAGGCGTGATTTTATTGTGATTTTGTCAACTTTAGTGATTTTCACAAGAACAGTTAGTTATAAGAAGCAATGTCTATGATTGATTCCCCTCATGAAGGTCATGAAACAATATTACAAGACACCCATCATCGTTATATTTTCCAACACAAATATTTAAACTGAAGTTACTTTGCAATTTTCTTAATTTCTTAGCAATTTCCTCTTTTTTGTTTTCCCACAATACCAAGCACTTAGTTTTCAACACCGAATGGGAATAATTTAATCTGCAGGTATCCATATTCCATACACATTCTCCTCGTGTTTACATGTTTACATGCATATACGATGATTTTGTTTAGGACTAGAACTTTTGATTTTTACAGCTAAACATAGCATGTACGGGTTTCATAAGTTTACTTCGAAAACCTGGTGAATCGATCGAGTATTTTGTAAAGAGAAAAGTACGTATATGATTTGGAACATGCATATTCACATTTTCCGGGTGAACTTTGGAGAATGGTAGTTCTTTTAGCTCTAGTACCAAAAACAATGGAAGGGTAGATCAAAGTTCCGATGAAGCCGATATGGCAAAATGCCATAGGAAAATTCATACGTAAAGAAAATGACGGTCATTGACCATGACTGTTCTCTTCTATGATTATCATAATTACGACTCAGCACTCTAGCACGTCAGTATGGCACATCCATAAGGACTATAGATTACAGATTGCTGACTTTAGATTACCTATTATTACTTTTGAAATATGCATGACATTTTCACATTGACTGCACGAAGTATTCTTAGGGCCTCCATGCATGCATGTACTCTGTATTTCGAGAATATTACTGCATGAGAATATATAAAGAGGATGTTGCAGGCAGGAATACTTAGGTTTATGTCGGAAGGCCTTCTTTACACAATTCATTGTGAACGGCAACTTGTAACTGGTTTGGACGTTTTCATCTCTCGTGTCCTAAGAGTTAGTTGTAACTGGGGGACTGGGGACTCGTATATACCAAGTTGCAAATAGATATTTGCATGATTAAAAACATCTGAAGTACAAAACGACAAGACGCCCCTACAATAAAGTTACATTTCTCTCGGACTACGTTGAAACGGGGTCGAAATTGCGTAAATATTAATATTATAATCCTAATACTGATGAACAGCTGTAATCTTTTTATCTGTGAAGTGTCGACGATGGCACTCTATGAATATTTAATCATCTGAGTCTCTTAAACTTGCATGTGACAGAGCAGTTGATGTTGAGTTTTAATGCAAAAAATAATTCTTGACAAAATAAGTTTTGGTTCAAGAATGTTCTTCATAAACTTTATTTAATTTAAAATCTATATCAGCTTATTCCTCTGATAATGTTGTTTTTAGAGGGGATGCCAGATAATGAAGCACTAAGGCAAATATACATATTCTATTGTTGATACTTTTTTTGGTTAGTAATTTTAGCACACAGATGGCATAAAAAACGTAACGTATCATCCTCCACTAACAACTTGATTTGAAACAACAAGTATCTCACAAACGGCGAGGATTTACTACCACACTTGCTGATGCCTCTACGATTTTTCATCATTCTTATCCTGCATTCATTAGGCGTTTGTAAACTTTTTTTTGAGATTAATCCTCTGATAAATAACTTCTATTATTACTTCATACCGTCTAAAAAAACACCTCTAAAAAGACACCTCTGTGCATGTGCAAACAGCCTATATAGCATTAGTTAGTGCATGGCAATCAAATATGGCAAACGTACGATTCTTATCTAGTGAATAAATCATTCATGCATATGTGAAAAGATATATAAATAAAACAGATGTAATTAAAAACATGAATTTGTGACGACACTGACATGTTTTAATTACTGCGCCTGCTTTATAAAAGTTTTTTTAACCTCAGATTTATAAAGTAATATTGAAAGGTAATTTAAGCTGTTTTAAAAACTCGCCATGTTGCTTTTCGCTTATCTAACGATTTTAATGAGCTCCAGACACTTAATGCACTTGTGGCTTTAATCAACTGATATGCAGTTAATGGATAACGTAAATGTAGATAATAAGTTTGGTCTAATCCATCCCCCGTCTCCCCCTCTCCTTATAGACCATGCAAGCAAAATATTTCAACATGGCAATTGTTTTGATCAGTATTCTAATGATCAGTTTTACCAGCCTACCTGATGAAATAACAAATACCTTGCAATCTACAATTGGCTATTTTAAAATGCTGGGGCCATCTGTGGATATATTGCTATATTAATTGCCGCACAATTCCATGGCCATAGAAAGTTCTGGTATATGCTTACAAACTCGGAAAACTTTGGGCAAATGCGACGGAAAAGGCACTCTCCTTTAAGATTTTTAACAGCTTAGCTTTCGGCAGTGAAGTGTATAAAAAATCTATTGATTTGATGATGAATGCATCTGCAATCTTGGTAATTGAAAGGAGAACTATAAATCAACTGATATGGTATTTAAAGTAACAGCATTGCAAAATATGAGATACGATCAAAGATAACTGCAGGTAGCGGCGTGGCAGCTTCTTCAAATTTTCAAATATACCAGATAATGTTTTGTCTTGATAGTTCCTCAGTCTGGATAGTTCATCAGCCTTGTGTGAAACTGACCTCTCGTGTAGTTCTTGGGTAGTAACATGAAATGCCTCATTATCTATTTATTATTTTTAATGCGTTCGTCCGAATGAGAAGTGCACACTCCTGACAAAGGTCGTTTAGTGATCTTTTTTGTGTATTTTTGGCAGTGGGTTCAGCGAGATTTTCATTGTGTAGTGAGAAATTGCTTGCCAATTCATGACGCGACGACTTTCCGGCTGGAGAAACTTACGTTTCCTCATTACTTATAGAAGAGATATTATTTTAATACAAGCCCAAATAGAATTACTTTCCATCATTCTATGATATCAATTGACACGAGCATCTTGTATGAAACTGGATCAAGGACAGGAAATAAGACAGCTTCGTTCCCAGGTGCCTTAACTTTTTACAATGTCACGTGAGAAGCGCTCCGGGTACCACACTGGAAACGAGATTGTCCAAGTATACTCGTAAGGAAAAGAGGAGAAAAGTGGGTTCGTTGTCGTATCACGATTCCTACGGAATCGGGCATGTTATATCTGCACTCTCATGTGACGTCAGAGCGGCTATGTTTGCACACACTGTTGGAAAGTTGTTCTAATTCACTGAAAAAAATTGTGAGCTGCATGAGAGAAAAGTGAATATTTCGACGAATACTTTATGAGGGTTGTTCTAAATGTCTAGTCATTTTACTAAAATTGAAAGAATTGTTTCCTATTTTTTATTTGGGCACGGTTTCGGCCTCGCAAAACCTACTGCGCCCACGTTCAAGGTAAACAGCGATTATACCCAGGGATTAAACGCGGTGTGACTCCTGCATCCGGTTTTTGTTGCAACATCCGGTTGAACTTTTTCACCGCATCATTCACAATAGCACCGCAAACCAGCGCAAAGATAAGACATTGTTGCGTTAATCGTTGTTAAATAACGTGCGTTCACAAAAATTCCGTTTAATAACCCTAATAACATAACGATTGGCTGGGTTAGTATGAAAGACGCCTGAACTTAAACCAATGGATTTGGGAAGAAATATTTTCGTTCTTTACATTGCGGCGATTAGTTTCAAATTGTGTTGTACAACACTGGCTGATGAGGACGTGCTTTTACACCGAGGTAGAAATATCAAACCTTTATTAATGCTTGTTAATAATTGAGAAAATATCGAAAAATGACGTGATCAAATTTGCGGATTCAAGTTGAGAAATTTTGATCTACAGCTGCCGTCTTTTGCTGTAAAAATCTGTTTTAAGATGTACATTTGCCACCTTTGTCTGTAACTTATGTACATATTTTTGTCTATTAGGTGCTTTATAATATAATCGACGATTCGACATGTTGTATATAGTATATAACTGTTATTTATTGGCCGTTAACACTGATTATATACTCATGGTTATTGGAGTCATAGTGTGAACCATGTTGTAGTGAATATTCTCACTATATTTAAGTATACAAAAAGTTCTTAGATTGTAGAATTTATCAAAATACAGTTTGAATGTTTTCAAGACACTAACACGATATTTTGCACTTTGTTGTAGGTCATGTGTCAAAAACTGATACCAAATATTTAAACAAAGGTTAGTATACCCACCGTATATATCACCATTTTGTCTCGTTTGTCAAATCGTAGGACACTTTACTAGTATTGAAACATAATGTTATCCTCTATTCCTTTAATAAACTGACTGATTTGGATGAAGTCGAACTGTCGCATGTAAACACTCTTAATTCGTCGTGTACATAACGCGACCACTACGGTCCTCAGCGCTACAACGAACGCGTCATTTGCTAAATGCGCAAAAAGAGAGAGTTTTCGTCTTTATCGAGTCGTATTTGTATCTACGAACGATATAGCAACGTCAAAATTGTTTGTTTTACAATTTTTCTGGTGTATATATGTGTGTGTGCGGCGCGTGATAATTGAATATGTCATTTAATATCATGCATGTTTGAATTTCATCTCTTGAATTTCAAGCTGCGATTAAACTATAAACATTTTGCTGGTATTTTACTGCGTCGTGCAACCGTTAAAAGTTTTCATTTCTTACACAATCAGACATATAGCATCATGCTGTGAAACTGCATTTAAAAGTCGACGAATGTACCACCTCAAAACCTTGCAATTTACTTTGGTTTTATTGGTATTTAAATTAATCCTTACGACATCAATCTGAGTTATCTTCAGCTATTTAAGATAGCTAGTAAACTCTTTCTTGCCAGATGAAATTACTAACATATATGGAAGATAAGGAAGAGCTCAAATCCTTGACTTTCGGTTATGTAAACAACCCAAAAAGAAAAGTTTGTTTATTTTTGAAATCTCTCATTATCATCAAATCAAACTTGAAAATATATTAGTTGTTTTCAATGAACAAAATTTAGAAGAATGGATAATAATGCACAAAAATATTATTTTATTTCAAACTGGGCTTTATATATCCCCCTATATAAAAACAGTGCTTTGCGTGTTGTTTGATTTTTGCGTGATTGACTATCGCGTAACTTGAGTCCTACAGGTGCATGCAAGGGGACAATCTTAACTAATCTCAAAGATTTGCATTTTTTATATAAACTACTAGAATTAATGCAAGATGACAGGCTCCTCCCCTGCTCATAATAGACTCTAGTCTTTTTGGCAGTCAACCACTCAACCTTTGCATGCATACATGCAACGGAAAAATCGAGCCCGTTCTTTCTAGCGCTAGCATCCTTCTTTTCTGTTGCCTGCGAGTGCGAGACTTATAAATCCTAAACATTTAGATAGACCCTGCTGATTTCTCTAAAGACAGTGTTGTAGCGTTTCACTTTTTATATATACCCACCACGAGCTGTCCTGCATGTGACGTTTATTACAGAGTAATTATATCACTGCATGCATGTTATGCAGCGCTGGTTAAATTGTGATTTGTCGGCTAAAATTAAGAAGTACATGCGGATTGTTGTGCATCTCTGACTTACTAAGCGTTAAGACGTTGTCCTTCGCGTGACTCATGTCGACTTTATTGACATAATTCAAGCGTCATGTATTTATTTTGGCTCGTTCTTTGACAAATAAAAATGGTTGTATTGATTGCATATAGATAACCTCTGAATAATCATTATAATGAAAAATAAAGCGGACTAAAATTAAACATGATTAAGAATATAACGTTTTTTTATGGGAATGAATGCTTTATGAGAATTGTTTGATAATGAAAGCAAGCGACATGAAACTTTACTTGCATCGAAATCTAATCAATAGGAATGTGGCAACAACAATTTTTCCTGATTATAAGTATTTCTCTCTTTAAAATACCCTTCCTCCTCCTATCACGCGTATATTAGACGCCTGTTCAGTGGCGGATCCACTTAGCCAAAATAAACTGCGCACAATTTTAAATGCAAACTGAATCATAGTGCCTGCATGAATGAATAACGATGCTATATTGGATCTGAATTTCTGAAACTAAATTTTTAACAACGGAATGGAAGCATTAAAAATGTTGATGTATCCAAATGTGAGCTGTTATCGTTTATTTGACTAACAGTATATAAATCCGCTACTCGTCCTGCTGAATTATTTTCACACAGTACCATATAGGGTCGCAACTTTCAGAATTATCTAAGACTAAGGTTAGAAATTTATATGAATTTCCTGGCTTTGGGTCAATTGGGGTAAGTCGATTTAGTTCCGAAATCCTATTAGAAATGACGAAAACTTACCACTATAAACACTTTGTTACAATGCTATAGCACGCAAGATATATCGAGAAAGGTCAAGTAAATTCTGTGTCGAATTGCCAACTAATTAAATTTTAATTGATTAGAAACGACCACATGCGTTGCGCTGTCTGTAGCCTACGAGAAATCGTCTTCTTATCCGCAAGATTTCGAAACAATTTTGGCATTGCATCAACTACTTTACATTCTTATCTTTGCTGTCGTCATAATCAAATAAAATAGCGAAATTAATGCTAGCCTCGTTGTAATGAACTCGTTGTAATGAAAATTTAATTTACCTTTCTTCCAGCAGAGATATATATTGATTATGATGCACATTCTTAGAATGCTATAGGAAACACTTTTAATACTCAAAATGCGTAATTGTTTTGCTGTTTTAACTACAGCAGAAAGTAAATCTTGTCTGACATGCGTTTCCGATGTACAGGTTTCAGGAAATAATTCAAGTATTTTTGATGGAGTTAAGTCTCACATTTTGCCAAAACGCATTACTTTAAAAAATCAAACTGTGAAAACTGCACGGCTTGAATTACAGAGCTCCTCTATCCAATAGTGAAGTGTTCCTATCGATATTTCCGTCAACTGACGATAATTGTCCTAAATATAAAATAGGATGAAACAATTTTATGCCACGCCACACAAAATTTAGTCGAAATATATAGCATGCAGTGTTGTGATTCACAACAACTTGATGAACAAAGTCTAGAACCGTACAACATTGTCTGACCCTGTTTTTAATGAAGTAGTGAAGAAACAATATCACATGAACTATACGAAATACATGCACTTGCATCATATTGACAAGATAACACTTGTCCAACTGTTCATTTTTAAACACACGGTGATTCACCATAATCTTTCAGAATAATAAGTTTTTACGAGAAAAAAAAGTGTCGAAAAATCAAAATTTACTTTTCAGTTCGGTCTACACTTTACCTGATTTGAAAATTGCATGCAAATAATTAAATATCCCTTTTCTTGGCACTGATTGAGAAATATTTCTAGATTACTGTTTAATTCTTGTGTAAAAAACACATCTTCCGTTCGACTGATAAAGTATAATATGTTGAAGTATCTACGCAATGAGTGCAATCTGTGTTTCTGTCATTCAAATAAACTTAGAATAATCTTGCTTGACCAACCCAGGTCATATATTTTGTTATTTTTTCGACATGATGCGTGTTGTAGGTAGATAACTGATTGTGAAAAGGTTGTCGGGAACAAAAGTGGCAAAAAGCGCAAATATGTAACGTTTTTCTTCTACGTTACGAAAGTGGATGGCTTAATCTCCCTTTAATGAAATTAAAATTTACAAGAGAGGGTATATAGTGTTGTCGTGGGTGGAAAGGGGGGTATACAGTGTTGTCGTGGGTGGAAGGGGGGGGGTATACACGTGGATAGTATGTGAGTCTATATTAGAGGTTCCAAAATGACATTTCACTCAATTTATTTAAAGGGAAATGCAGCCCTAAAGAGATCCAGTACGCTAATGACATGAAATTTCTGTTATTTAGGCGGGTTTTACCGCGGTGCAAGTCATTACTGGCCACTCGACTATGAAACTCAGATAAGAGATGTGAGATATTCTCGTGATGGAAAATGGAAAGGAACGAGAGGGATTGTCACTGGAGAGAACAGAGGATATTTATCACTTTTTACCAATGGTTGGGTGCGATTAGGAAAATTTCTTGAGGAATGTTTATGTGATATTCACCTTTGTACAAAGAACGGATTTAGCGTTGCATTTTGGGTAAAATTACCAATTTATGATAATGAGACAAAAATACTGCTTGGTAGTGACACAAATGATACTGGGTTAATGATTTTTCAAACCACTCGAGCAGTAAATGGGACAGACGAACGCCATATTTCAGCAATTGTTTTTATGAAACAACGCAAGTGGCAATGTGATTTCCCCACCAAACCTGGGAACTGGTTATATTTAACAATCACGTGGTCAAATCAAAATGGATTGCGAATGTTTAAAGATAGTGTATTGATGAGTGAAGAAACAAGAGCTAAGATAGCTCCAGGTCGAGTATTTAAACAAAGGTATAAAAAGTGTGCAGTGGTATTGTCACCACCCACAGTTTACGGAACGACGCTGAAAGCTGATTACGACGATATTGTGATATGGCATTATGAACTGTCTAAAAATCTCATGAATCAAGTTTACAGAAACACCTTAGGTAAGGCAAGCATGTTTTACTAGAGATTCTTCTTAGAGGAATTTTTTCCAGTCTAATCATGCTATATACTTCAGATCGCCCGAAGATTGAAGAATGCAAAACAAACGGAACATCTTTAAACGTTCTCATCGATGATAGATATCAAACGTACAAGATAGAAAGAGATTTTCGGATTACTTGGTGGAGAAACGGAGTGGATGGAAGAGGAAAATATATTTCAAAAGCTCTTAATTTTAGTATTCATCATCTAGGTGAGTTGTAAGAAACAAATCGCTATATAGTAAATCATCATTTTCACCATGCATGCCATGGTGTGATGTATGCGGCGTTGTCATCATGTTGTGGTGGTACTGGTGTACAGTCTAAGTGAGCTGCCATCGTACTGTAGCTATATAGAAACAGTTATGATCGACATACATATGACTGTAAAATCACATCTTCTTATAAATTAGCATATAGGACGTTATAGTGTGGCTGTTTTGTGCTAGCTTGCTTTAATTAATTATAAACGAGCTCGGTTTTAATTCACTCTTTCTTTCCAGTTCAAAATTCAGAGTACATTGTTGAAGTTCAGCGCAGAATGTTCGTTAGTAAAAAGAATACATCAAAAATGGTTGTCTCAAAGTCATCCAGAGTTACGTGCAATACTAAACTTAACGGTAATATAAAAATTGTTGGTAAATAATGTTTGGACTCCATTGCAGATTTGCAACCATGTATAATAACTCGTACGATATATGCAGTATAGAAGTGTTTACTTGGTGTAAATTTTTACGAGACGGAGAATTTTATCAGTCCAGTTCATTGAAAAGCATGCAACCTTACTAAAATCAAAACTTTCCTAAATTCAGTTCCAGGAAAACCAAAGAATTTCGCAGTAAGAGAAAAAGCTGCGAGGTATTTTTTGCTAGAATGGGAAAAAATAGATGGTCCAGTTCAAGGGTATAAGGTTAGTTCTATCATATACTTGAAATAAATATGTTTTATAATCTCACACTTGTCTATGATCATCATGCAGCTGCGTGTTCGTCCACCGTTTATGCCATGAAATATTTTTGCATTAAAACCTGGTGTGCATGCATATATTTTGTTGCATGTTAAATAATTTCATATTTTCCCTATCGTGCAGATTTCTTATCGCAAAGATGACTTCAGAATCCCGGAGAAATGGTCCACCACATTCAGAGGAAATGTAGCCTCAGCGTACTTGGAACAGCTTGAACCTTTTACAGAATATATCATTACACTTGCGTGTAGGAATGAACATGGCATTGGCCAAGCAGTCACTCTTCGAGAAAAAACCGCGGAAGGACGTAAGTCTATTTGGAAAACCTTCAATCAAAACAATCTCATTTCACATTGTATATGAAACCGTGCATGATGATTACGAATGGTTGCTACGAGTGATAGCTTTGTATAACTGTTTGTCAAAAGTTCGTTCATGTAATTAAAGTTCATATAAATAATAAGACAAAGCATTGTTTTTTTGAATGATGCAAAATCAGAGTGAACTATTCAGTATTGATTATATCTTTCTTTCTTTATAGTTCCCATGGAGCCAAGATATTTGAGAGTAAAGCAAAAAGGAGAAATATTGGTGATAAAATGGCGACAACCAAAAGAATTAAATGGATTAGTAGATTATACATTGTTTGCCCTAGTGAACGGCAACGAGAAAACAATATGTAGTGCCTGTGGCGAATCATACAGATTGGAGTACGTTGAACAATATACAGAGTATACATTCTGGGTGATTGCAAGGAATATAAAGAATGGGTATATGAGTCCACCATCTAATAATGTCACGATTACTACGCCTTCATTCAGTAAGTAGGGTCTATTTCGAGTTAAAATTTGATAACAAATTACTTATATTTGCTTCAGTGGCGGATCTAGGGTAGTCAGAATGAATCACTACAGCTGAAAATCGCAATCTCATTGGTAGATTTTTATTTAAAAATATTATTTTGAAGTCCATAACCAATACCGTTGTTATTAAGGTGTTTTAAATTTAAAATTTAGCTGTGTAATTTATCCTGACTACCCCTAGATCCGTCACTGATTTGCTTTAATATGAGACTAATTAGCAAAAATGAAGGTCTGTAGTCTATACAACATTTTGTTTTTCCTTATTTAGCGCCAAGTTCACCGCGCAATCTAACCGCTACGTTTACACAAAATGGAATCCATGTTAGCTGGGAAACATCCAAAGTTCCAAGAGGGCAAGTAGAGTATAAATTATTTGGTCGTGTAAATGGACATCAACAGCTTCTTTGCGATGAATGTAATCTGCAGTATTTAATGAAAAATGTCGCCAGAAATACTCAATATGGATTTTGGGCCGTAGCGTACAACGTTCATAAAGGTTATGAAAGTGCTCCAACTGGCGAAGTAATCATCGATACTGGATTGTATGGTGGGTAATCTTAGTTTGTATATTTGATATATTTTGCAAGTGTTTTTCAAGTATGTTTGGAAATTATTTAAATTATTTAACATCAATTTCGCTGCCTAATTGGATGTCATTTTTTCTTGCTCCAGTACCAACAACCCCAGCAGGACTGAGGGTCAGTTTATTATTAGAAGGAATTCTTATCTCCTGGAACAAATCTCAAGTGGAGTATGGCAGAGTGCGCCATCAACTCTTAGGACTGGAAAATAACGTGAAGAAAGTATTTTGCTGGGATTGCGGATTGAAATACTTGATTAATAAATCAGAACCAAACATGAATTATTCATTCTGGGTTGTTGCTCACAATATGCAAAATGGATATGAAAGCATTCCTAGTTCAGTTGTTGACTTTCATACCGCCCGTAGTAGTAAGTATTATATCCTTCACGTAACGAGGAATATTTTGCTGGCCACTTGTTGATACACAAACTTTCGAAACATGAATTTTGACTTTCATAAAATAAACTTTACAGTGTTGTACACCAAATATTTTAGAGAGATATATCAAGTTATCACCAAATTCAATCTTGCCACAATTTCTTGATATTGGTTTTAGTTACAAATCAAAGGTCTCAATGAGACGACTCACGGATACACGAATAGCCGATTAATTGTTGGCTAGAAGACTAACCAGATAAACAAGTTTTTAATACTAAGCGCGAGTTAATGGCACTAAAGGATGCGAGACCGTTAGCAATGACTCCCTGATACTCCTACGGATATCTGTGAGTCAAAAAGTAATAAGCGTAAAATCTCAGTAAACTTGCTTTTCGTTGATTTTCAGAGCCGCCACCGCCTGAACTTATTCTTGCGCCAGAGGTTAAGGATTCCAGTGCTAGAATAACATGGAGTCCTCCGAAAAGCATGCATGGAAAAGATGATGTCATTGGCTATAAAGTTACTTTATATAATGCCTTTAATATCCTTCATATTGAAACAACTGAAAGTCTTCAACTCGAGCTTAGTAATCTGACGCAATTCTCAAAGTATTACGTGACGGTTCAAGTATTATCTGGGGCAGGTTACGGTCGTCCTTCACAGCAATTCACTATACAAACTAAAGGTTTGTAAACAATGAATAAAATAATGATCTCGGCAGTAAGAGTTTCAAGAAATTAGTTTATATACCTAATCAATCAATTTTACATTCTGACATTTAGATACAAACGAATGTATAATGGATGGTACACCCTGTGGTGAACATGCGCAGTGCGTCAACTCCGCGGGCTCTTATTTCTGCTCTTGTCTGCCCGGTTTCGCTGGGGACGGGATTCGCTGTAAAGGTATAAAAACAGTGTTCATGTATGTCGTAAACCATGCTTAACTTTTTCTTATTTGACGTCACGATCACGCACGCAGCAAGCATATTAGGCAGGGTTAATTCTCGTATGAAAATATTTATATTATTTGCATATCAGCGCTGCCATCAGAAGTGACAGAAACAGATTTTTGTCCTGAGGAGAAAACAAGAAATGTCACATGGAAACGAACTTATCGTGGACAAACAGACAAAAATCTTTGCCCTAATGGAACAATAGGTATAAAATATATTAACAGTAATGTTGGTTTTCTAGAATGAATGGTTCATCCTACTTTCAGTGGCAACGAAAACTCAGTCGCATGCATGTGTAGTGTTTGCTCGCGACTAGAGCAACGCACATATAAGCCTGGAATAGCTCTATAAAACCCATTGAATCCTATATACGTGCAGCAATAGTATATCGATCTGATAGTATAAAATATCAATAAACCTTTCCTGATTTAACATGTATGTTGTAATTTCAGGCATCACGACACGAGAATGCCTAAAAGGAAATGCTAGCACGCCATACTGGTCAGATCCCAACTTGAGTAATTGTGTTTCTTCTTGGATGTCCGCAGTAGATGACAAAGTACGATATGAAATTTATTTTTTACGTTGAATGCATTTGTAATAACGAGATCCAGGATGTCATGAAGGAAATTTACGTTATGATTATAAGAATTGGGTACTTGATGCTGCGTGAAATGGAATCGTAGCTCACTCCTGAGTATAGCTGTCTGCCGTTTTATTGAGCCATATTTCGATTGCATGGCTTTAATTAAACTTTATTCGTTGTTCCTCTCTGTTTACTGAAGTGTTTTTTTGAGACTTTTCAAGTTTTGAAACCACACGTGCAATCAATTTTTCTTTTGATATAGCTCGCCGACCAAACACTGAACTCAACAGTGGTTGGGGATTTTTTCCTGAATCTTCTCGACAAGAATGGTGCTAGAGGTTTATATGGAGGAGATATTATAAAGACTGTAAACGTCATTGATCAGTTGTATAATAAGAGTCAGCAAAATGAACTGAATGAAGAATTGACTAATCAAGAAATTACCGAGAGTTTGCTAACGGTAAGATTCATGGTGTTATATAATATGCTAAACTAAAATTATGTCACAGCTCTCATTCCTCTGGTTACTCCTATTCCTATATCTTCTATTTAGAACCTAGTGAATATCACAGAAAAAATTATTTCACCAAAATCATTGAAAGTTTGGGATGACATACCCAAGGTTAGTTTTAAGAAGTATTTTTCTGTCATATATGTAACCTGCAGTTCGACTTGATTTAATATATTAATGTTACTAAGAACTTCGAGTTCAGATTTCCCTCACCAACAAGATGATAAAATCTTGCACAAGATCTTTTATTGTTTACAATCGAAACTTTATATCTTTTTGCAGGAGCAAAGAAGTGAATATAGTGTCAGAATAATTGATGGTCTAGATAACGCTGTTTTGAAATCGGCCAAGATTGTAAATTTTTCTTCTATTCAAAGTGAACATATCGGTAAGTATTTTGAATGATTAACAACACTCAGATACGTGAGCGCTGTTCAACCGGGGACTCGACTGAATCAAAACGAGAGTAGCGATCAAAATACGTCCGATGTTTATTTCGAAAAAAAATCCATTTTCTGGCTGAATTTGTTAATCTTCACATCTTGCACCGCAGTAGCGAAGGAGACAGTAAAAAAAGATTTGTAGGAACTGGAGAAATTCAGGGTTCTATTCAATTAAAATTATAAACAAGATGGAAGAAAGCATAAATGAAGGTTAACAAAATGTTTGAACTGCACGCTTATCATCGTATTTCTTCGTTTCAACTTCAGGTATTCGGTATGGAAAAATATCACATTTTAAACGGAACACCAATACGACGTCTTCCGATAAACACATGAGTGAAATGGATAGTATTAAATTCCCAGAGCAAGAGGAAGGGATGGATATTGAAGGTACATTCTTCCTGCATGGGATGGTTTAACATTTGGATCATCTCTGGTTCATCCCTGGATCATCCCTGGATCAGTGTTCTTTTATTGATTTACCTCTGTGACAGAAATCTGCTCATACGTTTATAAATGCAGCCATTTATTCCTACATTTTCGTTAACAATAGACCAAACTGCAGCAGTCATCTTGTACAACACAATTGAAGACGTTCTGTCGGCTGGAAATCAGCAATTACAGTGAGATTTTTATCGTGTTTTTTGACTTGTTAAAGAAAAGACAGGAATACTAGTTAATCCTTTTTAATAACTTTCTATAGTGATAAGGATTTTGTCAATACCGCAGTTCTTTCCATCTCTACAAGTCCGCCTGTATCCACACCATTTCGAAAGCCTTTGGAGTTTATATTAAAAAACGAAAAGGTTGGTGAACGTTTATTTTTACAGGTTTTTTGATGAATTTGGTAATGATGTTTATGTAATTCTTTTTTTTACTTTCTTTAAGGATGGACAATTTGACAAGCACAAATGTGTATTCTTCAATACTTCCAGGTATGCATATGTCGAGTTAGTTCTGTAATATTGACAGTATGTGGCGCCCAGTATATAGTTTCATGTGGATTGTAGATTGTTAATTTAACGTTTATTCATTGATTCTTATTCGTTGACCCTCGATCATTATTTTAGTCATTATTTTAATTACTCATGCAGTCCTAAAATTTATATACTTGTGTACTGATATACTTGTATGTTGATAGTTGTATTCGTGCAAGAATGTGACAATGATTGTGCGTGCTAGCTACTTCAATTCTCTTGAGCAATTTTTGGTGATTTTTATTTGTTTTGTTTTTGAGGAATCCTGGTTCTTGGTCAACGACTGGTTGCCAAGTGTTTAATGTAACTGGAAACTTTACTGTGTGTCATTGCTATCACATGACGAGCTTCTCAGTTCTCATGCAAATACAACCTGTAGAAATGTCGGTAAGTCAAGTTTATTAATCACCATCGCTCTATAGGGACGCCAGCTTTGATGAAAGAAAGCACGTTTTCATAACTCGCTATTTTTTGACCGTGCGTGTGAAAACCTTACCAAGCAAAAGCTATATATGTTAGTTAGTCGACCTCCAAAGAGATCTCATTTTTGATTAGTGTGGACTGTGGAAGTCGGTAAAATCTGTACTTAGTCTCCCGTAAAACTTGTTTATATCATTCTATTTCAGGATTCAGAGGAGTTAATATTAAGTTGGATCACTCGTGTTGGTTTGTGTATTTCCCTTGTGGCTCTTGGCCTGGCATTTATCACATTTGTTTTTCTGCCGTGAGTAAATCATTAATGTTATAAGCTTTCGAAAAATCCCTGCAGAAATACTTTTAAAATAATATAGGTCATTACGTTGCTTGCATAAAAGACTTCATTCCAAGTAGGCTTTTTTACAGCAAACCTGTGTTCAGGATTTGGAGAATCTGTTTTTATCAATTTGTTTAGGCGACCTTGTGGTTATAAATCTGGTTCGCAGTGTTTTAAATTGTGCGATCAAGGGTACAGACCAACGTAAGTATTGTAGCTATATCACAGAATATAATCAGAAAACAATTAGAATCGATAATCGATCATTTATTTAGAAAATCTTATGCAGAGATCTCCAATTTGAATATATTTCTTGCCGCTCGCTGTAGCAATGAACTGAAAAAAGAACTATCGTTGTAGTATATCAGAAGAAAATGACTTTCCCAAAAATTTTAAAACGTTGGATGTGCATGACCCAATACGTAATTAATTCCGAGAAATATTCTCCAAGAATAGACATCATAAATCATCTGCTTATACAATATCACACATTCTTAGATATTTGAAAAAAGTTCGAACAAGTATTCATGCAAATTTAATATTATCTTTGGCTCTTGGAGAAGCGTTGTTTTTATGGGGAATTGAAAAGACGAATCATGAGGTGAATATGTGTACAAATGCATGTTTAGTAAATCTAGCAAATCTTTATCCAACGGTAATGTTTTAGCTTCCCTTGTCGAATAGTATTATTTAAGACTGAACAATTAGATGAAATAATGTTTGTTTGTTTGTTTTTGCAGAGGACGTGTTACGCTGTAGCAGTGGCGTTACATTATCTGCTTCTTGTTGCATTTCATTGGATGGCAGCAGAAGGTGTTATATTGTATCTTGTCTTGGTTAAAGTGTTTCAACGAAAGAGCGCCAATAAAGATAAAAGGATGTTCATGATCATATGTTGGGGTAATTCTAATTTTTCTTTATCGAACAATTCCATCTTGCGCAGGGGCGTAGAAAACGGGGGGGGGGGATTTTAATGATCTAGAGCTATGATCCTGGTTCCTATGTGTCTTTAGCATCAAAGACATAAATTATTTGAACACTATGTACAGTAATTCGAGTCAACAACGTCCTTTTCACCAGGCAAGTATTCTAGACCTCCAGTCCCCCATACCTGCTTCCTACGCCCCAGATCATGCATATGTATTATAGACTGTAGACTACACAGTCGTAAGACCTATAGATTTGATAGTTTGATTTTTTTGGAAGACTGAAAATTTAAACGTATTACTTTAGGTACACCAGCTGCTATTGTTTGCATTGCCTTGGTTGTGGGACATGAGTATTACCTTCATGACAAATGGTAGGACATGCTTTAGTCGTGTTTATTTTCTCCCTGCACCTGACTAGATATATTTTGAAAAAAGTTCTAAAAACATTGATACTTCTATTTTTAAGGCAGGACGTTCTGGGTAGAATAAAAATAACATTGAATGTGCCATAAAATTCAGCCATGCTTCAAAACTTAGCACAGCTTCCTGCTTTTTCATACAACTGAGTCGTAATCTGTGCCAGGATCCCAATATAGAAGATAATAGAATTATTTTTTACAGTTGTTGGTTGTCAATGAGTCATCATATGATATGGGGTTTTGTCGGTCCTGCTCTGGGCATTATACTGGTAGGTTTTATCAAAATAGATTTTATAGATACATTAGTTGTAAATTTTTATTTCTATAAATCATGAGATAACTTCAAGTAAATGCGCGTAGGTAATAAAATGTTGTTGAGTGATGATGTTGGTTTTTTTGAGCCGAGCTTTGGGCGATCAGCCTGCTAATGGGTGAAAGAAATATTATTTACAAGTGATAATTCGTTCCAGGTGAATATTTTCTTTCTTTGCTGCACATTCCGCGTCATGGGACGACGACAGAGTTGCAATAAAACAGAGAAAAATATGATGGGGAAAATTAGGTTGGTTGTATATTTTCTTTTTACATACAGTTACCCTTAAAATAGATATTTTGTTTCTCCATCACATAATGACGTGCCAAACAACTTGCCATACTTATTTCTTAAAATATAAATTCCTTGTTTGCAGATACTGGGCCAAAGGGGCCGCTATAGTTACCTGTTTACTTGGTATCACGTGGGTGTTTGGAGTGTTTTATCTGAATAACGAATCTGTAGTTATTGCATATATATTTAACATTTGTAACGTTCTTCAGGTGAGTTCGATTGTTTTACAATTCTGTACAGAGCGTAGCTAGTAATTTCAGCTAGTAATGTAGCTAGTAATTTCATAACTGGTATATTTAGTTTTTCGTCGTTTTAACATTCACTTTTAATTTAGGGGTTATTTATATTCGTTTTTCATTGTCTCCTGGATGAAAAGGTAAAGTAAACAATGTATGACTAGGCGTGACAAGTGTTTGTTCACAAATAAGTTGATCAATTTTTTTAGATTGAATTTTCTGTTTAAAAAATAAATACGTGCATGGTTTTTATCTATCGAAATGAGATGATTCTTCAGCTATTTCAGGGTTGAAAATATTAATAACCATGCCTGAATAGTTGACCTGATGTATATCATAACCTGTTACAGATTCGACAACAATATTATCAAGTATTTTGTGCAGTAACTAACATTGAATCGAGATCTCCAAGTCATTCCACTGGCAATGGTAATAGAGGACAACGACCAAGCACATTCAATAGTTGGGTACGTTATCTTTGCCTGACTTCACGTCAATCTTTGGTTTCTATGTTACATCCATAGGTTATAGAGGGACATTCAGAACACGTCATGATTCAACTAACTAGTAATGCAAAAACATAAACAAATATATGAATGTACGTAGCTATATGATGACGTTCACTTTTCAGCTTTGGTCCGTTGCCCCAATGAAACTTCAAGACAGCAAATCTGAAAGTTGTCCAACAGGTGAGGCGACTGATGGCGGTATTCCATTTATGACCTTTATAGTAAGATGCAATCCATTGCAATTAAAATGAACTGAACAATTCAATCTATTATAGTTGCAGAAAACACGCTAAAACGAATGAATAGTTCAACGCATTCATTGACACCATGTATTGACCGACGGTTGATGGAAATCAAACGCGATGGCCATGGCACTAGTGTGAGACCACGTGGAATGAGTTCTATTTATCATGATAGTGATGAAAATATGGTGAGTTATTCTGTTAACTCATATTTGCGAATCTGTCAGATATTACCTCCTTCGCCGGCCTTTTAAGAGGGCGTTGCATGGTTGCGGGCAAAAAGGTTTGGCGTCAGATGACGATGGTATAACGATCCAACATCAGGTCCTGGTGGTAGAAGAAGGGAGTTCATTTTTGAGACAGACTTTTTACATCTCAACTGCTTATTTAGCGACGCATAATTCGAAAGGGAGTAATGTTGAACATTTAATCCTATAGGAGCACACCACTCTCATCGAGGAAAAAGCGTGCCTTTTCCTCTCTCAGGAATTTTTCGTCGCACACGAGCGAATTGCATAAATATCTCCGTCTGCATTTTACTTTTTACCCACCACTGCTGTTCAGGTTCTAGAACTTGAACAAAATATTCAGGTTTTATATTGTAGAAGCAAAGATAACCATATTTCGATAACTGTACTTTTTTTATCAGGACAACATTCCTGATAATATTCTTACGGTGAAACATGGCTCAAAAAATAACAGTGGAAGACTGGATTACCAGGATGAGGTACTTGTCCTCAAATAATTCGTTACAGATGCGTACTAGCCAACCTGAAATAAACACGAGGGTCCAACTGTCAGCTAGGACAAAGGGTAAAACTTTGATTAATGATGATGCTCGTCTGTATGTTTCCAGGACACAACAGGAGGTGTTTTTGAAGAATATTGTTTGCCAAATTTATCGCGTGAAAACAGTGAAGAATTTTTTGAGATTTCTGAAGATACATGTGAAGATTGTCTTTATGAGATCAAAGAATGGTCAGAACAACGAGATAAATCAATAAAAGCGAACAGCTTACATGAACAGGGTTTAAAAACGTCAAAAAACTCGCGTAGTTCAGTCACATCTGAGCATGAATATTTAAATGAAGAAGCAAACATGGTCGAAGAAAATCACGAGGAACCTGAGGAAAAGGAAATAAAGGTTGAAGAATCTGAACAATGTATATCTAATACCACAATTACACCACGTATTGTGTTATCAGGTGCGTATGAACTGCAATGAAGTTCTAATGAACTTCAGTGTCCCCTATTGTGTCGTCGAGCTCTACAGAACAGCACCGAAGCCATTTGAATGAACAAAAGCAATATGCCTTTATTCCTATAATAATAATAATAATAATAATAATGTTTTATCAGAATACTATAGCCCCTATTCTTTTATATTTAGTTCGTCACTATAGACTCTAACGGCTAAATTTAGGCGTACAATTTTAAAACTAGCACACTTTCTATTATGAAGATACAGTTTTCCTTTAAAAAATCAAACTTTTGTAGATTTTTCCAAACCAAAAAGTACGACATATGTAAACAGCAAATACGTCGTAAAAGTGACTGACGCAAACGGTACAGAATTATCGCCCACATCAGGGCAGAAATGTAAGTAAAAGTTTAGATCACGTCATCCCAAAATTTATTATAAAATATAAGGAAAGCATGCAGTAGAATATATTTATGCAGTTGCCTATATATAGGCTTCACTATGTGACTTATTTTTATAGTCCCCGGTCCAGCACAAGTTTAGAAATCTACATCAAGAAGTCTGTACACATAATGCGTTGATATTAATATCATCCAAAGGAGATGTTATCCATTTTGAAAAACATCGTTGATGTTCTCAAGTTGAGAACTGCCTCACTATCATGCAAACTCCGAGTGTTACGAGATCGAGCGTTAATTCTTTGCACACAATTGCATTATAATAAGGCTTTCCCATTGAGTTAAAACATTTACAATGTCGGTCAAAAACAACTGCTTATAGTTGTGATTATTACTACATTTCAGAATCCTAGAAGCCAAGATTTATAACGCCATTTAAGCAGTTTTGACCGCCACTGAATAACTGGATGTATTAGCATTTATTATGTTGTTATACAAATGAATCAATTTAAACGTATTGGTTGAGATGCTTGGTGCATGATACAAAACCTACAAATAACTTATAAAACGTATGAAAAGTACATAGCTAAAGTATATGCTATCATCCAGTCAGGTGTCTCTGTTTCCTAATTTGCTACATCCTGCATATTTTTGTGGCTTTTTTCCTCAAAAGGCCAACTTTAGACTGGCTAATTCACGTCTAAATCATAGCTGTTCCTATGGCTGCCTGGATGAAATGGCAGCTGATGAATAACGTGTAAAATATGCAAGTCACATTGTTCATCTCTCTCAATCATTCATTTTGCTACGACTATGTGAAGCTATAGTTAAGCCTGAGATCAAAAACAAGAAAATCGCTTTGAAATTATTCCCAATCATGACTTGTTGTGAACAGCAGACTGCCATTTAAAATTCATGCCGGAACTCCGAATTGCCATTCAAAAAATGAGATGCACCTTTCTGGGTATAATTGGGATCAGATTTTTGAACCTGGGGCGGTTGTATAAAACTCTTTACTTATATCGTAGTTAACTAGAAAATACACGATTCTGATTGGCCAATTCTGCCACTAACTAGAATAGTTAAACGTTAACTACCTTTTTATACAACCGTCTCCTGGTCGATATAACCAAGCCTATAATATTCTAGTTTATTACTATTAGCTATAATGCAGTAATATCATTCAAGTATTTATTTAGAATAATATTTTTAAAACTACGGCATAAACGGTATTGGCATAAAATACTGAAAACAGCGGTGGCGTGTATTATAAATACTGTAATTTTATTGTAACTATAAAGGTTTCAGAAATATATACTGTAGATATTTATCCCACATCAATGATAAACTATTTAATTCTTCAGAATATCATATTACAGCAGCAAGGGCCAGCAAGGCAAGCGATATACCCAGCCTTTCAAGTGGCTGGTCAGCGGTGCCACAGACTGACAAACTACTCATACCACAGGTCATACCAATGCTAATTGTGAATACGAAGGCCCTCATGCAGGTCGGAACGTCGAGAAGTGTTTTGTCCATTTTGAGCAGTTGTTATACCACATTTGACGCTAAATTTTTGAATTAATACTGGGTAAATTAACTTATACGACAAACATTTTTTGCTTCGTTTTCAAGATGCTAAAATGTATTATCAACCTAGAGTATATACATCAGGCCCCTTGTTAAAATTCTCTGACTATGCGGAGCTGCGGTGGCTGATTTTACCTGCATGTCAGCAATTATATATACTGGTTTCACTGCACCTTTTTATGACTATTCGTAAGCCAGTTTAAAAGGCACTTTCGGTCTGCAAGGATGTAAATCAAAGAGCACCCTTGTTAAACATTTTGACAATACAATGCTGTATTCCTAACCGCGGACAAATTTTGTAAATAATTACTACTAAATTTGCAAACTTTCGTCTTCTTATGCCTTTGTCTTTGGCGACTCATTTGCATCATCTACAGGGTGAGTAAAAAAAAACTGACACCTTTGAAATTCAAATTAGCTGCGAACTTATGGCTGGAATATGACAATTCCCATGTACAATCAACAAAAACGATTTGATAAAACTGTTCTTTTGTATTTACAGAGCTTAGAATGCATTTTAACTCCCAATGGGAACAAACTTTATGTTTAAGGTTGATTAATATGATATGCTTCGTATACCCATGAAATATTTTAGGCAACTTCTGTCACATTACAGCCGCTATGCGGCTAATTTGAATTTCAAAGGTGTCAGTTTTTTTTTGACTCACCCTGTAGTCTAGTGAATCTACATTCATTGTCATGTAGATTGTGGAAATTTCCCATCTGCCGGCAATTCCCAACTGATAGCTATATTTTTGATCTCTTAGAAAAATAAAATTAAATAGTGGAAAATCTTTAAAATAAAGCTTTAAAATGTATGATGAGAAAGTATTACTGTTACGCTATGATAAAAATAGAAATAAAAACAAAACTAACGCAGTTATCCCCTGCTGAGCGCTTTAGGTACTTTCCCTTCTGTGACATGTATTGTTTTATATCGACATACGTCTCTTCGTCAACTTGCGTGTTTGATCCAATTTTTATGCTCTCAAATGGCTAGTAAGCCACAGGTAATTTATGAAATGTTTTTGTTGGCAACTTCATAGCTTATATATTACATTAGGAAACTGGGGCCGGTTGTACGAAGGCTGGATAGCGCTATCCACCGCTACTTGAAAGGCAATAAAGATCCCATGCAAGCAACACAAGATTAATCAAACGCTTTGCCGATTCTATATATCTTGCTATATATCAACTAATTTTCGCATTTCATAGGTCTGTCGTTATTTTATGTTTCTAGACACTTGAAATCGAGGGTAAACCAGCCCTAACACACCAGCTGGCAGCTGGTAAATGGCTACGTCGATCATTGCGAGGATCGTTGCAAGGATTGCAGACATGCCATGCAAATGACGCGTCATACTGTCACAGAAGCAAATGAAGGGTCTCGTAAGAACATGGAAATAACAGTTTATGCCGAACATTTCTCTTTGAAATTCTGGTCTGGTGCTCGGAAAAACAAAATCGTTGTTCAGGTGGTTGCAGGGTCGATAAAACTCAGTGTAACTGAGGAAAGTTGGCGGATGTGGTTTCAAAGTGCTGTAAACAAGTCCTGGGACGTTTTCAAAAATGTTTCAATCTTCATTGTAGATAAAGGGGTAAGTATACTGGCGGGTTCTGGCGGAGTTATTGCAGGTGCAGCTTTTAAGGCTATTGTAGGTGAAGCTTCTAAGGCTATTGGACAATAACTGTAACCGGAACTGCTAACTGTAACCGGAAAGGAATTGCTATAGGAAATTGAAAAATTGATATTACGACGATACGAGCGATTGAAGACTCGTATACGTCATATATACTAGCAGACGTTTTAATATTTTGTTAAATCTAGTGTGAAAGTCACCTTATGGGGCATGATAATGATATATGCTATTGTTAATTACATGTCTAAATATGTTGTTGTTTGTCTATGTCGTTGTCCTTTTCAATGCATGTGTATGTCTGTCTATATATGATTATTAGAAAACGTAAAACATGTATATGATAGAAGTTACGTTTAAATCATTATATTAGTAATATGATTGTATCATGCAGGACCCCACTGAAAAACACTTTATAGGTGATGTGGGTATCCTAGTTAAATATAATTATGAGGACAATAATATCACCTAAATACTTTTCTTACCACGGTATCACACTACATCCCATCTGCAAAGATACGTGGCCGGAATTATGTGCCGTGGATGAGCAGCGCGATACTTCATAACATTAAAAAGAAAAGTTCTCTACGACGTAAGCTGGCAAAATCTAAAACCACTAAAGAAGCCCTAAAAGCAAAAATCAAGGAACTTAGAACTACCATAAAGAAAATGTTGCGTGATAGCCGCTCAAGGTACATAAATTCTATCTGCTCAGACCGCATGAATAATCCGAAGCGCTTCTGGTCTCTCTTCAAACTAAAATCAAACGTTAGCAATGTACCCGAGAAGGTGTCAATAGCTGAAAGTGAAGTTACAAGATCATCCGCAGAATCCCCAGAGGCCATCGCATCTGCCTTTAATTCCTACTTCACCTCAATCTTCACCAGTGATCAACCAAACACAGTCAACGATTCCTGTTCAATCGAAGCAGTTCGTGACAACTCGACGAACAACACCTTGTTGGAGAACATCACGTTAACACCAGTTCATATTGCTTCAGTCTTAAAAACTCTTGACAACAATAAAGCGCATGGACCAGATGGTATTCCTGCACGTTTACTTACAGAAACAGCGTACCAAATAGCGCCGTCGCTTTGTGATCTATTCAACAAGTCACTGCGCACTGGAGTAGTACCGCGAGATTGGAAACTGGCCAATGTCGTTCCTGTTTTTAAGAAGGGAGATAAGGAATATGTTGAAAATTACAGACCAATATCTCTACTTTCGTTAATATCTAAAGTATTGGAACGCTGTTTGTTTGACTGCATCAAAGAACATGTGTTTAGCCAGATTAATCATTGTCAACATGGCTTCATGCCAGGAAGAAATTGCGCCACCCAGTTAATCGAAGTATTTGACAAAATTGGTAACTTGTTGGATCGTGGTAAACAAATTGATGTCTTATACCTGGACATGTCAAAAGCCTTCGATAAGGTGAGCCACAAACGTCTTCTCCTTTGTCTTCGTGATTTCGGGTTCAATGGTAACATCCTCAGATGGTTTGGCTCATACTTACAAGATCGCAGACAACAAACGACCATTCTTGGTGCAACATCATCTCCTACACCAGTAACATCAGGAGTACCTCAGGGCTCAATACTCGGTCCACTACTCTTCCTATTGTATGAAAATGATCTACCTAACAGTATCGTGAGTTCTTCTATCGCAACTTATGCTGATGACACCAAGATATTTAAAGAAATCAACTGCCTTGATGATGCTACAGCGTTGCAGGATGATCTGTCAAACTTTGAAACTAGTTCCTCGAATTCTGGTCTTAAACTAAACACATCAAAGTGTAAGACTCTACGTATTACCAGGAAGCGCAAGATAGTCAATCATTCCTACACTCTAAAAAACAAAACCCTAGAAAACTCAGAACATGAACTTGATTTAGGTGTATGGATTTCCAACAACTTGACTTGGCGAAAACAAGTCTTGGAACAATGTTCAAAGGCAAATAAATCACTTGGATTTTTGAAACGATCTACACGGAATATTAGCAATCAATCAGCGCGTCGTACTCTGTACTTAACTCTCGTTAGATCACAAATCGGTTATGCAACGCAAATTTGGTCACCACAGTCTGTCGAGCTCATATCCCGATTAGAACGAATACAGAGACGTGCATCAAAATATATCCTTCGTCTGCCATTTCTTTGTGAAGCCAGCTACGAACAACGTCTGAAGCAATTGAAATTTCTTCCTATCAGTTATTGGCACGAGTATTTAGATATGATGTTATTATTTAAAGTAAATTGTGGTCTAATAAATCTCTCGAGCGCAGTCCTTCCTACACAACCTATGAAATTGAGAACAACAAGATCCGTTCAACAAAACTCCACCCAATTCCATATCAAGAAATGCTATACAGCAACATATCAACGATCATATTCTATCAGATCAACAAGGATCTGGAATAGTCTACCAAAACACATAACCAATAATCTGAACTCGTTATATACCTTTAAAAAATATCTACTTGATTACTACTTCTCTGCTCTAGAATGTAACTATAACATAAATGATCCTCGTTCATGGAAAACAATTTGTTTAAAGTGCAATCAGACTCGCGATCTCACTAAACCTCTTGCATGCTGTTTTTAATAAAGATGTTTTAAAAGAAATAATGTTATTATTATAATATAATATATAAATTATTGTAGTATAATGGGATCACAGTAATTGGCCAAAAGCTGTTGTGAATACCCTGTCACAATTGTTGTAAATTGTTCAATGTTGTATTATTAGAAATAGTATAATTGGAGCTATCTTGCAGTGAGGACTTTCACAGATCCATGTCTATTCTAATATGTTTAATAGTTTTTTGACTGTAAAATTGAAGTCTGCAAGGATAGCTCTAATAATGTTATAAATTAATAGTGTTTTACTTGTAAATTTATATTGTGACAAAGCTTATAAAATTAAAATTAAAATTAAATGGCTCCAGCCCTCATTTCACTAATATCGCTATTGGTCACGTTACAGAAATAGAAATTATATCCTAAAGACTTAATTGTTCTCTTTCTCCAATTAAATTGACGATTTTGAGAGATCTTACTGTATGCATGATTGGATCTTATCGAACCATTTCAAAAGGTTTTCACTATTTTTTTATTTATCAAAGTTATCTTCTGGATATTTTTTCCGGCATGCGTCAAATTCTTTTTTTCTTATGCAAGTAATTGCACAATAAAAAAGAGATCGAGAATAAGAATCAGGTTTATGACGAACTTGTCGTGAACTGATAAAACTATTGAAGAAACTATAGTCTCTTTCGCTGATAAGATTATCACTAAGGTGCTTTATTCTTTTGCCATTGATGACTTTGTCATCATCGCCAGTTGGTGGATATCGTGTTGAAAATTTGTAGTCTAGTTGCCATACTGGATTTTTAATGTCTAAAGAGGGAATTAAGAAGAATTAAGTTAATATCGAAGTATGTCTTTGGTAGAAAAATACATGGGCAGCGCATGGAATGGAACATTGTATTCGACGTGAAAAATGGGAAATGTCATTTGACATGGCAATGGGATAGTGTCAGAACCTGTACCTATATTCAAGTAGTATTGTTCGTAATCCGTAATTGCCTGGAGAGACGGGTCAAGATTAACAACACGAAATGCCGGGTAATTTCTGTATGAAGGTGAAACAGATGGCATTAGTAGAACATAAGAGAATTTCCGATGCGAAGAATCTTTCTTCTTATCGCTGAGCAGACGGAAACTATCGCGGTGAAAGTGAGAGAAGATTTGCCCTGAAAAAGAAACAAATTTCTAAATATTGTGCAGGCGAACCTATTTTATACGAATCCAGGAGGAAATATAGCCAGCTTATATTCTTGATTGATTCCCTCACCTGCAACAACGTCGTTAAATTCATTCACAACCAGGTTGATATATAGATCAGTGAAATTGCTCATCCAAGTGGATATATGAACATAGATATCCATCCTAAATTATAAAAATAGGCACGTAGCGCGTACATGCGGGTACCTTTGACAGCGATTATGCTAAGAATTGCTATTATGTTAATCGTTCTTGAAAACACGTATGCACAATTTATAAATTTTAAGCGTTATTTTGAATAAGCTAGCAGACTAAAACTTATCATAAATTCTGTTTTTCAAACACGTTAGACAAGGATATCTTTAAACTTCACATACCCGAGAGAAATATGGCTGCTTATAATAACTTTCTTTTTTGTTTTCCTAGCAATATTTAACTGCCCTTCTAACCACTTCATCTGTGTATTTGCCCTGTTTACAAAGTAATTCTTTGGTTTCCAAGCACTTTTTGTCCAGTACATTGTGTTTAGAACCAGCAAGTTCATCTTTCCATCTGTCAAAAATGCCAAAAAAAAAATCAATGAAGATTGATGCAAAATTTTCTCCTATAGTAGAAACCTGTAGTGTTGAGAAGTATATATAGAATAGATATAGCGAAAACTTTTATGGCTATAAATGAAATGGGAAAATTTCACCTGTTCTTGCTAAAACTGCATATACGAAACGACAAACCTGATGTGGACACCTTGTAATACCCTCCATAAGAGAATGTCTTTCGTAGTTGATCCAAAGATGTCGTCTGATATTTCATGTTACAGTTTGTACACAATATGCCGTCTTTCCAGATATTCAGTACATCAGAATACCATGTATCCTTCTCGCCAGGCATTATATAGTCACCTGGTATATCATTATTACCAATGACTGGAAAATAAGGAATATCGGGAAATACTGAGTTCACTTCACTCGATAACTTCTTTATGATTTTCAAAACCTGCTTTCTTCTGTCCTTTCTTCCCAAATGATGAGGAGTAGCATCGCCTGCATAGAAATTGTATTCTTAGAAGAAAGCACAGTGCCTGGCAGTTATTCCTTTTCTTACCTAGTCTTCTAAATATTTAATATATATTCTTCTTCCTAGCTTCATGTAAAATCTTTTACCTGGCATCAAAATGAACTCTGGACTTTTTGTTTTTTGTTTCATAGCGGACAGTACACTTCGAAGCAAATTCAATGGCGCATCACATCCAATCTTGCCAAGGCTACCATAATCTGCCTTGTTAGAACTTTTAGTGTTTTTATTTCTACAGAATTGACTTTTATCTCCAGTCTTCTTATACATTAAATCTAAGTGAACATCAGTGAACAATAGGAATGTTTCAGACTTGTTTGCATTTGAAGTGAAATGTACTTTACTGGTGTCTTGTTCGTAACTTTTCAAACTCTTTCCATACTCTGATAGAGTTAAGATAATTAGGAGTCCAGCGTTGAAAATCATTTATCAAATATCTGCATAAAAATATAAACCAATCATTAATGCAGAGTTTGGGCTTCGGCCCCAATGTCTCAGTTCACATGCACAACTAGTCACAACTAATCATAGCTAGTCACAACTAATCACATCTAGTCACAACTAATCACAACTAATCACCAACTAATCACAACTACTATATATGACCTGTTCATGCATGGAGCAGGTTCCCGTTCAGTTGCGTATTTAGCCAAAATAAATAAAATTTAAAGTTCACATTTGGATATATCTACATATTTAAAGTAATTGCCAGATATGAATTGTAAAATATTCTTTACTTTGAATTTGAAATTTTTACTGCGGTATAATTTTTCGACTAACGACAACGCGGAATTCGCAAATGTTACAGTTTAAGTTTCGTCACAGCGAGAGACGATTGTAAGTTTAATTAACCTAGTGAAATAACAACTTGTAATTTAGAAGAAAAAAATATCTCACTTTCAAAAAAAAATTACTACGACGGATAATAATTGCAAGATCATTCAGGTAAAATGATCAAATATATCGACATCTCGACAATTAATTGTACGTACCAAAGTATAAATACCAAGAAATCAGCAACTGGACTTTAGTCAGTGCACGAATTACATTGTCGCAGCATTTCCTTTCAACTCCTTATTACAGTTACTCTTTTTTGTTACGGTAACTCTTCGGCCACAAGGGCTGTTCCTGTGATTTATTCAATATAATTTCACCTAGGGCCGTCATGTTTTAAACAAAGATAAAATGGGAAAAAAATACAGCCACCTGTTGAACATATGCAACAGTCGTTTGTCGAAAATTTGAGGTAATTTAAAAGGTTCTTCAAAATAATTTGGCGAAATCTTCCCTTCAAAACAGAGATTCGTATAATAATTACCATATTCAAGACTAAACCAGGGAGAAATTGAACCCACCCAACCTCCGAGGCTGAGGTCTTCGGCCTACACTCGCATGGGATGTCACATCTTTCCCACTGCAATTTATTTTAAAATTTCTTACTTATAATGAGGGGCTGCATGAGGTGTTGGACATAATAAATCTCTCATTGTTTAAAATCATATCGTTTATTGTGTTAAATAATAATACGTTATAGCTACGTACGATATTAAAGTGAAACAGATAAACAATCGTGTACAAATAAAGAAGAAGTCACTACATTATATATGAACGTACGCAGCAGCTAGCTCAACCCTGGCTCAACGCACTGGCCTAATTTAAGCTTGAAATAAGCAACCAACTCTTAGTTTTATTTATATCGTCGACATGCAGTAAATATGCCGGCCGTCATAAGAATGGTAATCCGGCCTGTCGAAGTACACTTTATCCATCACAAGTTATCTTTTCTATCGCATGAGATATTTCTCAGTTTTTCATGCATCGCAGATGAGCTATACAAACAGATAGGCTTATCGCTTATCCTTGTCTATATCGAGTTGGCTGTGAAATAAATCAACTTCCTAATGTTGCTAGCTAGGAGGAATGCACGCATGATATAAATACGAAAGCGACAAAATGTATTCAGTTGTTGAGAGTTGTTGAGAGCTAGGGTGCATTTATTAAATCAAAGTAACTAATTCAAAAAACATGGCACTATTATCCGCCCTTTACTGGATACTTCGTGTTGCACGCATCATAATCTTTCTGACTGTAATATCTCACCGCGCAATAATATTTGAATCGGGAAAAAGAATCAGGTTGATAGCGAACTTGTCGTGAACTGATAAAACCATTGAAGAAACTATCGTTTGTTTGGCTGATAAGATTATCACTAAGATGCTTTATTCTTTTGCCATTGATAACTTTGTCATCATCGCCAGTTGGTGGATATCGTGTTGAAAATTTGTAGTCTAGTTGCCATACCGGGTTGTTGAATTCTGCAAAAATAACGGTATATAAAAAAGAATTCTCCAGTTGGATTTTCATGTTTTATATACACACTCAATCTCTTCTGATTGCCTTCACGAATACTACACTGAACTGGTCATGGACAACTGGTGAATTTGTACAATTTTTAAGAAATCTACGCTACGCTATATATAGTTCTGTCAGTATAGGCGTCAATCACTCAATGAATGGCTCCCCGGACTCTACAAGTCAACATTGTGCTACGGCTTGTCCAACCTCGCACCCAGGGTCTTTTTTGCGCGGCTTGTCTCCCGAGATCTGATATAATCATTATTTCAGGTATCGTAAATTTTTGGAAAATCATGCACGTTGAGCTCGTTATCTTTTAAGTGTTGTAACAAATCTCAAGCATAGTATAATCTCACCTGTTATAATAACAAGATTCATGTAAAATTGTTCGTAATCAGTGATTGCTTGACGGTCTGGGTCCAGATGAACGATGCGGAAATTAGGATTATTTTTATACACAACAGATACAGACGGCATCAGCAGAATGTACGATGACAATGAATCGTTTTTCTTGTCTGCTTGGAGAAAACGGAAACTGTCTTTGTGGAAATGGGCATAGATTTGACCTAAAAATGAAAGTATATTAACATGAGACAACGTGATCTTTTTGACGCATAATTTTACGCTACTTTAAAAATGCTACTTTAAAAATGCTACCTCACATAAAAACTTGGCAACTATAAGTTAACGGGATTTCATTACATTATATCTCTTTATTACGAACCTGCCACAAGTTCACTAAACTTTTTTGCAACGAGATCCATGTATAATTCAGTAAAATTACTTAACCACAGAGTCTTTTCGGCGAAGGTATCAATCCTAATGGACAAATTACAGATGATTACAAAGCAGTTCATGGCACAAGCATGAAGACTTTGTGGCTACATTTTGAAGCCATTCGCTACCTCGCAAATTTAATTTAAGTAAACGTCGTTTTAACGCCAACATGGGTAACGCAATTCGAAAACTATCGATCAATTTATAATCAATATTCGTCTTCCACATTAAAGCTCTTTGGTATTACATTATTTTCTATGACAAAACACTGTTTAACTGCATGATAAAGCTAATAACGTACCCAGGGGGTATATGGCTCGTGATAATAACTTTTTTCCCCGTCGAATTCGCTAATTCCAACTGTTCTTTTAACCATGCTATTTGTTTGTTTGCTCTCTCCTGGAAATAATCAGCTGAAATCCAGGTACTTTTAGTCCAATACATGGAGTTCAGGACAAGTAATGTCATGCTCCCATCTAAATATATCGACATGACAAAAATTATGGAAAGACGTTATGGTATATGTCACGAATAAACAAAATAGAAGAAAAAAAACATGCACACGGCAGAGTTTTGTATTTTACAAACCTGCAATCGACACCTTGTAATACCCTCCATATAAAAATGTCTTTTGCAGTTCATCCAAAGACGTCGTTGGATACGACCTTGTACAGTTTGTACACAATATGCCGTCTTTCCAGATTTTCAGGAGATCAGAATACCACGTATCATTTTCAGTAGGCATTACATAATGTCCTGGAAGATCATTGTTACCAATACTTGGAAAATAAGGAATGTCCGGGAATGCTAATTTGACTGCTTGTGATGTTATATTCATAATCCCAAGCGCGTTTTCTCTCCTGTTTGTTGTGATTCCATGAGCACACGTGTCACCTGAAGCAACATATTTGCAAAAATTGCCCTACTTTTATATTTAGAGCGACATACAAGCTAGTGTATTAGCCTATATGAGATAGTTTCGAACTTTTCACTATCCTAGATTATGGGAGAACAGGATTGAAAACGTCCATTTGAATGTTAAGACACCTACCTGATAGCATAACAAAGTCCATTTTTGTTAAATTTTTGGCTCGAACACTCTTCATGCCATTCAATACTTCATTAAGTAACTTCAAAGGTGAATCACAACCCGGTCTTCCATACGAAGCATTGTAAGCGCTTTGTATACTCGTATTCCTACAGTACTTGTCTCCAGCCATAGCTTTGTACCATGGATCAAGGTGGATATCAGAGAACAGGAGGAACGATAAGGGGTTATTTGTTTGAGATGTGTGCTCGTTTTCATCATCATCGCATTGCAATTTTAAGGCGTATGTTAGAGCGATGGAAATTACCACCACAATCAACAGAGCAAATAATACGACGACCAAAACATTTCTGAGAGGACATTTGCGATTGCCACTTGTCTAAAAAATGTCAGAGAAATTTTCTTCGTGTGAACCAGACTTTAAGACTTTTAATGTTCGACCTTGTTTGCACCGAATTCACGGACACGACATCGATTAAGTTGTTTTACGGTATCTCTATCCTCAGAAGTTTTTCATTTAGCGGATCATGTTAATTAAACCAATCATGCTCGCTTTGATATGGGTTCATTTCGATGTCGGGGGGGGGAATGTATATTCATACATTCGTCTTTTGCCCGACTGATTTCTTTTGTACCTCAATATGCATGTATAAACATAATAAATATATAAAAATACAGCCCCCCCCTAGCCCGCGGTGAAGACGCTTCTGTGTTCCTTTGTATTTCGAAGCGTCTGCACTGCAGGCTACCCCCCACCAATTAATTAAGTAGTCTGGCAACGGCTCCGATTTCGAAACCAGCATTTGCCACCATGACCAGTGACAGTGTCAGTACTGGATGCGGAATAGCCTCAGTATCTTGTCTCTTATGACATGTCCTACGTACAGACTATTATTTAACATACGCGACTTGTCGAGCCATCAAGGTATAAGAATATACGCACACAGTCGTTAAAAATGTGTTGTACATCAAGATTAACTGTGCGCATACTATGTGCATATACGATATAGAAATATAGTCAAACAGGCGGAAATGTCGTATGTTAATAACATCTTACTAAGTACTAAGATCCTTTCATTGTGATATGTACGTATGCAAATACGGTAACTGAAGCGAACCCTGATGCTTGTTGACTATTGTGATATGCCGAGAACTGTGTTTTGACGAAAACCCCCAGAAATGTCAGTACCATGTGTAGTATACTATATGACAGTATACTACAGAATACCATGCCATGTACGTTTCGGCAAATAAACCCACACTTTCAATCTTTAGAAGTCCTTGCATTCACTTCTTTATATATTAGCTGAAGTGAACTCTTAATGCATAATCGAGGCGGAGACATATTTACCCACCGAGGTAGGTAATATTAAATGATAATTCTGCATCATCATCTCTAGCTGAAACATATATATTTTATGTTGCCGGCTTCTAGGAAGATGAAAGCGTCTTTCCTACAGCGTCAGCTTGTACTAGTATAATTTCAGTATGAAAGTATTTAATTAAGTTTATTCATTTAGTGACGGTCACACAAATAGTTTACTTCAATTTTTAGATATATACAATATGTTGATACAGTACCTTTCCCATGACATTATAATCAAAGTTGTCAGCCATTCTTACTGTGCTTATCCTGAGATGTTATATTTGATCACACACAGTTCGTAAGTAAATGATAAGACACGTCTGTTCAAAGCGCTGCCGTGTTCGGCCGTTGTCGTATTATTTGAAAATGAGCGGTGCAACCAAGCGCCTAGTCACATGTCTCACTGTGAACGCCATGTACTTCATGGAGGCAGGGAAAAGCTGGAGTAGACTAAAAACCCTTTAACAGGAAGTATCATCTTCACGAGGACCCTAATAAACCCTGACCTCATCACCCCCAAGGCCCCATACTACCACTCTATTGCGCTAGATTGGTTAATCTGAGTTATTGCATTTGATTGGTTTATGCATGTTTCCTCAAAGGTAGCGTTGTGGTCAAATCTACTTGTCCTCCTGTCAGATATATATAATAAAGCAAACATTCAAATCAGCCAAACGAAAGCCAGAAAGGAATGAAAGAACCTTTCACAATGCAATTAGTCGGGGCTTTTAGTACTGGTTAGATTTACAGAAGGCGCTATAACACGCGAGAAAGATCTCTTTCATAAGAACCATAAATACCCGGTTATAGAAAGTCACATGAGTTGCCCAAGTCGATTACCGGAAGTTAGAAGTTTTTCATAAAAGTGCTCAGCATTTTCAGGACGCCTCTATTGAATAATGCGTATGAATTATGAAAACCTCATAACGACAGCATGGAGAAACATTATACAGTCAAACACCAAACTTCTAAATTCATTAGGTGTTCTTACTGTTCTATCAAAATTCATCGTTAAAATGATACAAGTTTCAAAACGTGTTTATACATATTATGGAAATAATGGAATAGATACTTTCTATATCAACTAAACTTACCCCCATGGTCATGAGCGTCCAAAGAAACGACAGCAGATTTTAAGAGTTACAAATTAAAAATAAGCAGTTAAATAATGAATCCCGCAGACTAGATAGTCTAGATTCAGTATAATTTGCAACCTTGTTCCTACTACCACCTGACCTACAACCAGAAAAATGCTAAAATGAGCAGAATTTGTCAATACGCGGAAATGAGTAACTTTACCTGGAAGAGAGGTAAATTTACGTGGAAGAGACTCAGTGGGAAGAGAGGGTAACAAGCATTGGTAAGAATGGATAATAAAGGATAATTAGCAAAAAGAAAAAGCAATTAAAAATATGTTTACAATCCATTGAATCCAGTTACAATACATTACAATGCAATAATATTTCCAATAATGCAACCAATTTATATGGCGGGTAATAATACCGACATTGATTCTGGCGCGTATTTATATATTGCCGTCGACGTTGGCACAAGCAGTGTTCGGACTGCGGTAGTTGATAGAGAAGGACGCATTATTGAATATTCCTCAGAAGATATTAGCATTTGGCAACCCTCGCCTGAGTTGTACGAACAATCATCTGAAAATATTTGGAAATGTTTATGTTCTGCAGTAAGGGTATGCAACATCAAAATCAATAAACGAACATGTACTGCGAGTCAAACGGATTAAAATTGACATCGATGGTCATTAGACATTAATTGGCGTGACTATAGACACTTCCCGAATTTGCTCTGGGGCAATGAAAACCAGCCCATAAACAATAGATTTCATTGCCTGCCTCGTTTCCAAGCTATTGTTTTGTGTGCACTCAAGCAAATTCGGGAAGTGTCTATTATCACTAGTAACAGACTAGTAGCTGTCATAATGTGGTACCATAAAACAGTAACCATTGATCATATGATTAGTATTAACAACCCATGATGTTTTGGTTCCACAACAGTGACTGATATTCTTACTGTCAATGATTGTAACCAAACCTAACCTTGTAACCAGGTTGTAAAAATATAAACCATATTAAGAGACCTTTCAGACCATATAAACCATTGAGAGAACATGAACTAATCAAATGCAATAAGTCTATCAGATTAACCAATCATGATCGCAATAAACCAGCAAGCTTTTTCAATGATGCACGCTTTTTGGACATTATCAACAGAAATAAATGATTATTTTTTAAATAGAAAGCATGCAGCAAGGTTAATAAAGGCAACATTCGTGGTATCGGATTTGATGCAACATGTTCATTAGTGGCTCTTGACAAACATGGCAATCCTGTGTCAATTACACCCAACAAGGCAACCAATAGAAATATTATTTTATGGCTTGATCACCGAGCTGTGAAAGAAGCTGAGATTATCAATACCACAGGACATGATGTACTTAAATTTGTTGGAGGCAAAATTTCTCCAGAGATGCAAGCACCAAAAATTTTATGGTGTAAGAAAAACTTAGAAGAAGAAAGATGGAAGGATATTTCTGTCTTCTTTGACCTACCAGAATTTTTGTCTTTCAAAGCTACTGGTTCCTATACTAGGTAAATGTAATATTTGTTATATTGGTAGTATTACATATTGAACAAACATCTCCAAATCATTGCTTATGTTCAGTGCATTTATATGGTAAACATGGTTTTTATATGTCATGGTTGTAAATCTTTTGGTCATGTACAATGCATCAAAATATTTAAATTCACTTTGTAGAAACAATATTTACACTCAGAATGACTGGCATATTTGTTTTGTTGCTTCTCTTCTAGATCTTTATGCTCTTTGGTCTGCAAGTTTAACTACATGGGGCATTCTTCACAACAGATCAATGGTAAACAATTCTGTTCTTGCTTGTGATTTCCATGCATAGACACCCAATTCTAAATTTCTAATCATCTACATGACCTTTCAGGTAATTCAGGTTGGATCCCTTCATTTTGGAGTGGTATAGGCCTATCGGAATTTGTTGAAGATGATTTTAAAATATTAGGTAAAAGGTTAAACAAAAGAGTTAAGACTTCAATGCTTCATGCTTCTTTATTTATTTTGTTTTGTAATTTTTGTCGTTATAGGTGGCAATTCTGTCTCTATGCCAGGTAAACCCCTTGCTCATGGACTATCAGTACAAGCTTCTCAAGATCTCGATCTACCAACTGGGTTACCTGTGGCTACTTCGTTAATCGATGCTCACGCTGGTGGACTGGGTACAATTATATTTCAATAATAATTATATTCACAATCTCATAATCAGAGCCTGCAATCCTTGTTGTTATATAGAGAAAATGTCATTATTCCACATGTTTTATAGGCTTATTACCAAGCTAGGTGGCTTTTTCTGGTAGGTATACCTAACATTTAGTGCTTGATATTTTAGGGGTAATTGGTGCAGCTGTCAAGGATGAACTGTCATGCGAATCACTCACGTCAAGATTAGCAATTATTTCTGGAACTTCTAGTTGTCATATGGCAGTATGTATGTTAGGTTTCAACCTTATAACAAAGTCTTGTTTCGACAGGTAGAAATCATCTCGACGGTAGAAACTTGACTCTGTCCCTAGCTGACATATTGAAAACAGATTAACAAATCACGCATTTGTTCTATCACAGCAGTTCATCTTTTTTATCACAATCTCATGCACCCAGGTTGTGTTAAACATCATAACTCGTCCGAATAGGTTTTATTTCTATTTATAGATAGACGAGCGACCTTTGTTTGTAGACGGAGTATGGGGACCATATTATTCAGCTATGGTGCCAGATTTATGGTTAAACGAAGGTGGTCAAAGTGCAACTGGGAAAGTGGTAAGTACTGTTCTAGAAGGCTGGTATATCCCTGCATACATGTACTTGTGAAGTTTTTACTGAAAGCATCAGGGCGTGATTTGGCTAAACATTCGTTGTGAAGTTAGGGGGTTCGAGAGAGGCGGTGTAAATTTTCATTTATTTGGAAATTCTGTAGTATTTGACAGGGCGATGATAAAAACAAAAACACAATATGAGGACATTTGTACTCATTTGAGCAACGTTATTCCCCAACTAAGCAGCCAATCCTCATCATTAGTTGTTACATGCAGATCGATCATATTCTTGAAACACATCCTGCGTGGACCGAACTTGTAGAAAAAGCAAAACAAAGGTAAACTGATTTGACTTTGTTTTTGTAAACAAATTGTTTTGATCCTAGATAAGTCTAAGATATTTTTAAGTAATTAGGAAATTATCATCCAGATAGTAATATTAACCAGGTCCAATCTTATGATATTGCGTGATCTTCTATGACACATTTCTCGCACATTCTCCAGTTTTACTGGGAAATTCCTGTCACGGAACGTTTTTCTATGTAAACCGAGCTTCATAAAAAAATTCTTTCGAGACATTTTGAAAAGAATCGTGGTCATAATGGAGAGGTGATCCCCGAGTCGATATTGTGATAATAAATTGAAATTGCTATTTTTCTCAAAATATTCAAGCGCGTGTACGATGTACGAAAAGTTATATAGTATTCTGGAAGAATCTGCGCAGGACCAGGAACATTATGCTTTGTTAACTAATGACTATCACGTCTATCCTGACTTTCATGGTAACAGATCACCAATTGCAGATCCGACATTGAAAGGAATGGTATGTATAGCGTCATTAGCAGAGGCTGAGGTGTAGTAACCGCATTAAGGATGATTCGAGTCGACTGTTTGACGCGGTAAACATGAACTTCAAAGTCAAGACATTTGATCCCGTAGTTTGATAAGAGGAACCTTAATATATAACTCCCACAATTTCACAGCTTGTTCCCGGGGAACTTGAGTTTTTATCGGAATAACAGTGCACTATGAGATTTCTATGCTATGCTAATATAAATGCTAAAATGAACTTTTTTCTTTTGTTAGGTGACAGGGCTAACTTTAACAAATGATCTCAAAAGTTTAGCAGTTTTATACTTGGCTACAATACAAGCTTTGTCTGTACGTATTACATTGCAACTGTTAAAGATAAATTTCAGTTTGTTTTAATTCGATTTAGAAATTTAATTTTTAAGCACTTTTCATGCGTTTACGAAGATTTTCCTTGCGATAGTAGTCAGTGGATAGAGGCCTGATAGAAATTACTGTCGCTAAACACCTGTGTGCTCTTGTTTGCAGTTTGTGTAAACTGTAATTATCAGTGATACGAGCCTTTACGATGTCAAATCATGGCTAACTTTTACACTACGTTTTTTCCAGTGTGGAACGAGGCAAATTATAGAACGTTTAAATTCATGTGGGCATAATATCAAAGCAATATTTATTTGTGGTGGACTTTCCAAGAATTCTTTGTTTGTTCAATGTCATGCTGACGTCACAGGTGAACGAACATGCAGTGAACATTAATTACTTTACATTTTTCTTACACATTTTACGAGTAATAAGGATATTAATGATCAAAATGATGTCAGCTGTATAGTAAACTCGCTTATTTTATATGTCATATGCGATTTGTTATGTCTTAAAGGTCTTCCACTCGTTTTACCACGTGAAACAGATTCGGTGTTGGTGGGTTCTGCGATTTTGGCAGCGTATGCTGCTGGTGATTTTAAAACAATGAAGGTACGCTAATTTCTGTAACATGGAATAAAAATATCATATTATTGATCGTGTACATTTCTTCATCCATTTATAACATAAGTTGTTTACTTCAGGATGCAATGGCCTGCATGAGCTCGGCTGGTAATGTTCTTCATCCGAATTCTAGTACAAAAAGGTAAATGAAATTTATCTGAAAACATATACATAATCGGAAGCTAATCTCACATTTTGTGATCATTAGTTCTTAAAACTTATTCGGAGTGCCCCTGTTATTCCAGGTTTTATGAGAAAAAATATCAAGTATTCCAAAAGATGTATCAAGATCAACTCGACTACCGTAGGATCATGTGTTCGTATAATTTATGATTAATTTATCAAAATGATTATTGCATTATGTTAACTGAGTTTATCATGTCCTACATTAGAAATTGAATCAGAATTAATTTTACTAACAAACACCTTATTGGACGAAATATTTTATGAATGATATTATTACGTTTTCGGATACGAAAGGCCGGACTAGTATGAGTACTGACATTTAAGGATGCTAAGCGCTTCCCATTCGAAGCGCCCCTGAAGCGTTTTTATACGTGTGCGTAAAGGAAATGTTTAAATCTTTGAAAGAACAAACACTTATCCTTTTTACGTCATAATAGAGAGGTGGTGTTATTATAAATTTTAATAATGAAAGAAAGCTTGAAAACGATGACGTCTTGTAAGATTTATCATCACCTGAAACGTTATGTTGATAACATGTATAAACCACATGATAATTAAATCGTAAAGATAACCTCGACGTTTCGAGCAAAAATCTACACCAGAGCGTTCCATTTTCATGCATTTTTCATCGAAACCACTTTTCAAATGAATGACAGTTTGACAGAATATCAATATAACTAGAACTTCGTTATTTAGATGATTCGAGAAAACTCGAACACTAATGAGTTATTTTGTATGCATTCTTTCATGGAAACCACATTTCAACCATATGACCTTAATCCCTTGATAAAACCCGATATAAATAGCTTCTGTAAAGCCTAACAGCTGTTCGCAGGCTCGTATGTCACTTGGTTAACTAATGATTCCACAGAAACAATCAACAATGAAACAACTGACTTGGTTCCTTGCAGTTCTCTAGTGGATCAAACTACATGCATTATCAGTTTCTTTCCTATCTGTAAGTAGAATTGTCATATATTTGCGTTATCTTACTGCTTTACAGCTGCTCTGTTTATAATGATGAGATTTCTCGCTACATACACATATACTTACATGAACCTTGTTTTTGCTATGAATGAACACCTCTTGGTGATCTTGACGTATTCAAAACTAGGGTGAACATTATCAGCACATTTGTATTGACGCCGTCATGATAAGCATGAAAGGACATGTCTAGCAACGATTTCATGAGCAGACGTCTTGTGAAACTTGTGAATCTTGTAAGCTTGTGTTTCCTGCTTTGACTCATTTGTCACGCTTCACTATAGTCGAGGTGAAAAGATGCTGGTAAAATAGCTTGACATCTTTTGTTAAAACTAAGTTTAAAAAAAGGTTCAAGTGTTTATATATCGTTATTCATTCAGGTCATTCAGGTAAAAAACATCTGCGTGACGACGTGCTGTAGTCATTCAGAATGTTTTCCTCCCTTTTTAATTAATGTGCCGATGATGTTCAGACCCTTCAGAGCTTCATTCAAGTATATAAAACAGAAAGGTAAACACGTTTGTATATATATGTGCATTATTGAAATACGTTTTATCAAAGAATCCAAAGCGCTCATGCGTTTTATCATTTCAAACTAATTGACTGTAAACTGCTATGAACATATCAGAGATAATGTATTAAAGTACTAAGTAGATAAACAGTCATACAGAGAAGATAATCCTTGCTCATGTAATTACTACACGGTCGCCATAGAGAATGTAAAATAAGTGCATATTGTTATGGTTTTTATACACGAAGATTTCAGATTTTGAAAGTTTGTTATTTGTCTAATATTTGGTATATGAAATGACGGATGAAGACTTTTCGATTTTCCCCGACCAGGCATTAGATGAAACATGAGACCAACTATACTCATGCACATTCACATGGTACATTGTTATAGCCACAATCACGATACGTTTCTAAACCTTTTAACAGTAAGTAAACTTCTCTTATTCGATTAACTTGCAGTGTTGCACTATACTGATATGCTTTAACGCGGGAAATAAAATCTATTTTACAACTTATAGATATATCACGACCAGGTAATAGACATGTCTTGACTTGGTGAAGTTGCGCAGTAGTTATAAAATTGATTTACCAGGACCGGACAATTATTCGTCACATTAGGTCGAAGTTTAATTTGAAATTAGCTACAAAGGTTCGTGTTTATAAGATTTAAACTATCTATACTTTATAGCTATATATATAGACAGCCAAAGGAAACAGGAAATTAGTTATCCGTTTATAATGATTGCAGTTAACCACTGATCAATTCAAGTATGTGCAGTCAAAGGCCAAACGTATACGTGAACAGGACATAAAAAGCTTTGAAGATGAGTTCGCCTTGTGTAGTGTAAACGGGGCTTTCTGATTTAATACGAATGGTTATATCAACAATCGGAATTATTTATGAACCTCATCTGTCACTTTAGTCTGTCACCTTCGTCCAAATTTTGTTATTCCTGAATCCTATTATAATTCGCAGGATTTTTGTTACCATGGCACTTCAGTATCATGAATATGCCATTATTCTAGTCACTAGTGCAGCATTTTATAGAATATTGTTTTGCGGTCAATATTTGTCAACGCAAAGAAAAACTACAGCTGTAGCTACATCATACGACCATATCTCATTATCAAAACCATTATTTGTTTCCTAGACAGCATAGTATATGGTCAATATGCGAGCATGCGGTTTCGCTTGTCTTCCGTGGTTTCACTTATTGTATGCTTGATGTACATCCGTGGGGACTGCCAACTTCTAATATTATTAACACCGCATGTGAAAAAACTTCAAGGGGCCAAGTCACTGGGAAATTAGTAACCTACCTATAAAAACATCCCAAACTCACAGAACATCAACCTTTACTTCCGTAAAACCTTATCGACCACCCCCATTATTCAAGTAATGAGTTGTCCACATGCCTGATGGGGTTTTTGACAAACAAATTTTTCACGAAGTCTGGTGACTGCTGTGCAGTTTCCATCTACAATAATTTCCACAATAACCAGATAAAGTGCCCTAATATTTTTCGAGTGAACCAAACTAATCACGCCATGCACCAAGTCATAAACTCAACATATTGTTACAATATGATTTTCTGCATGTCTATCGTCTTCTAGTCGATTCCTTGAATGAATTTTTGAGAGATATTGAGCGATGCGTGAAATATTTCGTTTCTTAGGTTGAACACTGGCAATGGCTGGCGTGGAGACATACTTTGATTTTGATGCGGAGACATTTCAAATAACTGAAAAGAAGAGGCTTAGCAGTTCCTCAGGTACTTCAGGAGACGTTTTAACTCCAAACTTGCAAGTCCGTACAAAAGCACATGCTCTGAAGATACAGGTTTTGAGACCAGCAGTGATCGCAGTTCTCAAGATGGCGTTATGGAGTCACCGCGAAGTCCCAGTCAGGATTTTTCTTGTTTAACATGTCCGAGAGGAAGTTTTGATTCTTTGGTTGCAAGACCTACGGCGGATGATTCTAAAGAAAGCATTAAATCCACGTCATCATTCTGGGACTCGAACGTTCCACCCGAAACTAAAGCCGTGCTTTCAAAAATTCGAGATCAGATGCGATCTAGTTTAGAAAAAGTAAGAAAACTTGAAGAAGAAGCCAAGCAAATCCCTTTATTGCAAGTGAAAATATCTACTCTGCAAGAGGAGAAGAGACAACTTGGCTCAGTTGGAAAATAGACTTAATTTGAAAAATCACGCTCTCGAAGTAGCACAATGAGTAGTAATACTAGTCGATCATCTTCTATTGATGATTTGATTGGTGGTTCTCAGGATAGAAAAACAAGAAATATTGGCGTTGGTGACGATACCATTCATGATATACTCTGTGAGAAATGCAACGAAATTCAGTCGAAATTGCTTGGACATTCTTTAGGTGCTGCCGTTGGTTACTGTAGCGAAGTACCTCGGACTGTCGAGGGACGTCGTGGTAAATCAAGGACTATCCAAGATGATGATATTAAAAGTTTTTCAGATCGCTGCACTCAAACAAAAACTTCAAATATGAAAGCACCTCAGTGCAAGCAAACAGTGTCAACGAATGATGTTTCCACTGAATAAACACTCGTGATAACTCAGGCATAATGATTAAAACTGATGTGACGGACTAAAGACTCTTCTTCTGGTCCATCACCTTTTGAAACAAGATCTATTGGATTGGGAAATGAACTATTGCTTGAAAGATTCTTGTGCGGGAGAAGATAGAGAAATTCCTAGCTATACAAATACAAGTGTCCAAAATACCGTATCCACATGCGATAAAAGCTTTGGAGTGGAGATTATCACTGACAGTATTGGTGTCATTGCTTGCCCGACCGTTATTTCAGTTGCTACGCAATGTAGCTCTCTAGAAAATAGATCTAACAAGAAACAACATTCTATTGGCATTCAAACTGCACAGGAGGATGTTGATTTAGTGTCAGTGGGTGTTGGTATGTCTTCGATTGATGATTCTGAAAATTGTGAATGCTCCAAATGTAATTCACCGAAATCTTTATGTGAAGATGAAATACTGCAATCCAATAATTCAAGCATTGCTGTAGAGACGTCACCTTGGGTCGACGTGGAAGGACAGCTACTTCTTGAGTATCATACATCCAAGTCCTTATCTTCTGTTGCTGTAGAGACAAGTATAACCAGCCGTTCAGTGGGCTGCGGTGATCAAAGCATTACGGATGTTTCTTGTCAAAATTGTGTCCTAAAAATTTCTCGATCTCTAGGTGTAAACTGTTCCCCAAAAATGTCTGACAAAGCAGTTGGAGATGTAGATGTAGATGGAGATGTTGTACCTAGGACCAGCTCAGTGGGTGTAGGTGAATGTTGCTTGACTGATAGTTATTGTGAGAGGTGTTTTTCACTGCAAACACGGACGGTTGGTGTTGGCAATGGCAGCGTTTTAGATACAGTTCAGACTGATCTCGAAACATCGATTCTTACGGATGTATCGTTACAGCCGCTCTCACCACCACAAACGCCAAATTTGGAGGAGAAATTGACGACAGGACTCAATGAAAATGTGTCTCCAATACAAAGAATGTTCAGTGATGAATATGAAAGAGTTGAATCTGATGAACTCATCCTGGATTTCACAAGCGAAAGATCGTGTAAAGCTGGTCAAAAAAGGTATTTAACAATTGAACTGAAAAATCTATGTGCAAGAATTTCTTTATACTCAGTTTCAACATCGTTGAAATTCCTTACTTGAAAGTATATGCAGGAGATGTTTTCTCCACTTCTCTATCAATTTGTTAATTTATATATGAATTTAATCACCATTCACATAATTACATTATCATTATCACTATATCATACACAGAAATCGATTTATCTCGCAGTCTATAGAGTTCGAAACAAGTGCCAAGACATTTATAATTTAGTTTTAATTTAATTTAGTACTCGGGAGGACATTCTTTTCACGTGCAAACTTCTTCAAAGACATTTTCAAAGCAATACCGAAAACTTAGACGAAGAGAATTTAGTAAGTCTTTCATTCCAATTCATTCAATAATAGATCGAATATTATTACTACTGATTCATAGGTGCATGTTTGAAGTGAACAAAAAATTGATTTTATTTCATATTCCATGTACAGTTGCTTTGCATAAAGAACATTGAAGATTATTGGTTTACTTGTGTGACAGATGAAAGACTTGACAACGAGTCTCTGACGGATCTTATTAGAGTTTTTCAACAGCATTTGCCTTATCTTTTGGATGGTATAATAAACTCCCAAGATGAACATGTACGTTTTGTAGCGTGTTTGTATATAGTGTGTCGATTGTTTATATTCTTGGCTTCAGTTTGTCGGCCTGGTAGATATTGTATTAAAAGGTGATATCAGGTCCTTGAGGCACTCGTGGAGGCATTTGTCGGATCTAATATACGCTTTAGAGTTTAGATTAATCTTTTTTCTTCTGAATCTGACTTGCTAAAAAATTAGCCAAGTAATTAGCGAGGAAAACGATACAAGTACACATTAAGAAACGTCCCAATACGTATATATTTGATTTAGGGAAACACAGCGTTGCATTACGTTGTAACATACGGAAATTTTGATTGTGTGAATGAGTTACTAAAGACAAACCAATGCAATGTGATTATCACAAACAAGGTACGTATAGCTTGAAAAAGCCTGTTCTCTATTGTGATAATATCAAATTCGTACAATCACTAAAAACACTTGCACTTTGCTACAATGCTACACTGACAGTCTGTTCCCGCAGGCCGGCTATTCTGCAGTGATGCTAGCTTCACTGAAGGAAGCTGTCAACTCCAAAGATAAGGTGGTCTTAAAGCGATTGTTTGAAAAGGGAAACCTTAATTGCGTCGCTCAAAGTGTACGTAATAAATCAACTCTGTTACGATTCTAATTAATTAATCTTTCTATTAACCCACTGGGCTAATTTTGCCTAGAAAATTATTTAGCTATTCAGTTCCAAAATATTTAACGTATGGGTTTAACAGTGGTATAGCATGTACGTGTGACGTCAAGAGGCTGATAAAGCTTGCAGAAAAAGGGCACCATATCATAAAATTCACTGAAGCAAACCACAAAATTAGCTGGATACAAATTTCTTTGTTTCTTCCGCGTATTAGACTGGTCAAACAGCTCTGATGTTAGCCGCTGGCATGGGGAACGTGGAGACCGTCGATCTCCTTCTCCAATGTGGGGCAACGAAGACGATAAACACAGCAGACTTGGTGAGTATGGAAAGTGTGAGTGCATAGCCACGCCCCTCGCTCAATGTTAACCACATTCCTGGGCCTTAGAATCGCTTTATCGCTAGACCTCAAGTCCACAACTAATCAGGTTAAATCGAAAGGAATAAAATCCTATATAGTTTATCGTTTAGGGGACAGGTAAATTTGAATTGTTGGTCATATTCAGAGTCACTAAAAAGTTGATAGTCATCACATGAACCCTCCCCCCCCCAATCCTCGTTGTTTCGCTGCACACACTATAGCTTAAGATAAGGATGAATTTCAAATATACCTATCTCACATGTTTGAAAGGATGGTTCCACAGCGCTAATGTGCGCATGTGAGCACGGTTATGCTAAAGTTGTGAAGAAATTGTTAGAAGTTGATGGTTGTGATGCAAGTATTGCTGATCATGTAAGTCAGAATTTATCTAAACCCGTGTTGTTTAATTTAAATAATAGTTGTGTTTTCTCGGTAAAACTGAATGAAACATATTCACTTTACTCTTTAGGATGGTAGTACTTCTTTTTCGATTGCGATGGAACATAATCGAAAAGATATTGCTCTGATGATCTACAGTCATATTGAAGTATATAATTCCACAACACCTCATCAATTAATGAAAATCTAAAAATGTTTACATTTTGTTCTTTTATGTCACGGCAGATCAATCTATTTAAAAATTTATGTATAATGAAGTTTAATAATATATAAAATATCTATCATTTATCTGTTGTCTTTTTTACCAGGATTCATTTAGGAGCGGGTAAAATAGGCTGTTTGAGGCAGAAAGGGGAATAAATATTGGAAAGCGAGAGATTGTATAGTTTTAAGACGACTAAGTTGTAACGCCTGAGATTTTGATGTTAAGAAAGGTAGTACATGGCCTGGGTTGCAAGGACAAAAAGCTGATATAGCAGGGACACAGTCAGGTTTTTTGAATGAACGATAACAGAAATTTTGTGACAGTGTATCTTCAACTAATTAGCCAGTAAAAAAGACGAAATGGACGAATTGTTTCAAAAAAGGCATGTCATTTAATTAGCATCTTCATGATTGACAAAGACAGGTGGTAAGGCAGTCACAAGACACAAGGGCAGGAAAGCCAGCTAGTTCTAGCTCGATGTGCACTTTCACATAAAAATATTGCCTTTCGTTTCTGCGTGTAAATCGTTCTTAATTAAATCGTTCTTAGGAATATTTACCTTTGAAATCAACAGAGATCTTATTTATTATATTTTGTAACAATGTGAACATTATACTATGCCTTACGTGAAGTATTGCGGATCGTTTCATAACATTTTCTTAATTTCTTTATTTGTCAAAATCAAAATTAAGAATAAAAATTTGCAAGTCATGTTTCACATTGTTTGTGTTCCTTATTTTAGTCACTCGAGTTTCATTTCAAGTTGTTAGTGCACATGGTTAGCATATTAAGACAAAGTATGAAAATATGTTTGGTGGGGAATATAAATCAAAACCCAAGGTTTCTCTTCGCGGAGCCAGTAAAAAGGTAGGAAATAGTCAAATAGAAAACGTACAGAAGAATTATTCTGGAGAGAGGAAGAATTTGAAAATAAAATGCGATTGAGGTTGCTGCTTCTGAGAGGAAATGCGATATAGTTTAGAATTTCAAACTGTTTAAAAAAGTCTGAGCTGACTGAGGTAATTTTCCAGTGTTTGTTGTATACAATGTGCAAGTTGTAAAATGGTACAATCCTATATCAAGCCATATGTTATTATAAATTATTATCAGGCAGGATACCAGATAATTTGTTGCCATGAGATGATATACAAACTAATTTAGTTTACATGAATATGAACTAAACAGATTGAGACAAAAGTCTGAACAGTGTATATTATCCAACAAAATTCACATATACTGTACAAACTAGCATGTTCACATGCACTTTTAATAGGCTGGTCGTAACAGAATATAACCAGATACTTGGGTTATCAATCTGCCTGCTGCTGTTAAACATTCAATCATTAATTAATAGTGACCAAGGAATTAATCTTATAGGAGAAAAGATCATCTTTGATTCATAGAAATCAAACTGAAAGGGAAAGACGCGAGGTATAATAAAGAATCTAAATATAATTTTTTTAGTAATTGAGCTGTGAAACACAACTTTGTTGCTTCAAACTAGATATTTTTTTCAAACTGATGGGACCCAATCTGTCGTTTTAGGAAAATAGAAGACGGAATTATAGTGCGTTGAAAATTCAAGCATTTTTTCGAGGAAATTGGATTCGAAAACAAGAGGTAAGAGAATTGATTTGCCAACTGATTATTTTTTTATTGTTACTATTTCTCAGCTAGGATTTGCAAAAATATTGAACTTTATTGAGTGATGTACGTCCAAAGAGTTTATTATTCTTGAATAGTCATCATAATGAAAAACTATTTCTTATAGAACTATTTCTTATAAAACTATTTATTCCTTAGTGTGATGCCCGAAGAAAAGAGTTTGATGAGATTTTGGCACAACTTGAAGGAAGCGAACACCCACACATTGACAATATTCATTTGCTGCTTAGCTGCTTACTTTATTTCTACTCCAGACATCAAGATACAGAACGACTGGTAATAAGTGCACTAGTGCAGTAATACCTGCAAACATGTTGCCTCATAAAAGCTCAGTAATTTGTTAAAAATATTGACAGAATTGTAGCTGACATTGAATTTACAACTTATATTTTATTACAAGAGATACTTTAGGCACATTGCCTATAGAAAGTCCATATCAACCATTTTATGAATTAATTTGAATGTTATATTTTAATGTAGATAAGCACATCCCAGTTTTTACTGAAGAATAACAAAAGGATAAAAATTAATGATCACAGACGTTGGACCTTTCAGATTAAGAAATTTTTATGCCTTTGTTCCAGGTAATGTACTTATAATTTATTATTTTGTTCTGTAATCCAATGTGCAGTCATATGCAGGTTGTAGGTTACAGTACAATTCCTAGAGGTCTGACAGATTCCAGTGAGGATCATTTTGAAATCAAGGCTCAGTGAATGCAGTTACTAGTTGTGAGTGTAAGTTACCTTATGACCTTGGTTACAAGAACATTTTATTGATTTTTTCAGCATTTTAAGGGAACCGATTAAAACAAAAAAGGGATCTTTTGCAATTCCGTTACGTATTCTGGAGTCTTTTACATCACCAGCATGGTATTCTGAGATGAGCCGAGGCATCTATAATGAAGAATATGCAACCACAATTTTCTTGTGTTTGGCTGAGAATGGTAAAAACTTGTACAAATCATATTCTTTTCTAGTGCATACATGTTTCTAGTGCTTGCATCTCATAGTTATAATATTTATTTTACTATTAAGCAAACTGATTTTATTTAACCTTAGATTATTTCAGCCATTTACGCTACGTTTTGGAGGAACGTGTGCCATCATCCATAGAGTATGGCTCATCTACTCCTTTAGCTGACAGCCTTGTTGATCTCCTCACGAAACCACTACGACAATTATGTACTTCATCCCAGGAATACCAGAGGTTAAGAACTGTTATTTGACGTTTCAGAAATATGTACCATCAGTGGAAACCACGTCACTGTCTTGAAGTCTGTTATTGTGTGAACAAAACGTGCATTTTTCGTTCTAGATTCAAGCTCTTATCTTCATTTGCGGAGGCGGTCTTTGTTCCAAAACTATCAAATCAAGTGAAGAATTATCTGCTACCAAAACTTCAGGATCAGGGAGATTTTCCATTCAAAGATCTTCTCCAATGCTTACAAAATACTCAATTTACGTCCAGTGTTTCCCTACTCTACTGCATTTTGAAGTTAGCTCAATCAAACATAGGTACAGTGCATGAGAGTAAAGGTATTCAGTTGAAAGAGTTCCGTGTTACTGGATGTTTAATAAAAGCTTTATTTTGTTGTAGAAACTGTAGAAACATCAGACATTCCACTTTATCTGGAAACGATTTTGAAACTGTTACGAAAACTCCCTCCTAAAGGTATTCTTACTTTTAAATTAGCGTCGTCGGCTCTCGATTATAATAATCCTATTTGTTAAGTTCAGGTTATTTCCTTTCAACTGCTTCAAAATTAAAAAACATGCAGTATGAGTTAGGTTTGAGTCACCTGTAGTAGAGTTTTGTGCAGTCGTGCCTCTCCCGTACAGTGCAAGATATGATGCAGTGCAAGATATGATGCAGTGTGTCACGGAATCTAATTGTTCGACTCCTTGTTTCAGTGGAAAGAAGCGAAAAAGAAGAAGAAATTGAGGATTCGGATGATGAAGCATCAACCTCTTCTCAAATGCAACAGGTTCTGGCAGTATTTTGTTTCTAGTTCATATCAGGATCTTAAGTGACAAGAATCATGATGGTGTTTATTTCGTTAAACCACTGATAATATGATGACCAACAGATAACATTAATGAATGCATTGTCCTTCTTTTCAGGATTTGGACGAAAAAGACGACGATGAGGTGATTGAAGATTGTTTTGAAATGTTGAACGAGAAACGTCATGTAAAGTTATTGTTAGACACGTTTGATTCGAGGTGAGTAAGTCGTTCTTCTTATCCCAATAGCACGGTTTTAAAGGAAAGATAACACTGCACGGCTAGGTAATATTTGTCTATGGCGCTCGGAAAGCCGGAGTACGACAACACAACCTAAAACAACTGGCTTCTCTAGGTACAGGAGGCTCGAGAAGTCACTGTCATATCTTAAATCTTCCTCATCTAGATCACAAGCTGACGTAAAGTTTAGCGAGGATTGCATCAGGCTGCTTACTCTTATTGTTAACAGTTTGATTTTTGAACGAAAATGTCATATTCATAAATCCAGGTTTGTATTTTCTTTTATTTATAGCAAAAGTTTCTTAGATCTTGACATGAAGGTTTAGTTATGATAGCAAGTAACTACTGTACACCAATGATGTTTGAATACATAGGGTACTACAATTTATGTATATTGTTGGTAAATGCGTGATCTTTCTACTTTTGTATAGAATTTTATTGACGCTGTCGTCTAATCGCACTTTCTTTACAAAGTTGTGGAACATAATAAATCATGTTTCGATACAATCGAGTATTGGGTAGGGTATTACTAAGATTTCTCTTAAAGTCCTTTGTATAGTGTGGTTACTATGGCAATAATATCAAAGCCCTTACTTTCATAGTTTACAAATGTGTCGTTGTACCCTCATATCTATAAAAAAGGTGTCTATTCTGTCTCGTAAGGATAATCTACGTTCTTTCAATACTGTGGATCTCACAGTATATCTCATTCTTGTGCTGGTATTTTTGTTAGGAAACGTTTATCATTGCTTCAAATGGTGAACCATGGTAGCAATCTAAGAAACTGGGAAGCAGAATGCATAGCTCCACTCCTGGCTGTCTTCTGTTTTCTGCTGGGAAATCTTCTCTTTTCACTGCACGATATTGATTTTCGTTCACACGATTCAGGTCAGTTTCCTGCAATTATTCTCATGTTTTTTTTTCATTGCTAGTTGGCTTATCGCACTACAAAAAAATAATTACACGAACTATTTTCAATATATGATCATCTATTTAGTGGAGACAAAAATCAGGGTTTCTCTTCATTGTTAATGGGGTTGTGTATTATGATTCCTCGCAACGTTATAATTTCTCTTACTATTTTAATATATTATAGTAATGAGTTTATCAGAGACACAACGTAAAACCGAGATGTAATTGTATAAAACCTCTCTTGTGTAGGAGCCAAGATTCCATTTAGTTTTGAACAACTATCTGAAATGGGTAGAATGCTGTGCGATACAACGCTTGGTGTTATTGAAATAATGAACCATGAAATCAGGACAACCACTGTACCTAATTATAATCTCAGATCTAAAATTGCTAAAGTTCGCCTCGGTGAATCACTTCGCGAAAATGAGATGTACAGTAAAGATAAATGGAATAATGTCTTAGAGGTGGGTCATTCTCTGTCGTGTCAAAACATTTTGTGCGCATTACGGCATACGTTTCGCGTATACAAATTAGATGTGCATGATGAGATGTGCATGATGTAGCTAGGAAACTGTATTTGTGGTAGACTCTTCCATGCAGTCACATGCATGTAATCCAATATTTTCTCTAATATCTCAAGGCGATGACCCGCGTGATCAAACAGTTACATTCACGTGACACAAGGTTACATTATTGTCCTATTGATCATTGGCTCTCGTCAAAAGTAGATCTTCAAGTTGAGTTGGTATGTAATAAGATTCAGACATCTCGTTTAATCTTTAAAGTCGTTCTTAGTCTTTTGTGCAGCTGAGATGCAAAAGTACAAACATTATTGTAGAGCACACGTGAAGTATGCCACATTTCAGAACAGTAATTTAATTTTTTCATTTCACTCTATATGCAGATTGATCTGGAAATATTTTTTCAAGAAAAAGGTTTGGACAATTATTTTGAAATTTTATCTTAAATCAGAAAAAAAAATTGATATTTTGTTTTGTATAGGAACTGTGAACCCGTCAGACTACTTACATGGAACGCCTGGAAAAACCTTTCTTCATGTCGCCATTTTAGAGCATATTCCTTTTGTTGTTCCCTTTGTCGATCGTGTCAAGGTACCATTGAGTCATTACGAGTTTATAAAGTCAAAACTCTCCAACATTCACTGAGTAGAACTATCCTGATACAGACTAGATTTTTGGTTTGATAATTGTAGTATATGAACAAAAGGTTTTGAACAAAACACATTTATGTTTCCTTACAATTGAACTAAAAATTTTTTTTATTGCTAACAAAACTGTACCATGTACATATGTCTATAAAGCAAGTTAACAAACTTTCAGTGTAGAGAGATTATTCTCTCGAAAAGCTGAGATTTTTCCACTGGTTTTGTTTCCTCTAATGTCTGGTTTAGATCAGTCTATTTTGCTTTTAAAACAGTTATTTCAAAGAATTCTAAATGAAGATAAGGTCAGACATGCTGGAAATCTGCATGGTTTCTTAATGGGTCCAGAAGTACGAATAAGAAGAGAGACATTATATCGAGATGCTTTTGATGAACTATCAGGTGATCAAGGTACGAACATTCACTTGTCAACTACTTTTAATTTGTATCGCTTCTAAACTAAAACAACTGTTGAAATAACCGGGAATGCGTTTTGTATTTTAATTCAGATCTCAAGCAGAGGATTCATGTTAAACTAATCAACTTACAAGGGTTAGAAGAAGCTGGTGTTGATGGCGGAGGTCTTTTCAGGTACAGTTGTCCATATTTCAACCATTTTCAGCTGTGCGTCATACCTGCTGTGCGCAGTACAACTTGCAAATAACCCAACCACAGGATTGCTTGTAAGAGATGACCAGGGCATTATTAATTCAGATCGCTTAAATAGAGTGCACACCCTAATCGTAATGCATGTTTTAATAACTCTAGATTTAATAAGGAATATGCTACGTTCGTATTTGATATATGTTTATCGCTTTCATGATTCTAGAGAGTTCTTGAATGAGTGTCTAAAGGCTGGGTTTGATCAAAATATTGGATTTTTCTCGTCTACTAGAAATGAATTACTTTATCCTAATCCACAGGTAATGACGTTTATTAGCAAGAATGTGAAATATATATGTGGCATTTAGTTGTGTGTTAATACCAAATCATTTCTATTCTGTTCTGTTTGAAGGGACATCTTGTTGATCAAAATGTTTTCGCGCATTATTATTTCCTTGGAAAGATGCTCGGAAAGGTATAAATATTAAAAATTGTTAGTGATGTGTAGCGATGACTTTTTCAAACTAACATTTCACTATCATTTTTGCTGATTCACATTAATAAATAAAGCGCATTTAAAGTGTAATTGTTTTATATTTATTTCAGGCGATATATGAAAACATGCTGGTTGAATTACCGTTTGCCAGCTTCTTCCTTTGCAAGGTACTAAGTCAAACCAATGCAGATGTTGATATAAATCATCTAGAATCTTTGGATCCGGAGATGTACAGGTTCGTTAGAAATAATTTTAGTATCTACCAATTCATCATCTTGTCATCATCAAAGCAAAGTGATATTTCAGAAAACATCGATGTTTTTCTTAAGGAATTTACTGTATTTGAAAGATTGTCCTGATGTTGAGGATCTTGATTTGAATTTTACTGTAATTAATGACAACCTGGGCCATTCAGAGGTACAACTAAGTTTCTGTTTAATAGTAGGGTTCGTAAAATAGCAATCCTACAATGACATAGCCTGGGTAACGTAACGTTCAGAAATACACGAAGTAATGGACTTCTCAGTTGCTAAAAATAATATATTGCCTATTTATGCATGAAAAATATATTGCATTGCATGGAAGCCCAAATAAAGTGAATTTTTTATCCACGGTATAGAACAGTTCTTGACGTGTTATTTTTAAAATACAACAAGTTAGTGATCGTATTACTGCGGTAATCTCACATTGACTAGATTTTTGTAACCTATTCTTAATGTATCGATGAAAGGTGGTTGAATTAAAACCCGGAGGTCGAGATATCGTTGTAACCAACCAAAACAGAATTGAATACATCCATCTTATGGCTGACTACAAATTAAATAGACAGGTGTGTAGAAAGACAGCGGGTCGTACGCATTCAGGCCGCGGTTCAATTGTATTTTTGAACATCATAATCTTTTATTTAAACAGATTCGTCCCCATTGCAACGCATTTCGATCAGGACTATCAACTGTGATTGATATCTCTTGGCTTCGTATGTTTGATCCTAATGAACTGCAGGTAAACTATACATTGTGCTGTACAGAGTCTGACTTGTTTGTTTAGTACAATAATTGCCTTTTCAGTCTATACATATGTCATACAAACATTCTACAATTGATAATTTAAATTAGGTTGGGTTAACTTATTTTTGACCCCAATTTTCATATTCATATTCCATTTTGTTCATGGTATGTTCTTTCTGATTTTTCACATCTTTCCATATTCTCTTTTATCTCAGATGTTGATCTCTGGTGCGCAAGTTCCCATAGATATCGAAGACCTAAAAAGCCATACTTCATATTCAGGTACGCTCAAATTTATACCGCCAACTCATCAAATGTCGTTAACAAAAATCAATTTTTAAATATTGTCTTCTTTTATAACCTTTGTAGGTGGTTTTAGCGAGGACCACATTTGTATGAAATATTTTTGGTCAATTGTGTCACAGTTTAACGATGATCAAATGCGTCAACTTTTGAAGTTTGTCACAAGTTGTTCACGACCTCCTCTTCTTGGCTTTAAGGTTTGTTTTGGGAATTCTTCAGTATTAAGGCAGCTTTGGCCAACATAGTTCGATTACTCTTGATCTACATACGCGGGATACCTAGTATGCAATCCGTTTATCATTAATTCCGTCTATAACTCGCACTAGTAGAATCACGTAGACTAGAAAACTAATAATGCTTCAAAGATGGACAGGTTTTTACGAATTTTGCCATCTCACTAAATATACAAAGGCTGCCAGAAAGACCTAAAAATTTTATTAAACAAATTACTCAAAGCATAGTGACTGTGCTTAAAGTAATCATAAAATATAAAATGGCGGATTTCCAGTCGGTTTCTTTCAATTGGCGGCAACATCGCGACTTTACATGCATCGCGCTTTGCCGTCTGCAATCCCCACAGCTAGGCGCGTTTCTTTCCACGATGATTTGATGAAAAATATATATTGTGTGCTCTGTTTTGAAAAAGGCTGTACATTTTGGGCAATGTTGTCTATGTAAAATCAGGTTTGATTTTTTATAATTTTTTATGTGTTGACTTTTTAAGCTTGTTTATATAAACTACAGTATTTTAGTTTTACTGATTATACAGTCAATGAAAGAACAGAAACATGAATTACAGCAAAACCGAAAACGTTTAGAGAATACTATATTTTTTAACCTACAATGAAAACATTTCAATTTCATCAGAAATCCTTGTCTCAGTAAATCCTGTTTTTCCTGATAAAGAAAACTCATGCAGCATAGGCTTAGTCTAGTCTTGATTTCATCAAATGTGTACAAATGTTTCTAATATTGCCTATATAATTTTCACATGCATTCTACATTCTATAGTAAACCGTGTGACGCGTGTGGATGGATAAGATTTGTCCCATATTAAAATATTTATATCTGCTCGTTCCAGGATCTTTATCCGCCATTCACGATACACACCGCTGGAAGTGAAGACAGACTTCCATCAGCAAGCACGTGTGTGAACTTACTCAAGTTGCCCGAATATCCTGACCTGGAGACAATGCGGCAAAGATTATTATATTCCATTGAATCTGGTGCTGGATTTGAACTCAGCTAACTGGGAATAATTGTTTAATATTGGAATCTTGTGAAATGCAAGTTGCGTGTTTTAGAAAAGACCTGCAATGAAGATTTCCATTTGGTAGCAATGGCCTGTTTACATGTATACGACGCATGTGTACTTCACGTACACAGGACGAGACAGCTGCTTCTATAATACAAAATATATAAAGTGTTCCTGTAGATCTTCCCGCGACCATTCCTTGTATGCGGGATCCTAGAATCTGTCGCGAGTTTATGAGAATGAGTAAATTAGCACTTTTATATAGCTTCATTCTGGCAAATTTTTTTAGGTACGACTTCTCTTCTGGGTGTATGGGTTAAAAACGCAGTAAGGTGAACATATGAAAACAGTTAATGTTGTCATTAAAATAACATGAATTACAGGCTGTAAATTTGTAGCTATCAAACAATATTTATAAATTTTGACGTAGTCGCTCATCTTGTGTTTATAAACGGTAGTATTGTAGCCTAATTTCGCGAAACACGAAAGGGAAAACGTTTCGTTGGCGTGTTTTCGTTATCTGAAAGCGAAACTTCGTTGGTGTCTTCTCTTTGTTCAGTTACGGTCCAAGTATAACGCTTTTGAAACTCGAGTTGCCATACACTAGCTTGATAGGAATACATTTCCATTTATGATAGTAATACTGGAAGAATAACTTCACTTAAACGAAGCAGTGGAGCCGTCCTACGACTGGTAAGATTTAACGACCGAAGAAAATTTGTTGGAAAGTACCACTGATTACAAATTATTTTATATTGATATAACTATACATGCATATAATTGTCTACGGTGGACGTCGTTTTATGCATGGTATCTTGTATTGAGTGCGGCCAGTAACATCAGGCGGTTACTTCTAAAAATTGAAAATGGCAGTGTTATCCTATTATCTATATAATTATATTTTATACAAGACTCCATTGTTAAAAACTTGCTTTTCAATGAATATCAGTTTTGTCTTACCTTTCCAGTGATTGAGGTCAATCTTAGGAATACTGCTGCAAGGTAATCGCTGAACATCATTGTTGATTGCACGGAACGTATTCTTTTGTACAGTCAGTTTTTTACCACCTTTCAGGTTATCACAAAGTACACGACTTAACGAACTCTTTTTTATTTCTTGAAGTTGAGATCTTGTAAATACTTTTCCTCTTCGGTAAAAGAAGCGATCTCCATCTCTAAGACGAGCAAACTGTTCCTTAATAAGACAAGTGAACGTGGGACCAAGTATCGAACCTGGCAAAGGACGTTCAGCTATTCCTGCCACAAACAAATCTGCAATTGTTGGATCATCTTTGTATAACGTTGCTGAAAAATCTTCCTGTTTTCTGGCGAGATTTCTTTTATGGTATCTTTGAATGTTCGGGCGTCGGATAGTCCACAATATCTCCTAAAATCATTGTATCCAGGCAGACCATGATCTCTCCCTCGCTGAATATTCAAAGCAATCAAGTTCAGTCCCGGTGAGTGATCACGCTCAAATAAGTGATTCATAATTCCAGCAGAAAAACTGCGGTCGACCTTTTCTGCTTCAAACGTGCACAGACCAAGCAACAAATGATCAATTCCGTGCCTGTTGATATAAGTGTTGTTGAAAAACATGTGTTTGAGGGGTATCGGTGCCCCTACCTTCCGATGATTTTCGTCCAGAATATCGAAAGATGGTCGAATGGTGCTGTGTCCAAATCTATATGCAGCCGCCGCCACTGAATTAATAATCCCAGGATTAATCCAGTATTTGTATCCAGAATATCGCGGTAAAGCATTATGACCAAATAATTCAGGCAGGTAATCTTCGAAAGTGATCTTTTGTAAGATTCCCCCAACAATCTTTCTTGTCTCTTCGTAAATAGTGTCTCCTGTCCAATGAGGGTTAATTTGAATCAATTTCTTTGCGATACGGTTGTGCTCTCTAACAAACAATGTATGAATTGAAGCCAATGCCACTTGTTCACTTGATCTGGTATCTCCAGCTAAGAAACAACCACCAGTCATTCGGCACAGATCATTCGGAAACATTAATTCTGAAGTATCCAGTGGCATCATGTCACCGTGTGAAGAATGACGTACTTTTAGTAATCCTCTGTTGGCTGTAAAAACAGTTGTAAAAACATGATTTTGTTAAAGGTCACACAATCTAATACAAGAGGTTGGCCACGCATAGTGCAAGTTCTTACAGTGTCATGGTAAATCTAACTGCTATTTTAGCCGAATTTCTGATGGTCGAACACTATCTACGTTATAACTCTAGAATGATATCCTAGTACTTGATAGCGGCTCGAACCGAAGTCTTAAAACACTACTCATGCATGCATGAAGACCGACTTCAGCGTGTCTGACTAAATCCCGGCTGCCTTAATACTTTGGATGATGACTTAGATAGAAATAACTTTTTAAGTACTTACGAGAAAAATCTCTCAAGTTATTTGCTAATTTTAAAGTTGACCCATATATTTGTGAGCCATCTATGAAAGCTGTATTTGCATTCATTTGTTCTCTTCTTCCCAACTTCATCTGATAAGGGTCACACACAGCAGCAGTCCTCGTGAAGTGCAGGCAATTGGACGACTTATGAGGAAGAATTGGGAAACAAGGCGGTTCAAATGCTTTTGATTTTTGATGGCAACTAAAGAAGAGAATATCAAAGAATGAATAAGTCAGTAATCTTCGCCCTGATGTCATGATGAAGAGAATATATGATCACGTGATTACACGGTGAACAGGAGGAATTCCTGGAACTTTGCTGGAAATAATTCCAAAGATCTTGTCGCACCTTAACATATTTTGAAATCTTCGCTGCTAAGAAATTTTTTGTTCATCATTGGTACGTACCTTACCCGACGACATTTGTCAGCACCTTCACTTTCGGGAGCGAGGGTGAAATCATGATCCAAAAATTGTCCCCACTGCATAAGAAAGTGTGAATGAATCTCTTTTCCAGGTAACGAGTGTCTTTGAATGATGACAAACTGTTTCGTAACCTCGAGAGGATGGGGAACAAGAGGTGCATTAGGTAGATCAGGGGATCCCAGAGGATCTTTCATGCCATCAGGATCGTAATATTTTGCAGGAAGCACCCGGGTAAATGCACTAGAAGACGACCCATAATGAGGACTCTTGATATTGTTACACGTGCCATCTATGGAGCGATATTTTGCATGTATTCTGCAAAATGTATGATCAATTTTTCTTTTTGGACATCTGGATACAAAGAGTAATTTTCGTATCGTCATTGGGGAGAGTAAATGTTTTACTGAGGCGCTGACCACCACCGACGGAAAACGTCCTGAAAATAAAATAAATGCGGGATATTCGCAACTGTACGTTTTAAAACGGGCTTACACGTCGCAAGTGCAACTCTTTAGAGCGGATGAACTTGGGTATGCAAATATGCATCCTTGGGCTTTTGCTCTATAATCTTGCCTACGTCATTGCTTACGTTCACTCAATAATAGAGTTAACTATGCTTGAAGTGCAAGCTGTTATGCCCTGTTAACCAAGATGGAATCATTGATTGAAAGGACCACAGGAAATATGGTCAAGTATCACATCATATTGCTGTTATACGTTGTATAGAATTTTAGCTACATGCATAAATACTTACTTTTGAAATGAGACTTGATTGCCCAAGCGACTTTAGCACATGCATTGTCTAATCTTGCTTGTGCTGAGGAAATCTTCGTGGAAAGTGCATTCACTTTTGGCGATATCCAACGAACAACTTGATAAAGGCTTTCAGGTGAGATATTTCGTGATAAGCGATTAGTTTTCAGTAATGAGGAAAACCTCCTCCGAAGTGATTGAATAATTTTGTCACCATAATAAAGACGCAGCGCAATAATACGAACCCAAGTGTTTGATTGACATCTACAGGAAGGTGATCTACATTGCTTGTTTTTTAATGCTGTACTTGCAGAAACTCGAAATGTCGTCACTTGACTTCGGTTGGGAGAATATCGTGGAGAATTTTTGTAGTTTATTTCAATCGAACCATCATTTTTGCCAATCTTCACATAAGGATGATATGAAAGCAGCTTGTAGGTGATTGGTTTGCCAGATTTTGAACTAGCTCGTACTTTGCCTATCGTGCCAAATGTTCTACCATTCACAACAACAAAATTATAGGTATGCTGATGAAACACAACATCTGAAACCCAAACAGAAACAATGATTGTGAATAATTAACACATATAATAATGCATGCACGAGACTGTAAACTACCCAGTTTTCTATAACCAACATGGGGAAGAGGTGTTACCCAGTCAGATGTTTCCGCTTTCAAGCGAGTATTGAATTTTAAAAAGGAGCAAAGCAAAAGATGGCTGATGAAAACAACTCTCTAAAGTTGCTGCGTTACAGATGAAGTATGTTAGATCTTTGTTTTTGTGAAATGTGCTATCAATATTTTAAAAATTATTAGTCATGTTCTCTCTGTTAATGAAAATGTCATAATCATGACGAAACATGGACAAAAAAGTTCTTTAGAGTGAACTGTCATTTTGCATATTTTTACAATCAAAGAAGGAGCATTCATTTAGGCATGATTGTGGCAATAATTTGCATTCTATATTTAAAATACGCCTTAGCCCCATATATCCTTGTCTTTCAACTTCAGATTATCATATGTAAGAGAAATATTTAAATGTGTGTGTACTTATCGTAAGTTATGGTAACCAATTATTTTTCTTTCCCACGGTTCTTCTAGATCTAGTATCTACCAGGCTGTTGTATTTGCCGGTATCGGAATAAATTATCATTCCCGTGGCATTAATGAAGTGGGGAGTGACAATAGACAGTATGAGTATATTGCAACTTAGTATATTGTAGCGTGCGAGTAAATGAACGACTTCAAATAATCTTTATAGTGACTTAGCAGACAGGAAACGCCGGTCGTTATTTAATACTACGGAAATTACTGCTATAAATCGGACTTTTATACAAGTTTTGAGCGATTAAAATATAATTAATGCTGCGATTTAACAATGTCAATGACAGTGGATGACGGTGAATGACAGACAATGACAGTAATGCAGCGACAACGCCGACAGTACGTATTGACAATATCGGGTATCATAGTACATGCATGCACCGGTACATCGAGTTTTAAACTCTCAGCATCATGAATACACTTAGAATTTTCAATCTCAGAATTTGAGATATAGCTATAGAAGAAAACACTTGTCATTTTTAACACAAGGTTTTTTTATATAATGACAAGCCTCAAGAAACGGTCCAAAGCGAGAATAAGTCCTTGTATTTTTAATAAATCGTTTGTATCATGCAGCATGCAGTCATGATCATATTTGAAACATTTCTCTCTGGGTTATCCTAGGTAATCCAAAATTTTTAAGCTAGGATGCATGTGCTAACTATAGTAAGTAAGTTTGACTGCATTTCCTTTACTCACCAGTACAGCGTTGATAACGTCGATTTACATGATGGTACCACGAGAAATATCGAGGACTTTTTTCACCTGTTTCTTGATCGAATATTTCATGGTTTAAATCATTTGTTCCAACCAACCTTTCTTGTAGATTCGACGATACCAAATTTACCAAAAGAAAACACAAAATTCCCCTGAACAACATTTTACCCGTGGCCACGTTGATTAATAAACGAAGTGATCGAATGCACTTGATGAAATGTTCTACATCAATCTTACGTTATATATACTACCAATGCTCTTTATTATCTTTCATTCTGACTATTCTGTGGGTTTGAACAAAGAGTAAAGATTTGGAAGTACTTGTGTGTAAATATCAAAACGATATTGTTTTTTGATGTAATCAGGATTTTACACAATAAAACGTGCCGGAATTTCAACAATATCTTCCAAGACAGCCAGAAATCCGGTGCGAACCCTACCGCTTGATATCTTCGTTAATTCACTTAGAAATAAAAGTAATTTATTTCTTTCAAACTTTTGATATTTCTTTTTGATACTAAAACTCAGCGTGTAAACCTAACTACGTCTTCGTGTATTTAAAAGCCATAGCGTCTGTGACTCAAACACATTGAGTGGGATCTCTCAGTCATCTTGAAACTATTCCAGTATTTTCACTTGGCTGAGGGTTTTGATGTTGAATGTTTTAGTTTTACTCTTGTCGTTGACTGAGGCATTGACTTTCTCAATGATCAGAAAGAAATAAAATTTGTGTCACTTGTTAAGTGTGGATTTACGGACGTTAGGGTAGGGATTGAATGTGAATGCATCTTTCACTTTTTCATTTCTTACTTTTTCTCTTTCAGGATGGGTGAGGTAAAACAAAGGCACATTGAAAATGTCACAAGAATTACGTGTGCACGCATTTTTTCAGAAGCAGCCTCGCTACTAATGGCAATTGTTGCCATGACAACTTTTTTCTCTTTGTCTTTGTTTTAACAGCCAAAATGTAGTAAAATGTGCTGTCTTAATGCGCTAGATGCTTCTTCAAAATAAGCTGAAGCATTTTTAATTATGCGTAGCAAATCAATATTTTCACAGAGTTTGAAAATACAGAGCGACAAAGCACCTGTTTTTATGACCCGTCATGCAACAAAGTGAGGTGGGTGAGAATCTGAAGCCTCGCCCCCCCCCTATGAATTACGTAGTTACGGTCAAGTATCCTTCGCTTCCGCAACCTTGGTCGCGCACATCCACCCCAAAATTAACGTTTAACAACATTAAATTATGTAGTAATTGAGGTGGATGTTGTTGTTTCACTTTTTCACAAACCGTATAAACCTACCTTGTTGACTTTCAAAACAAGTATTTTCTTCGAGATACAACCGCTAACGAAGGTATCTTATAGTACTTAAAACTATAACTTTCAACTTGCTTTAACATGCAAGCATCACGTCGTCTATTCTGACATTGAGAGTGCGCGTCTGCCGGAATTGTTTATTAATAAAGATACTTCACATGGAGATAACGACAAAAATATCTTCAAGTCTTTGTTCTATTTGAGCTATGCAAGGAATGACAATAATAAAAACGTCAAGCCAACTCTTATCGTCAATCATTAGGTGATTAGGTTTTATAAAAGGAATCGTTATTTCGATAATCTCGTGATTTCCAAGACTACATGGGTGGTGATGTCAACTCCCACAAACTGTAATCTTATTCCAGAAAAATACTTGACTATAAATGACCTGGTAAAGAAATCCTATACTTGGTAACCACCAACATAAAAAAAGCGTCTAGGAATGTCTAAATTTTTTCAATCTAATTAAAACCCCGTGCTTGCATTACACTCAATTTGCTGGACGCGGGGTGGTTGAAACTGTGCGTTGTATACCGCGACCTATCTCGTTTTCTTACTGGAATCATCTTTCTATTTTTATTTCATTCCATTTACATAACTGACTCTCTAGAAGGGAATATCGCAGCAATATAATACTAGAGATCTTGAAGCACTTTTGATTTTCCTACGCTTTCGTTTCCCTATTTAACTTTATGCGGTTTTTCTGTCGATTAATTTAGTTAAAAAAACTACTTCAAAGAGTCAAGCTTTAAGATTCCTGTTTGTCTGATTCAAAGATAATTAAACCCACCATAAAGTGTCAAAAAAAGAAGAGTCTCTCAATATGTGTATATATTTTTGATTTTGTGTGTTAAGGCAATAGGGAAAGCCGTTTCTGATAAATTAATGAGAAAGACTGACTGAGCATGCATGATGCACGCCATTATATACAAACACTCAACTCTGCAGGTCATAAATTATGCCAATACAGTTTCTTGCGATCTTTTTTTTGTATCAAACTAGCTATATTACTCCAAAATATATTCTTGCAATATAATCCAAACTATGAATTGAGATGCATGCATACAATGTTTAAAAGTTTTCCTTTTTAAATCCAAAATGATATTTCTGACACAGACTTTTTAGTATTTTCCCCAGGGCGGCATTTCCACAATAGAATACTGTTATGTGTCCATAATCCATTGCTTTCAAGTCCTCGAAAACCTAGATTGAAAAATTTTACAAATTTAGTATATTTATATGTGACAGAACATGATTTATTGAATAATAACAAACCTCCTCCCAGTCTGGTCTTCCTGCGTTAGTTCTCGTTCTTAAACCAGTGATTAAATCCCTTTCTTTCTTTTCATGGAGCAAATCAAGTGCCAGTTGTAAGCCAAGCGCTTTCATATCTTGTTTTCGTAAAGCTGATGTCATGTAGATGTGCATGTCTAAAAAATGTTCACTAAAAACGCCTTCATGTTCGGATTGTTGCACTTCGAGCTCTCTCATCAAACTTAGAAACCATTCAAAGGAATATTGATCACGGTTGATCCAAAAGAAATCCACCTAAATTTTTTACAGATGAAATAAAATATCCAGTTGCAATAATCGAAATATGCTACAAAATCCGTTTGAAATGGTAAGACAGCAAATATATCAGTTATACTATCAGCTTCAACATAGTTATAGCAATTCCAATTTACCTTTTGTAATTTCCTCAAAGAGAACGGAACATTTCCAACCCAGGAGTAGGAACATTTGGGACAAGAATGGGATGCGTGTTGATATCTTAGCATGATTGTTTTCAGAATTGATGCAAATGGCGTCACACCGATACCACATGAGATTAAAACTGCATGCTCAGCCTCGGAGAAATCTGTCGATGGAGTTCCGTATGGGCCATTCAGATATATCTAAAGAGAAGAAAAAATCTCATTGACGATGTTCAAAGACTGTCATTTGCTTTGATTAGAACCGACCTGATCTAACTAGGAAGTTGTAATTAATATTCTAATTGTTACGCAGTCGCTAAACTCTCACCAGCAACTTGCTTTCAGTCGTCACGGAATCCCTTTTTTCTTTGGAAAAGTTAACTAGTTCTACTTCTTCTTTCTTATTTATTTTCTTTCTTACACTCCTTCTCAATGAACCAGTTTTTGCTTCAAATACAACTTCACGTAATTCGCCATCCTCTGGGTCATCCTCGATAATCACCCCCAGTCTTTTACGTCGAATATTTCTGGCTCTCATTTCACGAATCGACAGCTCATTATCTCTACACAGATCGATAGAAACAAAGAAGTGTTTAGGTTTTATTCTTTGCTGAAATAACCGCTGTAACCGCTCGTTGTAGTCACCGCGGTTAACCTTGCAAGCATTCATGAACAAGTTATTGGAAAAACTAAAACAATTTTGACCCGGAATCGCTAGAGACTAATTGAACGGATAGATTGAGTGTTTCAGTGTTTCGCAAGATGCACGAGGATATTATTTTAGATCGTACAAAAGGTCCAGTTTCGTATTGCGATCTGTGACACGCGTACGCACTTAGCTGTACCATAAGCCTTTAATACTATTAGACTTACTACCTCTCCAACCTTTCTCCAACTTACCTTTCAACTTCTCTAGCTTTGAATGTCTTTTGTCTTCGGATTGCTGTTCGTTTTAATGATAATCTCTTGCATTCTTCTTTTTCTTCTTCTTCGTAATGATCAAATAATTTCTTGGTCCATGTTCCCACTGCACGAATATGCAGCCAAATATAACTGGACTGTTCTGGGGGGCTGCTGATCGTAAACGGATGCCATTCATATTTCGCAATCTTGGGAATATTTACCAACACGTAGTCGCCAGGTTTATAGTGGAAGTTTGGAGGTCTTTTGATCACCAGATGGGTCACCTAAATCACAAAACCTTATTGATATCCCCTTAACACGTAAAACTGCAGAACTTTGTAAGCGGTAGTATAAAGCATGGTCAATACATATTTTATATGATCTTTGAAAAGCCACTGTGTTCAATTTAAACTTTTACAACCTTCATGGTGACAATGTACGAATCAGAATTTTTGACATACCGTCGGCCGGTGAATGAGGCCCGCGAAGAAGAATTGTGTATAGTATGTAGAAGAATGAGTAGACAAAAAACTGAATAGATAATACCTTCGAGGGATATGTAATTCCTTCTTGTATGAACGTCTTTCCGTATCGAGCTCTGTTAACGATCCTTAAACTCCATATTCTTTCGCATAAATAAATAAATGCGGGACCAATAAACCATTTCCAAAAGTCCGGAGCATGAAGAATCAATAAAGTCCACCAGAGAATGTATAAATGATGAAAAACGTAAAACAACTAAAATGGAAAAGAGAAAACCGTGATGCATGACAAGGCTGCAATTCATTTATATTAATAATATTTTTTCATATTTATTCTAACGATACCGCGCAGACTTTCAAAATAGACAAAAAATTTAACATAATCAACTAACGCACCTCGAAATATCCTCGCTCTCTAACAAATGGTTGAGACAGTACAAATATAATTCCAAGAATTATCAAAAGTAAAATTCCGGTCATTCCTGCTGAACCTCCAACCCAACCTTCAGGAGTTTTTAACGTAAATAAATATTCCCAAACTTCGAAATGCGTAGAGTTGCCGCTGCTCTGAGCCATGTTCACTAAAAATACAAAACATTGGATATTAAATGATCGCGATGAATGGAATAGCTCAGTATATAAATCCCGGATTATTGTAAGCCTATCCAGTTCTACAATTTGATGACTAACCGTATCTTCCAAGATGTCCAGCACAATGAAGAATTGAGAAAATGAAAATAATCACAGCAACTCCTTTATGATACTGAATATGTTGATCTATAGGAAGGTATTTGCCGATCCAAGTTGAACGTAGCCACGTAAGAGAGCTCTTTAACATTAGGACTAAAACAAACACGCTATTAAAGTTCAAACACATCCCAAATGTTCGAGCAATGATTATCCAAAAACTTTCGTTTCTTCTTTGAAAACCAACCCAAATAAACAATGCAACATTCAGGAAAGAGTAGACAGCTACAGCTGTTACTTTTGATGGGTTTTGATGAATATAATTCCAACGTAGACGTTTGGGGATGAAACGAGATATTGGCTTCTTTATCTTTGGTGTAGGAGGTTGAAGCAAGTGGCCAACACTACATTTAAAATGAAATAGCAAATGGATCTCAGTCAACATTACTATACCTGCCTGGCTGTCTCGCCTATCTCGGCTGTCTTACTAAACTGAGCCGAAAAGTCTGTAGATTGAAACTTCCTGTCTCCAAATGTTAGGCAGTTGAATCACATTTTGTGGTAACTTCTTTGAAGAAGCTGCTATATTACCCACTAGTCATCTTGGAATGTAACTGGAATGTAACTGGAATGTACCTTTTTTGAAACCCTATAATATGACACGTACCTGACAGATAAATTCTCAGCCAATGCTGGATATTTTGAAAGAAAGTTTTTGAATTCCTCCAAATCAATAACCCCAGCACGTTCTGACTGTACTTCTTCAAAAAATACTTCCATGAGTTCATCCACTTGCTGATCATTCAATCTTAGTTTGCTCTCTTCAAGGCCAGAAAGAAGTATGGTTTTCATTTCCTCACGATTTAAATAACCATTTCCTAGAGGAAAGATTATAATTCTATCCACATCAGATAATTTTTGTGTTCGCCTAGATTTCGATTCGAGATACCCGTCAGAGTAAATATAATTTATACCGTCAATGTCGTAGACACGAAAAAGAAAGGTAAGTTTATCCGTGACTGTTCCATTTCTTAAGAGTTCCAATCCTTCAATCAACTCTTTCATGTCGATCTTCCCGTCTCCATTTTTGTCGAATATCGTGAAAAATCTTTCAGCGAAAAACACCTGGACACAGAAGAATTTGAAACATTAGCTACGTTGATATAGTCCGACGCCAAGTATACAAACTGGGTGTTGTCTTAGAGTTTATTGATAATACGAAATCCCCACCATGCTACATATAGTATATATTTGAAGGAGATCAAATTTCTGCCGGTATATTCCTCATGCATTCACACAATTCGTTTTAGTTCAATGATGGCCACTTGTACCTGTTCGAGTTGCAAAGTTTCTTTAAATTGTTCAAAAGTAATCTTCCTGCCTTTCAAAGAAGCAACGTTGAAATGTTCCTCTATCCATTCAAACCATTTGATATCGGTGGTTGCGCTTAAAACAGATATAGTTGAAATCAGTTTAATTAGTTCGTTAGTTATGCGGAGCCAATCAAAATTCTTGTAACATCGGACATTTCGCGCTTGACGTCATTATGATAAAGGACCGTCTGTTGACTTCAATAAACTTAGCGGCCCGTCATGCAATCTTTTCCGACGGTCCGTTCTAGAAAACATTTCCCTCAGAAGCGTATGTTACTTTACTATTCGTACCACCAAAGCAGTAAATAAAATTTATACGGTGTCTTACCATTCTAATCTATCAAGACTTCCAATAAATTCATTGATATCGATAACTCCGTCAGAGTTACGATCGAGAAGACCAAATAATTTCTCTGTGAACTAAAGAGACAGTAAATTTGAGGATGTATAATTTTAGGGGCAAGGCATCTGTTACTTCTGAATGAAGTGAATCATTAGACAATTAGTAATTGATCTGGATGCCACGCTCAGTGGGGTCATCAATGTTTGTGCAAACATCTTATGCAAGACTGCACTTTTCACTTCCTCAAGAGTTGCTAAAATAAATATTATTTTTGTGTTTCAGAATATCTCGAACCACAATCGTACCGTTTTGTTCTCAAATGCTTGTTTGAAATCTCTAAATCGTATCTCACATGTTTCGCAACAATAATTCTTTTTGAAGTAATTCGTAAACCACTGCAGTGTCTTCTCCCCGCTGGCCTTTCCGCTCTCTCTGAAAAAATAAATCATTTCAGTGATTTCATGTTTTTTCCAGTAGACGAATGCAATATACATTTGTATTATTGGAGAATGCTTAAGAAGAGACCTGCTGTTTTCGACGAATAACATTAGAACATATTGGTCATGAGATGAAAGCCTATTAGAGGTTTCGGTAATGCGTCCCTGGAAATGTTTTGAAATTCAGGCAGACTCTTGCAATCGCGATTTGCCGCGATTTCAAACGAAAGTGTCTAGACGTATCGAAAGGAATTGCTATGAATATTTAATTGAAAGTTTCCCGACTCTCGACGTTCTCGAGTACAAATTGTCCAACAAAATCACCAATTTTGTCCAATCAGGGAGGGAGGCTGTTATATAGGTATATTTTTTCCATACAATGAAAGTAAAATTTGGTTAAAAATGGTGTTATATTTTGTGAACTGAGAGCGTTTGGTTTAGCAAATACTTTTACAGGACATATGTGAGGAAAGACTTTCATTGACATGGTTTATCTTGGTTGATCAAATTAGCTAACAAAATACGAGTAACGAGTCAATAAACCTTGGGTTAATACGTGATCTACGTGATCTAAGTTAAGTTAAGTAAAGATATTCTATGCGCAGTAAATTCATCTTACACCATGAGCAGTCGAAGGCCTCCGATTAATTCCTGGATACTTATATAACCACGATTCTGTGTGTCGAAAAGTTCGAACAAGTTCTGGACGAAATCCTGAAAAGATACACGGAATAGTTATTTATGTGTATTTGGGTGCTTGAAATTATACTACAGTGCTTTAAAAGTAAACAAACTTAGAATGCATCTGAGTTTGTTGTACTGTGGTTAACATTTGTGTCCGTGCTTTCCAATGGCAATGAATCACAAGGTTCGTGGGGTTCGCAGCATTCGGCGAAATACAACATTCCTGCTGCACAAGATAGCGAGTTTCTTTTGTCACATTGTAAGAGCCTAATTTGTTCAAACATATGGTCTAAACAAGCTCTAAATATATCCCACTCAAAAACGCTTTTTAGAAGTAATGATGTCAGTATTGCAAATATCTCCTGCATGAATTATAATTCACAGCAATAAATATGCTCCGTGTGATATTTGAAGGATATTGAATATACACAGAAGATCTGAATGAAATGATTTGAAGTAATTTACTAGAAGAAGTAGATGAGTAATTTGAAGGATGATCTATCACCGATGATAATGCTTGCAGCTTAAATTAGCATCTCCTTTCTTCTGGTAACTTCCAATGAAAGTTGTGCGTTATCGTTTAGCTCAGACATTGAAGGAAAACAGCCTGATGCCAGACATTACCACACTGGTAGCAACGATTTTAAAGATAATAAAAATTCGAGCTTTGTATTCATTCAAAGTGGCAACGATAGCCTTAAAAGAAAGGAATTACGCCTAATTCTCTATACTTGGCACCATTAATTCTTATCTGTTCATGTCTATCATCAGCAAAAATCCCATTTTTCACATATATTCTTATCTACAACCATACTAATTACTTTTATGTTTCTCTTACTGGCCCTGCATGGGTGAAATTATAATGTGAAATATTGCTTGCAAACTTTGTCTTTAGTGTTTGTTTGGTTTACTTTTTATCATGCACGTTTTTTCATCCGACCCCCGTGGCCAAAAATCACGGCTTAATTCATTCTATACTAACTTTATTTCCTAATTTACATATCAATTGAAAGAAATGGCCTCGACAGTAAATATTAATTGTTTAAGCGATGACGGAATCGCGAAATCTGTTAACAATGTAGGTCGTTTTTAACTGGCCTAACTCGCTGGATGCAAAACAAAATTTATCAAGGTAATATGTGTATACTTCTGGTCTAGAATAGACTGCCGCCTATCTTGTTTTTCAATCATCGATGTGCAGTATTTTCTTTATAGTGTTATACTGGAAAATAAAGTAAAAACATATCTTTATACAGATATATAAAAATATCCGGAATAGTGTTAACATCGTGATTCTTGTATCACTATATGTTGCGATTTGAACAACTTGCAAGCCACCTAATTTACTTTCAGATTTACGATTGAAAACATAGGTATAATATACTTCTAAAGAAACCTTATAGCTATCAATATATGCAAATTATAGTAATGGAGTAGAATTTTTTAAGATTTCTGGACATGATTCTGCTAATCTCCGAAGTCGTAGAGGCCCTTTACCCAAAAACGTCGTTCTCACTTCAAATTTCCTTCAATAATCACGGTATATATTTTACCTCAATGTCATGGGTTGCCTTAATAAACAACAGTTTATCGATCACGCCATTATTTCCAACGGCATCGAAAGCTTTACCAAACCATGTTGATCTTCGGTTGATTGTCTTGGTGTCTGTTCGTCTGGTCTTGACAGGACTGCTGAGTGATACACGACTTTCACCCGGAGCGGGAATTTGCACGGACAGACGATTTGATCGCTTCTGTTGTTTTGTTTCTTCCAATAATAAACTTTCTCTGTCTGCCGCCATTTCATATCATAAACGTCCTAGAATGGTAGAAGAATATATCGAACATTGTTTTCTATTTCGATTATATCCTCTTCACCGATAACGCTGCGGTGTTTTTATAAAGAAAAATACATGTATATTGGTCATCAATGTACTCTTTCCAAATTATTTCCAAAGACGGAGGTATATGATTATATATATACTGATATTTGAATTATTGTACTAATTATTCACTCTCGTGGAATATCCTTTGAAGTTTGACCTGTAACTTCATTTTAATGTAAGCTCTGTGTAAAATCCATTAATCTTAACAACAAGAATACCTCACAGAGAAGGCAAATCATTCGCTACGTTTTGAGATAATCGGCAGCACCATATACAGGTGGACTTAGTCACATAATAAATAGGGTGGATGAATGTGACGTGCATAGGATATTGTAGTATTATTTGTATTGGGGGATGACTTTTTAATGCGTTATTTGTTTTCTTTTTCCGTATACAATAAAAAACGCAGCACTTCCTTTAAACAATCGAATACTTGCCAAACACAATATCCAGTTACTTTTTACTGCCCTATTCACTTCAAGTATATTAATGATAATATATTTAAAATGATTTATGTCGCACGTAAAGATAAAGTGAGTTATGAAAATATATAATTTATATAGTTTTTAATTTGTATGTATTAGTTCATCCACTGGCGCTGATCATTTTTGCCGAGAGCATTATAGGTTTGGTAAAGAATCTTCTCCTCAGACAGCTCTCTCTAGATTGTTTTTCAAATAAATAAAATGCACTTTAGTCGAAATTCAGCTGTTTGAAACACAGCCAAAAAATCCAAAGTTATGTGTCTTATGTCGGTTGTTGAATCTGAAAATGGGATTATCATTCAGTTGCGAAGAGTAAAGACAAACAATGCCGCCAGAGCCGCTTGCTATGAGAGGTCGGGTCTTATATCTACTTATATGAAGTATAAAATTTTCCTGAATTTTTTTGAATTCCAATTTCCATCAACTTAGCTGGTATATTGATGGTCTACTGTTTGCCACTACAGCTGTGCTTTTTGTCTCGTTGTTCAATCAGTTGGTATATAATGTTTAATACATGCCTGATGCCCCTAGGACATGCATGCACCCTTATATTAAGAACTTTCTGTTTAATATTAACCACTTAAAGTTGCTCGACTGAGCGGGCAAGAATATATTTGCTATCATTTTCCCGTCTTCAATAGTATAGGACGAAATCTGAAGGAGAACGATAACTTCTGCTTGAAGGAGATTGACCTTTCTACCATGAATACGAACATTTTCATCTCATTGTTACCGCGATTATATACTGATATAGTGACTACTGACTAAAGTAAAAGTATGCCTGGTGGGTAACGAAAGAGAGCTATAAATAAAGATAGAAATGTAACCGAAATCAGGAAAATAAACTGTATTTAACTGTTGTACAATATGTAGAATATCAAATATCATTATATGCGCCATTCTGAGAAGAGGAGTCTATGTTCCAAACTGCAAAACGTGGAACATAAAATTCTCAATCTGAACTTTGCTGATAGTCACAGCTACAAACGTAGCGTAGCTACAAACATTCCACTTTTATCACAAGATCTTAAACTAGGGTAATAAATAAGAATCTAAAGTTTACTTAGAAATTAAACTGTCAAAATAGAACCCCCGTAATGGAACCTGGCTTTAAAAAAATAGTTAACAATTATAGACATATAGTTGATTGAACTGTTAATTCACATTCATGCACTCAATCTGCGATAAACTTCAACGTAAGTTATCTTAGTGGAATTATTGATAAACCTTGTTAGTATGTATTTTCGTTGACGCTGGTTAATGATCAGATACACGATTTGACAGAAAGTAAATAATGCTTTAATTGTTTCAATCAGAAGTACACTATTTGTCTCGAATATGTGACAATGTTTAGGCCGTAAGCCTATTAAGAGTTGCATGATAATTTCGGTGGAATGTATGCGTTATTTCCTTTTTCAGTTTACAAATTGCGACTTCGTTTTAAAGTCAACATTCCGTACGGATATAAACATTCAGTCGTTCATTCTAATATATAGAAGATTGAATTTCATATAAACAGAACAAGCTCATGCTGAGTTTCATGATCAACAGTTTTTAAAACTCACGAGTCACGCACTTCTGTATGTCTTTATATAGTGTAGAGCTATGTCAGTATATATCAGATGTAAGGTTTAACAATATATATATATATTCCCGCTACCAAAGTAAAATTAGTAATACTAACGTAGAACATATAAGAAATGAAACACAAATTTGGGGACTATTTCCTTTATTGGGAAAAACGTGACGGTAAACACAATATGATATATAGCAATCATTGACATTGATAACAGTTTTCATGCAGTACTGGGAACTAATAAATATAGATTACAACAAAAACTCACTCTCACCTTTGAATTGTTGAAACATGAAAGTTAATACTGGACGAGTTAGACGGAAGCAGGATGGATTAAACGCGACTGTTGAGATACCTCAGTTGATATATACTTTCTTGTCTGAATCGATGCTTCGGATGGATTTTTCAAATACCCTGAAGCATAGTCTGTTTCATGTCTTATTATTTGTGACCACAGACATTATCAGACAAAATGCAGCGTCTTCAATCTTAAAATATTTGCCCTCCCCCGCTGTAGAGAGAAGGAAGAGTTCGTCTGAATTTATCACGCGTCCGTTTCGTTAGGGAACCTTTTTCCCTTTTCTGATATGAAAAGATAAATTGAGCTTCTGCTTTTAACTTGTTTTCATTTGACTTGCATTTATAAATGTCATAGAATCCCGTCTTCGGAAATGTTTATTCAGTAATGATTTAAGTACACAAACTTCAGGATATTTTAAATATATCTAATATAGGAAATGTCTGGATCAAATTTCAACATCTATAAAATTTATACCTGCCAGACTAAATGTGTAGCCAATTTTAAACTGGAATGTAAAATATGTTAATCTCTTATCCCGCGCCTATGGGAAAAGTATAAGGGCACAGGTTAGAGCAAAACGCCAATACGGATAATGACGGGCAGATGACTTCATTTTTTTTGCAAACAGGTTTCAAAAGACATATTCGCATTTTATCCAATCCTGTGAGATGCTGATATTGTATAAAATACATGTGCTAGTTTCTTACGTGATATTCAATTTTTATTTACAGCCTCATAAAAAGAGAAATGAATTCTTATCAAATGACTCTGTTATAAATGATTATTATCAGCTTAAACAGCAAGCCTCTTTGCATACCCATGCATGTAAACAATTTTCCACCGTTATCTGATGCCAATGCAAATTTACTGGATGATATTTTCCAAGTACTCTGTTTTTGCTACATGCAATCGTTATTTTATCTATGCGGAAAGGAAGCAATCGTGAAACTATTGAAAGATATGCAAAATACGCTGTTCATGGGATGCATACGTTTGTTGAAATCCTGGTTCTCAATTCTAAACATTCACGGTATGAGATACCTTTCTTGTTTATTTAGGAACTTGTGCTTCATGGAGAAGTATCGAAGCAGATCCCTGGTGACTGTTGATTCACCAATACGACTTCAAGATGCATATTGTGATCGCAATATCCGCCTGTTCGTTCATCGCCATCCGTCTGTCTCTATATCTGGGTTTCATCCTAACTCGCTGGAACACCCTGAATTATGGCCGGCTGCAGTTGATCAAATGACAGTGGAAAATTTTTTTCTCGCTATAGAACTGATAATACTAATAGTCATCTAGGCAACGTTATTTGATAAGAATGCATTTCTCTTTTTATATGAACTTATAAACCTGTAAATAAATCTCTTAAGAAACTGGCTAGCGCATATAATTTATACTATATTCGCGTCTTGCCTGACTGGATCAAACGCGGATATGTCTAGGATATGTCTTTCCAAACAAATTTTGTAACAAGGTAAGTCGTCCGTCCGTCTACGTCATTATCCGTCCGTCCGTCAGCACACCTGTCCGTCTGTATCCGTGTGTTATTACAAGGACGTATTATTTGTAGCAACGAATAGGTATGGTATTCTTGGTACTTTATAGTTTATATCACAGTATATTTACACAAACATTATTACAATTTACAAATTTTAATGAATCGTCCAACCAATGCAAAAGGCGCTGGTTGGACTTCCAAAAACTCACAATACTTTGCACTATCCTAAAATAACTAACTAGATAACTATGCAGTATTGTGTGAGGGCGAAAATTCGTACGTCCACGCGTCTAGTAACAATATATATTTTCATTCTTGCGAATATACTTGTGGTGCACAAACAACACATTTCTGCACATGCGCAAAGTATGCCTGTCGCAATAGAGTTGACTTGTCGTCAGCGTAGTATCTCTAGTCTGCGAACCAGAGAAAATTATCTGAGTTGGCAAACTAACGTAGGGTTTCTCTCCGTAGGGCTTTTAGTAAAAATAACAGTTACGTTTTGATGCAACGACGCCCCCATTCCCAAAGTGAGTTTTCTGTTAATTGGGCTAGCATTAAATAAAGTAACCTAACCTAACCTTACCCACAGTTGCCTAACCTAAGTTACCTAACCTCTGACATTTTTTTTATTACCAACAAGAGACTGTCGCGGAACCGTGCGGATAAACGAAAGTTTTCTTTTTAGTAATGTGAATTTAACTGAGCTCACTAAATTTTTGTCTGAACTCTGAAGGACTTGGTGGAAGGACTTCCGGAACTTGGAAGGGCGCTTTTTACATGATCCCAGTTAGTGTCTGCCGAGTGGCGAGATTCACCAATGTGTGAGATGACTTTAAACTATTGAAATGAGAATATAACATGTCCTGGCAATCGATTTCCTCCAGTCTCCAGACTAACTTTTTTTCTTTGTCACGACACTTTCCTTGCTTCAGTCAGGCCCACTGACCTATACTATATTGTAGTGTAGGTCAGTGATCAGGCCAAAGAGAGGGGATACGCTCCAGCCCCACAGAGGTTCACAATGGTAGGTTCATATCCCTTACCCCTTGTCAACGTTCCCGTTCCCCTTGTATGGGAAAATTGACATAAGGTCGAAAAGCTTCATGGGCTATGCCGCCATTTCATAATAAAGTTTTAAAAGCAGTATATTTCAGGACAGTACATGTGTTTTTAAATAATAAAAATATGTCTATTGAGCAAGATCGAAAAATATTTATTGGTGGTTTAGACATGGAAACTACGGAAGAAAGTCTTCAAGAGTACTTTTCTCGTTGGGGTAAGTTGGTTGATGTTGTTGTGATGCGACATTCATTCAGTAGAAAGCCACGAGGCTTTGGATTTGTTACCTATGAAAATATTGAATCAGTTGACACTGTATTAAGTGTTGAATCACACATCCTCGATGGAAAAAAAATTGACCCAAAACGGGCGGTTGCAAGAGAGAAAGTGTTAGAACAAGAAGATGAGAAAAGTAATGAAAGTCCCCGAGTGTTTGTAGGTGGATTGTTGAACAATACAACGGAGGAGGATGTTAGACAATTTTTCACCAAATTCTGTATCGAAAAAGGATTTGGAGAAGTCCAAAATGTTGAGGTTATGAAAAACAGAGAAGATGGTAAATGTCGAGGGTTTGGTTTTGTCACATTTAATAACGAAGCCATATGTAGTGAAGTTTGTTCTGAGAAATGTTTTGAAATCAATGGTAAATCAGTGGAGGTTCGTCGTGCTGAGTCAAGGATAAAAATGCGGGAAATAAAAGAAAAAGGAAATGACTTGGAGAGAAGAAGAATTGCAGACCGCAGAAGTAGGAATTATGGCTATCAAGGTAAGTTGGTAGTTATGTTATGTTTTGACCACCCTGCATGTACATTTTGCACCATGCTGGTAAGCTAGTGCATGACTGCAGGTGATGATATTTAAATATTGGGAAGTCATCAACTTTGCTGGGTGTTTTTTCAACTGCAAATCCAGGTGAAACAAACCCAGTGAATTCTGTAAGTATCAATTAATCATCTACGGAGCAAGAACACAGAGGCTGTGTCCATGATTGTATTTGCACACCCAGTATAATTTGACTTTGTAGATCTTATATGACCTAACTATTAGACTATGAATGACATAAATCTGGAGTTATGCTAGTTCTCACATATATAGACTTAGGGCAAGTGGAATTTGATAAAGTACATATTAGTCCTAAGGGAAGGTATAGTGTACCCTGAGGGCTTTGCCTAAGAGATATATTATCCTGGAGGTTGATGTTTGAATTATTTTTCTGTTATTTTGAAACTATGTGCAAAGTTTCTTGGTTGCCATCGCTAGCTGCCAAACTAGCTGCTATGGAATACAGTATATTCAACAGACACCGCGGAAATTGGTATAGGCTTAGCCGCAATTCTCGATACTTAGACTTCAAACTTGGTGAGGAAAAAGATTTATAAATATTCAAGAAAATATGTCTTGCACAAAAGATTTGAAGCTTGCTCACGGTAAAAACGAATCGTCTGAATTAATAACCTTGTGTATACTTTAGGCCTCAAAATGGCCATTTCACAGCGGTCAAATGTGTATGATGAGCTGTCAAAAGATTGCAGAATGCGTATTCAGAAGAAAAATTGAACTTTTTTAAGATATTCAAAAGGTTTCTCTTTGATAGGGCGATACAGAAATGCACAATTGTGAACCAGCGATTAGATTTTCGGGTTGAAACGTCTTAAACACCAATTTCTGCGGTGTCTATTCAACACATAATGTGAGCCAACTATAAACCCATATATTCAACAATAATGTGAATGACAATATCATAATGTGAGCAAATTTGATGGAACCCCATGATCAACTGCCTGATATTAATATATTGAAACAGCAAATATACAAACATATAAATTGATTGTACATACATAACCAGGTTATTTTTCAAGATGCAAAACTTGATTCTGGGTAAGAGTGAGATATTGAGTTTATTAAAACAATCCAAGAAACCATCTGCATACAATTGCGGAAAGAATATCTACAAATCTAAGAATATTGCTACGATTCTTTTAGGTTCACAAGATATGAGAAGTAATGACTTTAGGTCTGGTTTTGATTCAATGACAATGCAGGGAGGTATGTCAGCTGGTAGCTATGGATGGGATAATGCCAGAGGTAAATCAACGCAATTTAAATTAATGTCATTTTAACACCTGTCTTCAGCTGTTATTTGGTGATTGCTTTTGTTAGGATTTTGCCACTTAATAGTTATAGTTATTTAAAAAAAAAGTCAAATGAGTTATCTCTTTAGCAATTTAATGTAATGTTAAGTTCAGTTTAAAATGTAAATTTCAGCAAATTTAAGAAGCAAGCTGGTTGGCATTTTAAGAATCTCGATTTATTTTAGGCCATGGCATATATGCCCACAATCAATTAACAGGGTGTCTCAGCTGGCCAATTTAACTACATGAAATCTCTTTTTGAGACAACCTGTAATTATTTACTAATGTTTGAAGCAATGACATCTTTAACTGACTCATTAGGTGTGGGTGGTTATGATGGATTCAACATGAATGCAATGGCTTTTGCTGGAATGATGAACATGTTTGCAAGTTATATGGGTATGAATATGAGTAATATGGGTGGTCCTATGGCAATGAATCAAATGGGAAACATGTGTGGTACCATGGGAAATATGGCAATGAATCCAGTGAGTGGAATGAGTGGTAATAATCATGGTACTGGTAATTTGTCATCAAATAACACTGCTGGTGATTATCCCAATGAAATTGTTAATACTGGTAACGTACCTGGTGGTGATAGTGCTGTTGGCGCAAGTCATGGTGCTCAGAATTCATCAATGTATAATCAACAGCAGGCTAGGACTCAGAACCTACATCAACCTTCATCAACCTACAACCAGCAACAGCCTGTAAGTGGTACAGGAGATATGTCTGCGTATGGTAATCTCACAAATGCAATGTTTGGTATGAATCAAGGAAATGTACCAGCAGCATTTTATAGCTGGTTATAATGCTGGTGGGGATAACAAAAATCAGCTTGGGGTATATAATTACCAATCCTCATCTGGATATGGTCCAACAAGGAATACATCAACTGGAAGTACAGCTGGTTCCAATCATAACTACAAACCATATTGAAAAGGTAAAAGGTTTTTCTACATTATGATCGAGATACCAGGTAGAGATAACATCACAATACACTTAGTATGACCCTTTCTAATTTTAATGAATTCCACAATGAAGCACCCACTCATATTTCCTTGTAGTTACCACTTAAATTTTTATTACCATGCTTATATAAATTGTTTCACTGGCACCTGTTATAAAATGTGAATTCTATGTACTAATAAATAGCATTAAGGTAATTTGGACAATGTTTTGGCAAAAATATTTGAGTCTTGTAGCTACTTACGTTTGGCAGATGTCTAAAAATCAATTTGCAAGTCTGATTTTAGTTGGTATAAAGTAAACTTGGAGATATGTAGTTAGAATGACATGATTATTGTATGAACTCTATTTAGATGAAGGATGTTAGCAATGTGGATAGGATACAACACACTGTTTAGGCAGCTAGACAATGATGACAATGGATTAGAAAAAAAGTTGGGTTAGCAAGCAAATACATAATAGTTTTCTGATAGTAAAAAATAGTTGTGTGTATATACGTACAACTGTAGTCTGTAGGTAAGCTAACTGCAGTTATTCAATGAAGAAAATAGATTTTCAGTCTTGTATATAGTCAAAACCACTGACCTGTACTAGAATAGGTTTAGTAGCTGTTTAGTAAAGGTCAGTGGTCAAAGCACAATTAATAGTTAACTGTTTACGTACAGTACTTCACATGGGCTACAGAACTACGTACAGAAGCATTTACATGCAGTCACATGCATGTGATCATATTTAATAAATTGATAGTTATTTTGCCATCATTAGTTTATCATGCATAGGCATAGCTTTATTATATCCATATCACAATGTTCTCATGCAGTTCAATTTTGTTTCAAATCCGTGGAATATCTTCTACCGTAAGCCAAATACCACCACAGTTTTTTTGCGTCCACTGTAATAAAATTTTCATGTGTGTAGATTTCTGTGGTTCTGTAACCTGTTGCGTTGCTGTGCTTGTAAACAGAGTTCAGTTCTGTGATGAGCATTCTATTCAGAAGTACGTACAGTACAATAACGATATATAATAACACTGTAGAGTGTAGTTTTAGTTTGCAATGCTTTCTTTGATATAGTGCGGGATGAATTTTTTGTTCAAAGTTGTGAATGTGTTGTTAGTATAGTATAATAGACATGTTGTTTTATTATTCCGAATACTATACTATTTTGTATCGTTTGTTGTATTTCTCGTTTAATCTTAATAAAGTTCATGCTTTTAATCATTTTGTTTTATATATACAAGCGACATTACCACAAACAGAAACATAACGACTCTATAATGCCTAAGGCGAAGAATGTCGATGTGGAATGTGGATAATGTGAACAAAGATCTGAAATTTAATATATTCCGCCCGATCCAATCTGGGGTCTCTTCAAAGTAGAAACCAGCCTTTTCACTTTCGTGGAAAATCTGGCAGCAATAACTTTCTCTTCTATCTTTTCAATGATTTGGCGTTTACAGTTCAGTTTCACTTTCTTTGCATTATATTTAAGAATTTTAAACATGATTTTCCTCTCAACTTTTTAGGATCTAGGTTTGCTGTATCGTTGAACCATGATTTCAGAGCTGGTAGTAAATCACACCATGCAAGAAAATCTCTGTTGAAATGGATGTATTAAAAAGGTATGGTAGGTTATATTATATTTAGTATATTACTACACTTGATTCCGTTCAGAAATACATTTAATCTTGTCTATTTTATATCGTGGATTCGAGTTTAGGATGTCAATTAAGTTTTTTCTCTGCACTCACTGAACAATGCTAGTGCATGCATATGCATTAAATGTCAAGAAACATCACGTATCTTTATCATATTGCACACATTTGAAACATGAGAAGATAGATAGAGCATTGTACTCACAGGGGCTGTTACAATAGTCAATACATTTCAATAGTGTTACAACACACTTTTCGGTGGTTAAGGGTTTTTCTCGGACGCTGACGTTATTTCCCTAGCTCTGGCTCTCTGTTGTGTAGCTCACTTATACTATTTGTGCAGACTCTTGACCCTGTCGTCTCATCAGCCATTGCTTCGCCAATGGCAATGCTTATGAGCTAAAGCTACGATGCCACAACAAACAAAATAACATCTCTTCGTCTTAAATACGTGAATACATGATATTGCTCATGCGCTATTAAGAACTCGTGAAGCAAATAGCCTTCGGTTAATGTAAACGTGGAAAGATTTTGGCAGGCAAGACAAACGTTATCCATGTAAATTACAAGTGAAAGTTTTATGTGCACTTTCCGATAGAAGCAAGCAGCGATATTGATATTGCATATATAGAGAATCATATGATGATATGAGTAGCTAGACTTTGTGGATTCTTGAATTAACTGACAGGATTTTTTATCTAATGCTCTCCTAACTGCTTTTTAAATAAATTGGATGATATTAAAGATGATCCCAAACGCCCTGATACAATATTAATACACAACAGGATAAAATGATAACTCGCAAGGGAGGTCAGTAAATTCCGCGAGGGAAGTCAAAATCCGTCAATTTTTAGGGCGTCCAAATCCGTTGCAACAGTGTTCGTCACAGGATAAATATATATGAACATGCATAATAATTGAAGCGTTGTATAAAGAAGGTAATCTAATCGCCGTGGTTTGTTATCGAGACTGAGACTGCAAATTCTACGACTACGAAATGAAATAGAGAGTTTTATGTCTTTATAATGCTATTTATTGCATCTAACACCGAGGTTTATAGCTACTACATGAAATATTGGAATGTCTTCAATGTCCCGTGTAACAAAAATCAATTAGGCTATTCCACAGACGAGGAATCTCCATATTCTGTCCCTAGTAAAATGCAAAAGGTACTTGATCAATGGGGATCATTCAAAGGTTTAAGAGACGGATTCGTCGCTCACTCATGCCACTATCAGGAGTGGCACGTGTTGTCAATTAGTCTTTCTCACGATAACTAATATCCGCCGTTTTGGGGGTACTTTCAATTTTCCTAAATGCGTTTAAACAATGATAAAGCAATGTAAGAAGCATTTTTTAAGAGTCCATAGACCATTTGAACAATAAATTTCGCCTAAAATTAAAGACAGCCGCCCTGACAAGATCTTGCGCTCACAATTTAAGAAAAAAGTACCCCAAAAATGGCAGCACATTCGTCATCGTGACTCGTGAGAAAGGCTAATTCTGTAGGCACTAAGTCTATGAGAGACTGTATCAGCAGATGCTTTATAGAAAAAGAAAATCAAGGCTTATGAGAGGACATGAGGGTACATATTGCAAACTTACTCTTTTCCATTGTTGTGATGGCTATTCATCCCAACAAGAAATTTGTTCCATGGCGCATGATAATTCATATAGGCATCCCAGTTATTGACGTAGCCAGTCCAGGAACAATGACGTAAAGCATTACTTGTTGTACGACAACATTTGTAATTAAATTGTCTGTCTTCGTGATGATTACTGTGTCGAGAATGTACACCTGATATATAAAAAAATCCGGCCTTAAAATACTGCTAAGGCAAAAGTATATAACCTCATAATTGATTAATTGAGGATGTTTTTGGTGTAAGTTACTAATTAAACGAAGGCCATCCTTTCAGAACTATAAGTATAAACCTTATCCCACAGTCGTTTGCATCCAGTTTTTTATTGCGATCTGCAGCACGAATTGTATATTTAGACCACATTTAAACTACGACAATTATTGATCTTCTGGGTATATGTTACCTGAGATGAGTCCACTTGGACATTGGTATATTATTTCGTGATCATACGAATTCACAAACCCTGACCATTGGCAATTATTCGTAATTTTTGAGTTAGCTCTGCAGGTGAAAGTCCACGACCGATCTTCATGATGGTTGCTATGGACACTGCTGACGTGATAAATTGATTGACCTATATATTGATAAGAAGTCATAGTCTGATTGTTAACTGGGCCGTCACAGCTCTTTTTCCAAACAGACGAAATATGTATTCGGATAAAGCTACTAATTTTCTCATTAAACAAAGCGAAAAGCTATAAAACGTCAGTGAATTACATACCTGCTGGGCATTGAATTGTCCATTCACCATCAAAGTTTGTCCCAGCCATAATGCTCATTGCATGAACAAGTAGCAACAAAAATGCCAGCATCACTTTCATCGTGGTCGTGGTGTTCACGTACTACGAAATATGCAGAAATAAAATGGTCACTAGAGACGTTTTGATTGGCCAAACTGCTAGCAAACTTTGGGTAATTTTCACTACAATATCTCAAAGTGTGCGACAATTTCGTAAAATCATATAAACATAGCCAAACAACCGGACCCAGGTATTTCATTCTATAGCTTTTCAGGCACTTAATTGACATCTCTAACAAGGTGTAACGTTACCCGTAAAATTGGGACCATTTGCAATTAGCTCAATTGAACAAAACTTGCAATTGAGTACTTCAGGCTTGCACCATCGTCGTGATATGAATCAGTCCCACACCAGTTAAATTTTGGAACATATATATTTCTTTCTTCTATGTACAGCTTTGGTATATATCTTATATGTAATTGTTGTACGAGCGTTTATATAGTGCTCACCTGGATTAAATCTGACGTATATGACGCGCAATCTATGAAAATACAATCCGATCGTCCGATAACTAGGATCCTGCTATTGCTGCTATTACCGTAGAAGGTAATTCACTAGCGCAGTGTTAGCACTGTTCAAGTATAACTGCTGAGATTGTGCAGCTATATTTAAAAGTTCGTTTTTAGGTGCATGGGGCTTTTTAAATATTTTCGGTCTAGATTGTCATTAAAGGCTGTTGGAAAAGTGAAATTGATGTACTTCCTACCTGAAATGGTAATTTTTTGCTTGAGAAAGCTTGAGGTGTCTTGCAAGTTTGCCAGTTGTATGACTTGTATCTTGCTGAAGCCAACCAGAAATGACAAAGCAGAAATCTTCTGAGCTTTTTTATAAGCAACTAATCATCACGCCTCAAGCAGGGGAAATTTATGATTTCTGTTATTTTCTCATTACTTATTATAATTATAATCCCTCCTTTCCGGCCTTTGTACTTCCCCTGTTGTTGAACATTGTTTGTTTTCGTGACTAAAGCTATTTCCCCTGGTCTTCTTTCCGCCCCTCAAGCAGGGGAAATATAAAAGTTATTTTATTTTCTCATTATACTTATGATATTTATAATTCTTCCTTTCCGGCCATTGTACTTCATGTTGTTAAACATTGTTTTTTTCGCGACTAAAGCTATTTCCCCAGGTCTTCTTTCCGCCATAACGCTAAAGAGGGGTAAATCAGGCGGTACGACGCCCGGGCGAAAAGGCGATTGAAAAGCCTGTGTGAAAAGCTGGCTAAACTAATATCCCAAACCAGTATTGATGCTTAATTGATGGGGAGGGTGAGATTGTGAACAATCTTCTCACAGAGCAACCTGTGGCCCCATTAATTGAAGGTATATTAAACAGGGGTGGATCCAGCACTTGTGCACTAACTTGCATTACAAAACAAAGTGGTTATTCTTAGCAGTTTTCTTCTGTCATGCAAATTAGTGCACTAGTGCTAGATCCACCCCTGACATTAAACGTTTGTGTTTTATTGGGCGAAACAGATAGGCTATATGTAAGCCATTAGTCAATCGAAAACATACACACGTCATTCTCCAAGAAAGTTAACTACATCCTACACTGCTGGGATACCAAACCGTAAAAAGTCGCTTCACTTAGTGTCAACACAAAATGTTCGAACCATGCAGATATAAGCAATCTAAGAAGCCTCATGCGAACATGCTTCATCCTGACTATATTTATTCTGATTCAAAAATATATTAGTTATTCCCTATCATTCAATAAATTAAATTATGTTTGTTTGTTATAATTCCCTTTCCTTCAAAGCTACAAAATGGTTTGCTTCACAGCTGTAGTGTATTGAGGTGCTAAATAAAGTATGATGCATTTAGCAAAGTTTTCATGAGCGTGCAAGGAATAACATGCATACATGTTAACAGTTTCATTAACTTGCGTGTTAATTTGTTCTTTATGTGACTATATTCAATATTATATAAGATATTTTTGAAAAGCATTTGCTAAAGACTGAATCGAACTTACACCTGTAACTCTTTAGCATCCAGCGCATTTACAAAGGGCATAGAGGGTACTTTTTTATTCATCCCGTATACAGTAGGAGGCAAAAGTTTAAGTCCAGTGACTGTATTTCATTGTTTTAATAGCATATATTGATTTTCTACAGAAAACCGTACCGATAAGTGAACTAGAAAAAACGGTAATTAAGTTAACTGAAAAATACATCTGCACAACAACTATGAGATGTTATACATTTCAATGCTTAGTATCCCTCTTTTTTGCTCTTGAAACTGCCTTTATTCTTGCTGGCATAGATTCCATAGGTTTTTTAATGTCGCACGTTCAATGCCTTGCCAGCATTCGTTGCATGACCACTTGCCTCAAGTCATCCTGGCTGGTGGGTCTGTGCCTCGCCCTTTTCCGGTTAGAACGGTCCTACAAGTGTTCCATAAGTTTTAGATCTGGAATTTGAGATGGAAAGCCATGAGAACGAGATCACCAGAACGAGTTTGCTTCTAAAAGATTTCTGGCACATAGAAGATGTGCATGTGCTTAGGGTGATTATCATGTAGTTAGATGCACGATCATCTTTGAAATAACCAGATGAAATTCCATGTCCTTGAAGAATTAGATGATACTTTTCTTTAATTAGGATCCTATTATATCTTTGAACATTGCCAAACCCAATATGACCGAAGCAACTAAAAGTTTGCTTGAGTAGGATTTAGTTTCTTCGAACCTCTCCAAGCATAGTTGCATACCACCTTTTGAAATTCTCACTTTTTCTGCGATCTTACGAGGAAAGAATCCTTCAATACTTAATGCAACTATTTGTCCTTGTGCACCATAAAGGAATGAGAACTTTATTTTGTTTTAAATTTAGATCATTAGGACCAAAACAGTGTGCAATTAATATGGTTTACAGTGCTGAAACACTAGCACGCATGTCTTAACTCGAATACGCTGCCAGGATTTAATACTGGAATTCTACAACGACTGAACTCAAACTTTTGCCCCCTACTGTATGTATACTCTCTAATATACAGAGTTTGCGCTGCAGACTACTAGCTCTGCATGTGATTTTAATGAAGTGCGGCTTGGTGACCTGTATGTCTTGTTGTACCTACTTTTTTAACTAGCAGCTATTAGTATGTTGCTAATTACATTTACGTCATTGACAATGAAAAAGTCTTTAAATATGATTTTAAAAAGCAATATACAAATCAATATACATGCAAATTAACTTAAGTTTGGCCTTTATTTCCCCTGTTTAATTGTTAAGTTCTCTTTTCGTTGTGAAATGTTATCGTTAATCGCAATAACCGAAAATTGACAGACCTCATCTCTTACTGTTAGTGTCTTAGTGAGGCTTAGATTTCATATTTATTTCCCCATTGAAATATTTATTTCTCCATACTGAACTATTTCCCCGGGCTTCGAATAAGGGGTACATGAGGTTAAACTTTACAATTACACACAGACAGTTTCACACAAAGATAGATTATATGGATATAAGTAGGATGTGTTTCAGTCTCCAACAACAACTGATTTAAACAAACAAAGCGACTCAGCTGATTTTGCTTCGTTTGGGAGCCGATTCCAAAGCATAGCGCCGCTATATTTGAAACATTTTTAAAGGTATTCTCGATTTGGCCTACGGAGACTTTGGTCTATTGCAGAGTTTCGAAGGTGATAATTAGTTTGATCTATTTCTCGTCTCACGAAAGATCCCCGAAGAGCCCGGCGCAGTGTGGTCATTAAGTATCTTGTACATCAATACTGACTTGGCACCAGACCGTCTATTTTCAAGTGTGTCCCAAGAAAGTTTGCTAAGAAGTTCGATTGATGAAGTATCATAATTTGCATCTGTTAAGACCCTCGCTGCACGAAACTGAAATCTTTGCAACTTGTCTCTGAGCAGCTTACCACAAGTATCCCACAGAGGGGAGCAGTAATCGAAGTAAGGCTGCACAAGACTTTTATAAACAGATTCTAGGGTATGTCTAGGAACAAAGGGTCTGATGCGTTTCATAACGCCAATCCCTGCACTCGCCTTTTTACATATCATTTGGGTTTTGCATTAGCCATATAACGGGTACATCACACATCAAATTATTAATGTTATATGGGGAACCAATAAACACCATTTTACATTTAGATGGATGCATCTGCAACCTGTTTTTTTAAGCCAGCTACATCTTTATAATAAGTTCATTTGCATCAAAAGAGGATGAAAAAAAGATTTGAGTATCATCCGCATACATAGCTGGAGTGGTTGATTTTAGACACGCACACACACATCAGTGGCAGGACATGATGCAATTGGTACTAATTGGAAATTGGTAATTTAAAGATGGGGAGTTGTATGGCTTCTCTGTGTTTTTGAATCCCTATGATTTGATTTCCAGCATTTTTTGGGGAAAATTATTAAATTATACGAATCACCTCAGCAGAGCCTAGGCGTTTACATTATTGTCGTCCGTCCGATAAATCTATCACAGAATCTATTGTATATACAATGAACAATTATCTCTGATTTGATGTGCTGCATGCTAGTTACATTTTCTCTTTTGTTTAGAATATATGAATTCGCCTCTTTCAGCAATTAAAATAAATTGTCTTTTATCAATGTTCCTATTTCCCGCTTTATAGGACCATAATTTCTTGTAAACCCGCGGCCGCGGCAACCGACCTTCATGTCTATTACCTCCCATTTGCCGTTATTTTTCGACAAACAACACATGATAATGGACCTATAATCTTTGAGATGGACGTCAACCTCGTCGTTACACAATTGTTGGTCAGGAAAGTTGACATCATAAAAATTGAGCCTGTAGTAGGGATATGATGAAACATTGGCTGAAGCCCAAGCACTTAGGGTAAACACTAATTTATTAACATTATGTGGAACAGACTTGAGGTTTAACTGGACATGTTGACGACCTTCCCGTTTGTGATGATTCATTTTTGCAGGACCTGAGTGTTTGACGCCTGGGCAGGAGTCGAGATAACGATATCGATAGTTGATGACACCCAAATTCTCTCTGCCACTGTAAACCAGAACTGAGACATCTAAGTAATCCTTGTTGCTCCCATGAGGCAATCCCCAGAAGAAATCAAAAACAGCATTTTCAAGCTCGTCTGGAACTGCACATAAAACAATAATGAGGTGCAATTTGCTTTCTGGTGGAACTTTGTGGTCTCGCAGCGTAAGCATTTTACGATCCTCATCTCTCACCTAAAAATACACATTTGTGAAACAATGTTTTAAAACCTAGAAACCAAAAAAACAAAGAAAGACACTGTGGTCATGGGCCTCTAATGGATGTTCGTGGTAAGCCGATTGGCAACGTTAATAATTTTATTTTGGTGCAAATTTTCGTGCAATTTTGCAAAATAGTCTCTTGAATTTTCCTTTAACATTTCTACCTTCTTCAACATCAGTACCTTCAACTCTTTGTTTTGGTAAAGTAAACGTTGTTTTTCCGGAGGTGTTTTCAGCTGACTTTCCACTTCTCTCTTAATGTCCAGGATCTTTCTGTGGGGATTATACGAGAGAGTTGCTGACTCACCAGAGATGGTTGTCACGTAAATATTTCCAGACACAGCAGCTGTGCATTGTGCCTGGTGGTAACCATCGTCCTCACTCTCCTTTATAGTTGGGAAGAGGAAATCCAGTGTTTCTAAATACTCCTGATATATCTCATTGTCTTCTCTCACCGGAGTCTCGCACTGGGAGCATTTGTTGTTCTTCTTCACAGACTCTGTGGCACACTTGAAGAGAGAGAGGAAGAGAGTTAACGTTAGATAAGGGACGTGTATGAGGTATATATGTAAAAAAAACTTAATTTAACTCATTTATTAGTGCCTTCGATCAAACAGGATGAAAGCGCAAAAGTGAGGTTGAACCTGTGCTGGATCCTGCGATTAATTGGTTTGTGACTTCGTTCATTTTCATTATCTGTATTCTTAACTTATAGTCACTTATGAAAAGAAATGTCTGGAAGGGTATATAGATGATATAGTTGCAGTCTTCAAAATCTCCATATCTCCATGCATTGAATTTCCTTTCCATCTCACAATGGAAAGGAAGTTTAATGCATGGTGATATCAGATATGCATGATGAGTATCCGTGTGATTCCATGCATAATTGTCTCCTCTAGACATTGACATTGTATTGATGTATTCATATTTATACAAGACGCCATTACACTCCTACAGACGTGTATATTACAATCATATTACGCTCTGTATATGAGCTTAAACTCTACCGTGCATTTAAATTCTCTCTAATATTATTGTATATAAGAAATTGTGTCTGTGTATTTTACACTGATATAAGTTTGAGTTTTGTATTTTAGATTCACACATGCAATATACGGCGTATTATTTATTTGCATGAAGACAAACAAAGTCAGTAAAGACTTGCGTTTGATAGAATACTATATTGCAAGTAATACAACCAGGCTCCTATAACAACACAGAATAATCCCAGCTATACATTTTTATGTATGTAAAGTTTACAAAACATTACGTGCAATGTAAAAGTAGACTTGTATATACTTACATCAAGGCAGTGAAGTATTGGATGATCACAATCCTCAGTCAGGGGATAAAATGGAAATTCTTTTGAAAGTTTATCCTCTTGGCAGCCATGACATTTCATGATTTCGTCTCTAAATCGGACTTTAGGATCAATACTAAAATCGCATTTGACTTATTTTGTTATTGCAACTGCTAAAGTTGCCCAGAGACCCCAAACGTATAAACCGATCGAAGTATTATACATCAACGGAAGTAGAGTCCTGTTGTGTAGAACAAACAATTCGCCAGTTTGGTTTCACTTATGACGTTTAGATATGGAGATTTGATACATGCACTGCTAGTTCTAATCAGAATGTAAAAACAGGATAAAAATACACTATATAGACCATAGATATAATAGATCACATATAGACATACGCTGCATACTGTATCACCTGTATGTAATTTTTTAACGAAACTAGAGCCACTTCATTTCTGGGAAGCGTGTATTGTTATTGCTGGAAGTGTTACGCATGTTGCTAGGCAAAAACAGGTATACATATATATATTGTCTATTTTAGGCAGTTGTTATACCACATTTGATGCTAAGTTGTTTGAAGACGCTGCCACGCTGCTCCCTGGTTAGATTGGAACATATATATAAAGAAGCCAATTGTGAACCAATATTTATTTGGTGCAGATAGACTACCTAAACCTATAGTACTACAAATTAAAAGACATATACAGTATGCAACAATTACAGTTGTTTAGTTGATCTGTAGGTTCTTTCCATGGGTTCTTTTTAACATGACGTAATTCTGCGTATAATAAACAGTCTTAACTACAAAAACCTGAATACTTCTCAACATGCAGTTCAAAGGTATCCATCATTAATGAGTGTTTCAATTTTTCGTTCCAAGGGGTAATAGTTTCTTGTAAATCCATCAGAACCTTTCTTTACTTCTAAAACATCCCACTTTTCGTTCTTCTTTGACAAACAACACATAATAATTGATTTGTGGTATTGCGTATGGACGTCAACCCGTTCACTGCACAATTGCTTGTTAGGAAAGTTGACATCATAAAAGTTGAGTCTGTAGTAGGGATATTCTGAGATTGTGGGTGCAGCCCAAGCACTTAGTGTAAACACTAGTTTATCAACATGATGTGGAAGAGACTTTAAATTGACTGTGACTTTTTGTCGACCTTCTCGGGAAAGGTGAACCATCCCTGCTGGGCCGGAGTGTACAACACCAGGACAGGTTAATAGAGAGGTTCTTCGGTACCAAATGTGACCAAGATTGGATCTACCACTGTAGATAAACACTGAAACATCCAAGTAGTCATACGATCGCGAACTTGGTAATCCCCAGCAAAAATCAAAAACAACTTTGTCCAGTTCATCTGACACAGCATACAGGACAATGATAAGATGCACTGTGCTGTTTGGTAGAACATTGTGATCTCTTAATGTCATCAAATCACGATCTTTATTTCTTACCTACAATATTAAATATATGTTATTTACCGTTTATAGTTCGCTCTAACATTATTTACCACGTTTAGAAATTCTGCTATATATATATATATATAATATATATATATATATATATATATATATATATATATATATATATATATATAAATAAAGTGGTTATTAGAAAATACCTTTAGCTCCTTGTTCTGGTAAAGTAAACGTTGTTTTTCAGGCGGCGTTTTAAGCTGGCGTTCGACTTCCTTCTTGATGTCGTGAATTCTCTTGAAAGGGTTGTACGAGAGGGTCACAGACTCACCAGACATGGTTTTCACGTAAAATTGACCGGAAACAGCGGTGTTGGGCAGGCGTTCTGTTTTTACTTCTTCAGGAGGGAAGAGGAAATCCAGTGTTTCTAAATACTCCTGATATATCTCATTGTCTTCTCCCACCGGAGTCTCGCACTGGGAACATTTGTGATGATTCTTCACAGATTCTGTTGCACACTTACATGAAACAAGAAGAGACTTTGCATTAGATTTTAAATTGAATGCATGTTTGTTAGAAAACTATGCATATACCATTATGACAAGGGAACCCGGAAAAAGTAAAAGCATGATTTATAAAAGATCACATCCGATCAATATTCATATTTGATTATTGATTATTCGTGAAGAATTAATGACATCGGGCAAAACTATAGCCGAAAGATATCCAGTTATCACTTAAAAATATACACTTCAATAAATCTACATCATTTTAAGCATAAGTATTGAAATGGGCTGAAAAAATTAACAGATTTTGTTTCTGGCGTTGGGGAATCTTATTGCAATTTTCTGTAACGTGAAAAATAAAACCGTCCATAATTACTCGGGTCTGATGGAAACACGATTATAAACTTCTTTTTGAAAACTCAAAACCAAAACTCTGATGACATCCAAGCGAAATATAAAACGTATAGTCGACAAATATATGGATATGCTCAACACGCCCTTCCCCCCCTTTCTCCGCCGCCAATGAAGCTTCTAGCCCTGCCCCTGGTCGTCGATCGCGGTTTCCAAACCAACAGCCATAACAGCGTACACAAATGAGTAAAGATCTTAAATCACTAAACGAGGAATATATCCATGAGTACGTAAATATACCAGTGATATTTATAATCTAGTCGAAGAATTCAGTTGCAATTACAAACACTTCAGAACTTACATCAAGGCAGTGAAGTAATGGATGATCACAATTCTTTGTCAAAGGGTAGAATGGAAATTCTTTTGAAAGTTTACTTTCTTTACAGAGATGGCATTTCATGATTTCGTCCTCTCAGCAATTCAGGTGTTCGTTTTTGCGCAAGATTGACAGTATACCCGCGACACAAACGCTTCTTGTTCAGCTATTGCTATTATAACAACAGACAAATACCAGGAAGACAGCAGATAATTTCCAAGTATTCCAACGGAAGTGGAGCTAAATAGAACAATAAAAAATGTGCAGAAAAACATTTATGCGCATAATCACCATGACAAGCTGTGCAATGTTTTTCCGGTTCTTTCATCATTAAAATTTAAAAGCGTCCATGAAGCTACAGGCTAGCGTGTACAGAATATTCGTACAATTCTCGTAAGATCATCTCTACAGAAACTACGAACTTGATTTTGTGTTCTTTTGGCAGAGCGTTCAACACAGTAGACGTCGTAAAGTAAATGAATAATGAAAGTTGATGCTTCTTGATTCTTGGAAGCGTGGGTGTTTCCTGGAATACGATAGCGTCAGGTAGCTATAAAAGGTTGTCAAATACGACATTAGTCACATTCTTTTATACCAACTTTTTTATGATCAACGTTTTAGGAGCAGAATGTTGTTGATTTTATCAGTTCGGATATGTTACATGTAGCAATGCTGCATATTTGGAAAAATTGACGTTGATCTAAGAATCTACAACGCCGCACTGAATAGGAGACGTTCCCGTAGAGGTGTGTTTATGAATGATTTTGTTATATTGATAGAGTAATACTGAAGATCGATGTAAGTACCACGGTGCTTACAATGGTTGCAACACTGCACTGTGTTGTTTTAGTTTTGCTAATTGGAATATATATTTTTTATTTTAACTAATTAACTTGAATCAATAAGTAATTTAGCTTGTAGCTACACCAGGTAAGTATTTAATACTGCATGCAAAGCTTTCGGTCCGTTAACCCGGGCCTTCAGCAATTGCACTGATGAAAGCTTTGCAGTATTAAATACTTACGTGGCGTACCTACAAGCTAAATTACTTATCGACTGTCAGTCTGTCACCATGCAAACACACAAGAATATTATAACTTAAATCAGTCGGTGTAAAGATTTCCTCGTAACCTTGTTGTTTTACATGTTATTCCTTTCATATTCTGCACTATTCATCGCTCAACTTTTTAATACAATAAATGATTTGATATTTTTTGCAATAATTATAAATTTATATAACGCTTTATACATACTGCAAAGTACAGTCTGTATATACAGACTTTGGCTGATTATAATATCAGACTTATTCAGTATTCAGACATTTTTAATGATTTTTTAAGAAGTACATCAGAGTACGAAAATGCGGTGCGCCAGAATACGTTTATTACTATTAGTGTAGAAATAAAACGAGATTGGAAAGCAACCGTGTATCATCATAATTTCACTTGCTTGATTTGATCTAAAATAAACAATGAAATTTGGGCGTGCATGGGAATATGTGAAACAGAACGGCGTGGCTGATTCTTGGAAGAGATGCCACTCTCCTCCGCAGAGGCTTTTTGGGTAATCTAACAATAATTGAGAATTATATAATACAATTGAGAATTATATGATATAATTCGTAGTAGCGGGCGGACGGGAGGGAGCTAATAATAGTAGCGGTGAGTGGCGGGCGGACGGGAGGGAGTCGGGCGGTTGCGGGTTGGGGAAAAAAAGAAGGGAAGCCTCTGCCATATAACGTGCGGTTCTTTGGTGTGAAATGCGGTTCTTTGGTTTTGGCGGTTTACTGGTACAATCGATATTATAATGGCTGAGTTCGATAGCGATATAGAAGAAATTGAGCGCTCTTTTCATAATATGAGTCTAGATGGTAAGTATAATATATTAGTTTAATTTTAACAAATGCATAAAATGTTATAATTTACTCAAGTTTATATTAATATTGATGCAAGATTAATTAATATCATTCGATTGCCTTGATATTTTGGCAAGTTTCAGAAGTGAAAGTATTTACATATGTAGTTATGTTAATTTTGCATTGGCTTGCATATATTAAAATCGTCGTCAGCTACAGGCTACTGTATTTATATATTTTATCGTATATTTTGTTTTGTTTTTCTGTTTACACCACTGAATGCAAGTGGTTTACACTATACTGGCAGTTCATTGTATAAATCTGTAAACTACAAATTATTATCCATAATTGATTATCCTGAAATTTGTCATAAATCAGATAATGATGAAGATCTTGGTTGTTTGCCAATGCCACTTGAGAGAGATGATGGTAAAGACCTTGCTTGTTTTCCTATGTCTGCTGAGAAGGCTGGTGATGAAGACCTTGGCTGTTTGCCCATGCCAATACAGAGTGCTGTATTGACAAGTACTCCAAAGAAGGTGAAACAACGGCAACTAGTACCTGTAGCTGGGAAGCATGATTTGACACCAGATTCAAAAAGACAAAATGAGCCACCTTCAAAGATCATGAATATGCAATCTGGAAGTCCTTTGTTAACATCTGGTAATTATTTCATAAATTATTCTATTGTTATGTACTGTATATTGCAAACCCTGCCTTAAACTGCTTGCTTTTTTTTAGGTAATTTGACAGTCTGCTGGTAGGCTGGGCGAAATTCCTTACCCCATGTGCTAATACAATGTGCTTCATCTATGATGAAAAAACTCAATCTGTTCTCATGACTAATCTGACTCAAGCAATGTTTCAATTGTTCAGTTACAATAGCTTCTGGGCTAATGAACAAAAACTGATATTGACAATCTGGCTGTTTCAGATTATGTAATATATTCTGTCTTTCATTATCAGTTAGCATTGTGTTGTAATAGCATGTGTTGATTCCACATTGTTGTAGTCTTGCAACTTGGTCACTCATTAACATAATAAGAGGTGATACTACAAATGCCAAGCCAGGTGTCATTAGACAAGGAAGAGTATATATAACTGTTTTACCACCACCTGTTGGAATAATTACAACTGTATCTTCTCCAGACAATATAAACTCAATAGCTTCACCTTGGCCTGGTCTGAATTCTTGATGTCCAAAAACTGTTTGGAGAAACTGCAAAGGTGTCTTACATTCTCGAGAAATTTGCATTTGCAAGCACTTGTCTGGCACAGGTGTTTGATGTCTTGGCAATAACATAAACTGCAATAGATACAAACAAGAAATACTACTTTATACAATTTTTTAAATTATTTGAAATTTTAAATGCCTGCACAATTTAAAGCAACGCCAACGAGTATTCAATTAAAAAGACTAAACTTAAATATCCACATGCTACAGGAACCCTGGCAAGTATTAATGTATGTTGCAAATTTTAAAAACGGTAACTTACCCTCTTAGGGGAAACAAAACATTCAGCATAAATTTTTGCACATGCATCCCAAAGTTTAAAACATTGGCCAAGGTGATCAGTTACACTAGAAGATATTTTAACTCGAACATGACAAGGATTCCCGCTAAGATGTTTTAGAATGCCACTGTGTTTCAAATATAAGCCATATTTTGCTGCCTCCCGTCTCGTGCTTGCCATAACTTTAAGAGTAGTCATCTTGTTAGCCAAATTTTCAGTAATGTGTTCCACCGAAAACTCCTCGTACTTTTGCAAACTGCAACAGTTCACATTCTGAATATAAATATTTTAATAGATATTTATATTTTGCCTATTGTGTGCGCAAAGATCAGTTTGTGCAGTTGTGGTTTTGTGCTTTTACTGCTCATAAAAATTAAAATTGACAAAATTACAAAAGTATAAAGAGATAAACATTAACTTACTGCTTCGCCGCGAATCTTGGCTAGTTTTTGCAATACACTGAAAGTTTCCTGCCCATGCAAGTCTTGAAATAGCAACCTACATTCTTTAACAAGTCTTTCGTCAAGGGCCATATGTCGATGTTTCACCCGAAAATGTTGAATTAAACCTGCATCTTCTAAATAAAATTTTATTTCTTTCGTATTTTCATAACATTTAGAACAGATTACTTTACCGGAAACATTCGCTTCTTGAAATGGTCTGGTAGTCAACGACAAAACATTCTTTGTTTGATTTATAGTCTCATCCATATTTATTTTGAAAAATATTCATGAGATGATACGTAATTATAATATGATATGTAATTTGACGCCATATTGGAAACATTATATGGCAGAGGCTTCTCAAATTTCATTTTTCAACCCGCAACCGCCCGACTCCCTCCCGTCCGCCCGCCACTCACCGCTACTATTATTAGCTCCCTCCCGTCCGCCCGCTACTACGAATTATATCATATAATTCTCAATTGTATTATATAATTCTCAATTATTGTTAGATTACCCAAAAAGCCTCTGCGGAGGAGAGTGAAGAGATGCGATTTCCGAGTATTTTAAAGGAAGTAAATTACCATGGTTGATTGATAGTCTTCTTTCTATATGACGTCATGAATGCATTGGTGACTCAAAAGCATCTCAAAAGAAACAAATTGGCAATGACATGCTGCATGTCGTACATCGTAAATTCGACTGAGCACTTGAAGTGATTTATTGAAAAATCGGAACAATGAGAAATGGCCAAATCTACTTTAAAATGAGAATTGCCTGTAGAGATCACACTATTCCATCGCGTTGGGAAGACACAAATATTGCCTGTTGTTTCTGGCTCTCTGTTAAACGCTCGCCAGAAGCAAACTATTTGTTTTATAATAAAACGTTTTCGTGGCCTTAGGGCGATTTTTTTGCCAGAGGGGCAGGCAGACATTGAGTGCCAATAACATTTATAGTTAATATGCTATAAAAGATACAAATTTTGAGGGCAACTGCACGCCGACTCCTGCTTCCCTTTGTCTACGCACCTGATTGAGAATGCTCTTTGTTCGGTGTTAAAATGACTCGTGATCATGTCTCATACTTTCTTTCTCAACGAAGACTGATGCGTTTAACTCGTTTTACAGAATCTGACAACGGACTGACCGTCGTTATGATTATGATTGTCGGAGTTCAACTTCATGCAAAAAAATATTATCTTTGATTCGATTAATTAAACTAATTTTGAATGAAATTTAACCGAGTCACCTCTAGTTTTGTTGAACAGTAATTATCTTTGCTATCCATTGATAACTGGTTTTGTTGAACAAAAACATTCTCCAAATAGAGAATATCGTGAAACCCATGTTTCATGATTGGTATTCATGATTTTTTTAGGTACGGTGTATGATGGGTAAAAAAGGTAAGAAGAAGAATAGGAAGAAAAAGCACGACAATGCAGGGAGTGCTTATAATGAAAACGAGGAAAGGAAAGAGAATGAGACAAGCGAGCAAGCAAAGAAGGAAGATTGGGATGATGAACTGCAAAAAAATGAAAAATATCCAGGGACGTCCGAACGTACTGAAACTGAAACTATCGGACAAGACCATTCAACCACTTCCAGTCTGCAAACAAGCAATCACCAAGAAAATCAAACGATAGAAGGTGCTGTTGCTGTATCTAGTGAAGAGCAATTTGGTCTCAACCAATCGGCAAATAGCTTGCAGGCCCAGACTAAAGATCATGAAAAGGTGAATTATGCGCAATGAGTACTTTAGATAGCTATACGTACAAAGAATAGGCAAATTTTTTGTAACAATTATTGTGAGAAGTATATTCATATGTGATATGGTTTATTTCATCCGTATAGAATTTCTTCACGGATGAAACATAACATTTACACCATTACAGCCTGTTTCGTCCGTATAGGATCTAAATTAATTGATTACTCTCTAGTATTTCGTAAACCAAACGGCATATAATATATATAAATATAAATGGATAGGAGGTTAAAACATAAGATTGTTCATTACAGATCTTGAAAACACTACAGTTCTGTTTTGAGAGGTCTTTCGCACGTCCTTTCTCTTTAGGTGTATGATCAGATTAAAGTCCTATATACCGTTCGGTATCCATGACCGCACAAGATTTAATTAAAAACCAATTAGCATGCCTGCATGATCTAGCAAGTTCGTTTTTTTGTTTCGGTACAAGTTTCCGGTTGGTAAATAATGAATTATTTTCCGTTATCCATAAATTACACTTTTTCCAATAATTGAATATGGAGTGGAACGAGCTACTATTTTCCAGTCTACAATGTATCTGATGTTATTATCCTTTATCAGATATATTTATACTTCTATTTACCTCTGTAAATTTATATTTGTTTGAAATGGATATGTTCCTAAAATTTTATCTATTTTTTCTCACTAGACTAATTCCAAGGAAAATTTCAACGAGAATGACAAAGATTTAGAGCTTCTTTTGTCTCACTTAAGTATTTTACTGAAAAGAGCCAAACACGGAACGATTGGTATTGTTGTTTCCGAATTGCAGTCCAGGGTTAATGTTAAATCCTTGAGTCCAACAGCAATCGAGAAGAGCTTTCAGTGGGTCATAGAGCAAACTTTTTCTGTGGAAAAAGGACAGCTACTATTCCTGTGTGCTGTTTTAGGCTACATTATTTCACAACAGCAAACTAACTTTTCACTTTTACCACAAAATATAAAGACGAAACAAGCATGTGATAAATTGCTCGACAATCTTGCAACTTGCGCTAAAAAAGGTTTTGTGATCCCTGACAACTGCTTGCATTGGCTGTGGAGATGCGCTTTTACATTGGTCCAAAGTTCTAGTAAGCCTGGGTGGCTTACGCTCGCCGCATATTTTCATTTTTACTTTGGAATGAAGAATATTTTATATGTTAATATGCAACCAGGCGAATATACCGATGTAGACTTTTATAAGTTTCTTTCTTTGACTGTGTTTGGTGTGCCTAGTGTCAAAAAAGTGTACCCTCACGACCTGAAGGAGTTATTCCAGCCATTCCTAAGACGTATATTGCAGTGTGCACCCAGCGATGACGTCCTATTTCAAATGTTCCAGAATACAGATTTGTACCGTTTCTTTCCATCACGGTATGAACGGGAAAATTTTTTTATTACGTTTTACCTTGATAATCTGGGTAGTTCGACTGGAGACTTGGGTGATAAACTTCAAAGTTTAATTAAAATACCCGAAGACGTTCGTAACAAGATGTCAGGAGTGATATACGGGAATGTACAACAGTTTATTAACACTGTTCCTGAACTATCATCAGATGATATGGAAGTTATTTGTCGTCTAGTTTCACACAACTTTACAGATGAAAACGTTTTATACCTTCTTCGAAATTTATTGAAATCGCGATCAGAGACTCGTCATAATATGATTTTTCAACTATTAAGCGACAAAAAATTTGAAAAAAAATGGGAGAAGATATCGTTAAATGAAAAAGTCAAGATTTGCACCTCTTGGGTGGAGAATTCGAACTTCAGTGGGAAAAACTGTGGAGGAATCAAAACAACGTTTGAGGCAGTTGACATATTAATATCCTGCACCTCCGTTTCTTCAAATCCTAGGCTTATCCAAGAATTGTGCAAAAATGTTTTACATTTGCTCCAACGACGAAGTGAAGACGTCAGTCCTATTATTGAGGAATTCGAAGAATTTGAAAATCATTCGCACCAAGTTCAGGAATGTTTACTTTTGCTTCTAGAAGGAAAGTTGCAAGCAAATCCAAGTCTTCTGGGGGATAAAAAAGTGCTAAATCAGTTTGGTACTTCAAGGTGAGCTTTTAATATTAACCTTCCCAACCGGTATAGCAGCTATATAGGTTATATTGTAACGATATGTCTTACAACCGTTCTTTTCCTGTATTTCTAAGATACATTAGTTAATATAATTTTGTTAAAATTGATACTATTGTTATATCAATTATGTCATATTCGTAATTTGAAGTGACTTGAGTTTAGTGCACAGGGAGGGTGGCATATTTCATCCATCGTAAGTTTGTTTATGTCAAAAATTAGGTAGATTCGCGGTGAATTCGTGAAATTATATTGTGAACTTTGAGTCAATTCCGATCGAGCAGGAAACTGATGTCTTTATATAGGCTCTGGTGGTTTGGTAGTTCCATATATTAGGATATATAAGGAGGAGAATTTATCGTTAATCAATCGTTAGTTGAAAAGAATGATTTAAAACCTTGAATCATGGACGTACATTTACGGATCTTAAAATACGATGCATAGAAATTCGCTTGGGAAAACATTTAAGAAAACTGCTTGGAAAAAAATTGTAATGAATTTCCAAGATTGTGGAAGCTCGACTGATATTTACAGAAACAATCTTTTGCAGTCATGATTTGTTTGAATTTTTTGTGGTTTATCCGTTTATCGTACTCGCTAAATATATTTCATACACTTTAGATGCCAAACCCATTTGATGAATTGTGTTTTAAATGAATTAAAAATTCCGAAACAAGAACACAACAAGGAGAAAGTTTTCACAGAAATGCTGAAATTCTGTGATGTTTGGATGATGTTAGTAGACGCCGAAGCCGGTAAGTGATTTTTTATAAGTTACACGATTTCTATGGTAGGCTGCGTAGTAGCGCCCTGTACATCTACGTACATGCATGCGTGAGTTTCTGTCGTGTTTTTAGAAGTGCAGTCATGAGTGCAGTATAGTGAAATCACAAATACAAGAGGACAAAGTTTTAATATTCATTTTTTCTTAATAAATATTAAAACTTTCATTCCGTAACTGTACTTCTTACAGCTGTTACAATAGTGCTTGTGAAAAATCGGAATGATAACCAGTCTTCATCGAAATATTATTTTACATTTTACAAGTTTACTTTATTGCATCACATTTTAGAAAGCATTGCCGAGCATAACACATTTAAAACCGGAGCAGGAATTTGGAAGGATATGGAGATTTTTATAATGAAAGAAGAAGTCTCAGTCACTCTTTTACCCGAGATTAAAAAGTATCAGAATGAAATATCACACATTTTTGCCGGGCTACACAGTCCAAAAGGAGAGGATCACGAAAATTTGCGACACAGATGTATTTCCAAAATAAACGAACTTGTTAGCATTGAGGAAGATGTCCGTAACAAGTTGGATCTTTTAGAAGCTGCTTTCAAGTTTGCTGGCAAAGTATTGTCTGGATGTGGTGTAATACCAACTGAAATTATCAAGAGAAAAAATGACCTTCGTACCATGAAAATGAAAGAACTGAATGAGGAGTTTTGGGGACCACACATGCCTTTGTTAAAACGACTAGCTTCCCTTTATCTTTTGATGCAGTCAGCTTCATTTATAAATATTTCTAAGATCTACGTACAAGAAAATGATCCTCTGGAGTGTGTCACATTTGAAGTCACGAAAATTGACATAGACCAACTTATTATTCTGTTTGAAGCTCTTGCTACTGATGGGATTAGTCAATTTGAAGCTGAGTGGTACCAGGTCTTACACAACCCAGATATGCAAACTGTCAGAGGACTAAAAGTTCTATTAGGCGATATTGACAGCAATACGATGATCGATGAATTTTCGCACTTGGAAAAATACTTTGGCCAGCAACTTCCACAACAAGTGAAGAATTACATAGAAGATTCTCTGAAATTTTCGCGAATCATGGCTGAAGTCGAACACATTATTGCTCTACTTGAATCATTTGGAATTATTGATTCTGCACAGAATGTTCTGGTGCCAATCTTAACATCGTTTATGGACGATTTTCCAACTGATGAGAAAATTGTCGTAAGTGATTTGCATGACCCATTGTCCGTGGTAGAAAATCTCATTTCTCGCTATGATTTAAAAAAGAACGATGAAGTCGTTGTGCAGTTGATTCAGTCTCATGAATTGATTAAGTTTTTAAATGAAATCGTGGATGAAGACATTCGCATTCTCATTGACGCCGTTGAGGAACATTCCGATCAGTCAGTCTCCGCTTCGTTGGTTTCAGATCTTATCCAAATACACAGCTCCCTTGCTCCTGTTTTAAAAATATGTGATACTGCCTCGGACCATGGGGTATTAATGACTCTAGTCAACGAACTAGAAAAACAGCCAATGTTGTCTGTAAAGATACGTCAGTGTAGTGTATACGTGCACAGCTTGAAAAGCTTATACAAGAACGTTGCCAATCGTGAAGAAATGACGAAAGAGATAATCATGAATTGTCTCAGCAAGGGAGTTTTTGATATTTCGCTTGATGAAAATGGTATTTGTCAAATCACCATGAAATACGAGAAAGATAGAAATAATTTAACTGAGAAATCCATGTCAGAACTCCATGATCTTCGAAGTCGTGCACATCTAATTTTAAGTGCTGTCAAAAAACCTGAAACAGCAACACACAATGGCGAAGAACCCAAACAAGAGATCAATTACGCAGATTTTATTGAACAAGTTAATATTCTGTCAGAGATTGAGCAAACGATTCTTAATTTGCGTATATCCGGAAGCATCGTGTATCAATATGCCCAGGATTGGGAAGAAATAAAAGAGACGGAAGACCTTCAAGAATTAGCTAATGCCCTTCATGAAGAGTTGGAGGCCTGGGAAAAAAGTCTACGCGAGGCTCGCAAGAAGTATTACTTTCTTAATTATTACTGGTCTGACCAACTGTGTATTTTATATAACTTTTTGATAAATTCGACACCAACCAAAATCAATTTTGAGAGCGTTCTCACATTGATCCATTTTGTTGATCCGACCGTTAATGAACAACGATTACGCGAATATAAAAATGTCCATTTAGCACCTCCTCCAAGCTCGCATCAGAAAACTCCAGATCAGATTTTTGCTATCGTTGGCGATGGATTGAATGAAATTTTTGCAGACACGCGTCCTGTATTGCGAAATATTTTAGACGATGTATTTCCTACTTTCCAGCCAGTGAAATTTAAAGCATCCGTTACAAAAGGTGAACTTTATGTCGCAGTCTTAGACGAAGAAAGTCCTCTTACTGTCAATGTCATGATGACCTTGTATGAAAATACAACAAATGGATATCCAGAGCCGTATCAAGTTATCTTTTGTGGTCCTCACACCACTTGGGAAGAAATACAGATTTTCCTCCAAAGATGCTTTTATCAAACCACATATTTACCACGGGAAAGTTTGTTTTGTTTGGCAAATGTCGAGCTTCTTACAAATGAAATTCAGTTTGAGTTGATTGACTATATTAAGAAGCAGAACACTGAAGACCTGGACTATCAACTCGCGATCATTTGCAGAGGTGGAGACTACCATCCCATAGTTCAGGAATTTTCAAAGTTTCAGCATTCAATCTCTGGTATGACGTATTCGGAAATTTCTCAACGTTTCAGATCTTCGTGGCCAGATATAAAGTTTGTAACATCAACATTACCAGGACTTGGTAAAACCGAATTCATTCGGGAGGAAGGGCTTGAGAAAAGAATGAATGTTGTCACATTTCCCATTAGTGGCCAGCTAGACCAAAGCAAGATTATCGGACGCTTACAACAACTTGATCTCAAGGATTTCCAGTGTCTTCATTTTGATATTGGAGAAGTCGATGATCCAATTTTGTTGGACACATTTTTGTTCCAGTTAATTGTCACAGGAATGGCTTCGTTTGGAACCCAGCGATATAGTCTTCAAAACACACATGTTTATATTGAAGTCGCTAACTCATTAAATGATCGACTACGTAACTCCTTAGTTGTAGCAAAGTGTTTTACCAACTTTGAAGTAGAGTGGCGAAACTACGATGACTTGGAAGTCAGCAGTAAAATAAACAGTGACATTCAGGTAGTTTGCCAGTATCTGAATGCTTTGGAGCGAGGCCAGCTTGAAAATGAAGATATCCATTTCACCGCTACAGGTGAGAAAAAACTTCAACCGCTTTCAGGCAACAGATGCCGTGATTTACTACGAAAATATTATTCGACAAATGCAGATACTACATTTACTGCCCTAAATACCTTCCTGGGACTACTGGCTAACCAGTTACGAAAGTTCTCTAGAAGTGCATTCTTTGAGGTTGAGAACTTGAAGCTCATGCTTGAGGAAAAAGCTTTCGATGTACGGAGAAATTTGCTGACTGCATTGCTTGAGGTCTCGAAAGATTTCGCAACTCGTTCGTTGAAAACTTGTAGCTCAAGTCATCAATACGAAGCACTTACACAAACCATGGAAACATCAGCCCAGCGCATGGTCCAAAGAGTAGAAGGAATGATACGTTGGGAAGAGAGCAATCATTTACTAATTGTGTTTCACGGTGAAGATTCACAGACGATAGCTGCATTTTATCGAGACAAAAATCGTGTGCCGCTAAGCGTTTCCGAATTACTGAAAAGCCAAATAGTGAAAGGTAGAAGCAAAGAGCTGGATGACTTTCAGAAAATGAGCCATGAAGAATGCACGGAAGGCTGGAAAGAATTGCACGCACTAATCCAAGAAATGAAGAACGTGAAGAAACCACAGGAAGACAGTTCTCTGGTTACGCGCTAACGCCAGATAACATGTTGAAGATGATCTTGATAATACTCCGAGTGAGAGCTAATGTTCCTATTATAATCATGGGAGAAACTGGATGTGGAAAGACGAGTTTGGTGGAATACTTAGCAGAAACCTGTGAAATTCCGTTCAAAATATATAACATCCACGCTGGACGTTCTGAAGATGAAATCAAGAATTTTGTTGAAGAGCAAAACAATGAAGCCCGAAAAGCCAAGGGACAAAGATGGGTTTTTCTTGACGAAATTAATACTTGCCATCACCTTGGAATGATAAATGAAATCATGTGTCACCATACCTTGCAAGGTCAACCATTATCTAAGAAGCTTGTTCTGTTAGCGGCATGTAATCCTTACAAGTTGCGTCCAGAAGAGAATGCAACCACCGCAGGTCTTGAAGGCAAGAATGTAACTGACGAATATTCTGAGCTTGTCTATCGAGTACATCAATTACCAGAAGCCATGGTGGATTATGTTTGGGACTATGGTTCTTTGACACCCCAAGATGAGAAAAAATACATCGAAAGAATGGTACAAAAGCTTCCTTCTGATTGCCAACGTGTTTTAGTCGACCTTCTCGCCGAGTCTCAAGCTTTCATTCGCGAAGCTGAGAGGAACCATTTTTGTGTGAGTTTGCGTGATGTTCGCCGATGCATTGTTCTGGTTGAATGGTTTATGAAGACGATTGGAAAACGAGCAAAAGTGATGAATGGGAGACCGAATGAAACAAGGTCAGTTCCTGTGCATCTTAAGAAATATAAAGACCTGACACAAAAAGATACAATGGAAAACCTGAATTCAAAAGCATTGTTCTCGCTTTGGCACATTGCTATTTATCAAGATTACAAACTGAAGAACTGCGTGAGGAATACATAAAGAAAATGGCGCAACAATTTCCATTAGTTGCAAATGAAGATGAATTTTCAGCGATTATCCGCATGGAACAAGAAGATTACCTTGATCGAATGGAACTCCCTCCAGGAACAGCAAGAAACGCTGCTCTACGGGAGAATGTTTTTGTCATGCTAGTATCCATTCTTAACCGTATACCTGTTTTCGTGGTGGGAAAGCCAGGTTGCAGTAAATCATTGGCAATTCAACTAATCAAAAGCAATCTTCGCGGTGAGGATTCGATAGATCCATTTTTCAAAACGCTTCCGCATCTCTACGTTGTTTCTTATCAAGGTTCTGAATCTTCCACATCCGAAGGAATAGAAGAAATTTTTGAAAAAGCATCAAATTACAAAAATCAAGACGCGAATGTGTTGCCGGTTGTTCTTCTCGATGAAGTTGGCTTGGCAGAGAATTCTTCAAACAATCCTCTCAAAGTTCTGCACAGTATTTTAGAACCAGGGAAAGGCGAATTACCACAAGTTGCAGTTGTTGGTATTTCAAATTGGGCGTTGGATGCCGCTAAAATGAACAGAGCAATTCATTTGTCACGACCAGAACCCACAGTTAAGGATCTTGAAGAGACAGCAATCTCTCTTTATCATGCGGACGGTGAACGACAAGTGGATGCAACCACCAGAAACGTGTTAGCTAACATCGCTGATGCTTATCATGAGTACCAGTCTGAACAAGGACACCGCAATTTCCATGGTCTTCGTGATTATTATTCTCTTGTTAAAAGCCTTCGCAATGGCACTTTTGATGATTATAAAATTAACATAGCTTTACAACGAAATTTTGGAGGCATTCCAGTCGAATCAAGCAAAATTCAAGAGATCTTCATGGATAAATTTCTTGTAGGTGAGAAATATGTTAGAATTCCAGTCGCTACACTTATTCAAGAGAATCTTGACGACCTAAAAGCTCGCCATTTGATGCTCATAACAAATGGAGATTCAGCTATTGGCATACTCAAGCAGAACTTTTCACAGTCGGAAAAGGAAACCATCACGATCTTCGGCAGTCGTTTTGAGGAAGATATGTCAGATGACTACAATTACAGAATGTTAAGTCGCATTATTCTTTGTATGGAGCGCGAGTGTATCCTGATATTGCGTGATCTTGAATGTATCTATGGAAGTCTGTATGATATGTTAAATCAGAATTACTCTGTGGTTGGGAAGAGAAAGAACTGTCGAGTGGCTCTTGGCGCCAACAGCAACCCAATGTGTTATGTTAACGACGGATTTCGCTGCATTGTTCTTGTTGACCATGACAAAGTCGATTTTTCTGATCCGCCATTCCTCAACAGATTTGAAAAGCAGTTACTTCGTTTCTCTGACGTGCTAAATGAAGACCAACAAGAAATTATTGAAGAGTTAGAATCATGGGTTGAACAAATGTCATGTGTTGAAGATTTAGACGAGCAATTTAAAAAATCTGATATGTTCATGGGTTTTCACGAAGACACACTTCCATCACTCGTTCTGTTACATAGCAAAGATACAGATGACTGTGGAGTGATTTTAAAGAAGTGCAAAGATGATTTGATGTGGATTGCAACGACTGATGGAGTTCTAAGGGCACAAAAATGCGAATTCATGCAGGAAAATCCACAAGAATTAAAAATGCTGGTTGAAGATTACTTTGAGAAGCCAATTCATCATGGACTGTCATCGTTTATTGAGTGTGTTGTGCGCGACCAACAGTTAACATATACTAGAGAAAGTGAATTTGGATCAAAAACTGTTGTAATGACGTACGCCACTGTTCATTCCGACATATCTAAATATCTTGATCCTACCATTGCAACGTATCAGCTTGAAAGACTTGGTTCTTATAAGTCAGAGAAGCAGTTGGAAGATAGAATTCATAATTTCTTCTCCTCAGATAAAGATTTGCTTGTTTTTCAATGTAAACCGGAGTTGGATGATAAACACATGCTACTTGCTCGATCAATTATCGAAGATAAAAGAAAATCTTACGTGGAGGAGTATCAAGAATCGAATTCAATGAAACGAAGGAAACATGTTTGTATCATTGTTCATGTACGTCGGGTAGTGAGAGAAGAAACAACAGGCTGGCAATTCAATTTTCTCAGCGGCTGGAAGCAAGTCTTTCTTGATGCTCTTGACGTCCCATCGATTGGAGTGAGCGAAATGCGAAATGAAAGTATCGAAAATCTCTTCTCCTCGTCAGTTTGGTCATTTCAGGGATTTGCTGCAAAGTGCATCCTGTGGTGTTTTAACTGCATAAAGTACTCCCAAAGCGAGAGGCGACGTGAAACTATCCTGAAAATTGCAAAGAACCTCTTTGCGTCTGAGAAAGTCACCACAGCTATTCAGAAGCTTGTTCTGCGAAATGTCGACTCGATTGATGATGATACGTTTGAGGAGACATGGCAGGTAAAAGTTGCTTGCGATATTGAACTTCTTCTCAATTCCTCCACCGTTTCCTCGGCAATGGAACAATATCTTTCCTTTTTAATTCGTCAACCACTAGCTAAGATAGTTTACTTCCTGGAAAGAGAAAATGCTTGGCCACCTCACGTCCTCTCAACTCATGAAGACACCATCGACTACGAAGACATCTGGTGTGATTTATTACTAAATAGCACAATTCTTAACATCGTCGAAATCCCAGAATCGCACGGGGCCGAAACATATTTTGTTGATGGAGTACATCTAAATCTGAGAGTACCATTCAGTCAAGTGATCTTCCACGATGCCGACTCCGCCAGAGGTCCGATTATGAAAGAATATGCCAAAGCAATGAGAAATGAATCAAATTTCGACGACAGTGATAGATTGAAAGCAGATGCGCGGTTGGAACATCTTCGTCAATATTCCAAGATTCTTAGAAAGTTGGCACCATGCATACACGTGGTTTCAAAAAATTGTATGAGCTCGTACATGGCTGACGTATTTGAATTATTATCTGCAGATTTCTACAGCAAGATTAATAGTCAACAATGCATATCATTCTGCATGTGTGCCTTTTTATCATTCGCTAAACAGTGGTTACCAATTGAAGACAACGATCCACATCAATTTTATGCTTTACTCCACTTGTTTGCATGGACCTCAAGTGATGAAATAAACTGTCTTCTCGAACTAGTAGACTCATGCTGCCAAGAACTCATGCAACCTAAATACTTAGAGAAAATGACAAGAGAATTCTTTTTAGAAAACCATCATGTTTTACCCTTTTCTGAGACAGACCCAATTGATGAAAGGTTTGATGTCTTAAGAACTAAGACCAAGTCTTCAGGAAGAGAATATAAAGACAGAGAAAGCAACGATTATGACTCCAGTGACAGTGACTCCAGTGATAGCGATGATAGCGACTCCAGTGATAGTGATGATAGCGAAGATGAAGAAGATGATGATGATGAAGAGGAAGAAGACTGCTTTGAAGATATTTTGGTGACCGAAATTTGTGAAAAACTGTTCCCTTCAAAAAGGACGGTGGAAAAGAACGGTGGACTGGATTTATGGATAGAAAATTCTTCGCATTTACTTTCGTTGGCATCAAAAGTCAGCAACGAAACTCCTCCGGCATACCATTTTCTACGTTTATGTGTTGACTACGCCGAGATGGTTGTTCAGGAAAGTGGAAAGTGCGAGGATTATCTATACGTTCTAAACACAATAGGCAGGGAACTTGAACCAGAATATCTTGACGATGAAAGTTCATTCCAGAAAATAAAGGAAAAGGTTATTGATCCTGTTGAGAATTATTTGATGGGCGAAGAAGAAAATCATGCTATATTACAAATATTCCTAGCTCAGTTTTACAATCGTTTTCCAGAAGCAAATGCAGAAACAAAGTCAGCCCGTGCAATAATTGAACATGTCTTGTCACTGCGTGGCGAAGAAGTATTGATTATGACATCAGTTATCTATCGATTGTTGTTCGCTGAGGAAGACCGTTCATCGGGTATTTTTATTGATATCATTCTTGATCAGAAGGTAGGAGAGAAGCAATCAAATCTAAAAGATATCGACGAGGTTTTCAAGGAACGCTTTGCAGTTGGGCAAATTCACCATGATTCTTATCCAGCAGTCATGATATGCGATTTAATACACTTCATTCAGAACTTTGATAAGTATTTCAACATTAAACAGTTAGCAAGTTCCGACAGCAAGCTACTAAGGTGTTTTCGTTCTGCCACAAACTTTGTGACCGGTAGTGATGATAACATTGGCCTAGTCCTTCTTTCATCCGTCGCATTTCTTCGAGCATTTTACTCGATGTTATCAAAAAATCGATCCATCTTGACAGGGGAAACTCCATATTCTCACGTTATGAATGAGATAAACTCTCTCCTAGCAGGCGGTGGGGCAAGAAGATCATCTCTTCAAATATTCTTCCTCAAACAACTTTACCGTGACAATATGACGATGTTTGATCTTCGCAAGTTGTGTTTTGAAAGTGTTAATCTCCCTGTGATTAGGAATCAAATGGAGCAATGCAAGATCGTCAACAAGGTCGAACTTGTCTCAGTTTTCCGACTAGACGAATATGAAGAAGTGAAAGCTGCATTTTCTCTACTAACTCAGAAAAACGAAGAAGAAATGTCCAATGTCATGAAAAAATGTGAGAAATCCGCAAACCATCGCTTAGCGTTATTGGGAATCCTGATAAATGAGTTTTTCGTCAAAAAAGCTGTTGGTAATCTCAGTGACAAAGAAGAACACTTGGCAAATTGGTTTAGGAAAAATTCCAAAGATCTTCCGTCTGTAATGAAGGAACTTCTTGTCAGAATAGTTGGTCACAAAAGTTTCAGACACCAGGGCTTACAGATTTCGCTTGAATCTTCGACTTATGAAATTGATATAGCGTTGTTAATACTTCATGTTTCATGTGTTGTAGCGAGTCATGACGAGGGTGAGAATTCTCCACTGGTCCAATATTTTTCCAACCCAAAGAATTGTCATGTTCTCGCGCAAGGTGAAGATAGAAAACGTCGTGTGTTCCAACAATTTACGTTATGCAACGAATCCACAGAGTCGAAAGAATGGGAAGAATGCACGGTTAATATGAGTGCTTCTGTGTATCGTGCATTGGATATGATCGTTTATGCGTGTTTTTATGCTGGAATAGCAACCGGAATTTCATCCAGTGAAGACGTGCTTCCTTTATTACCAGCAAATAAACAAGGATCCCCCTCAAGAGCGACATGTAAAGATTCAGCAGATTTCTGCTTCAATCGTGTCAAAGACGATCTGCGATGCTTACAGACGATCCTTTCCTGTGATAGTCGCACTGCAGTTGACGTCATGCATCTTGTTGTCGAGGAATGTACGGAGCTTATTCGAGGGAAGACTTCCAGTGATGGTAATTTTGGCACGCGTAGAGAATGCATAGAGTGGGAAAACAGATTTACAAATGTAGCTGAAGAAATTCTGCCAAAAGCCCTTGGATCTGCAAGACAACTTAAAGAAACTAGAATGGATTTCGAAGGGGAAAAACGTTCTTTGATAGAAAAACAAATCATGGAACTCGATGAATATCCGTCTGATCACGAGCAACAAAATGAAGAATTGAAAAGGTTATTTCGTGTAACCAAACAACCATCATTTACGGAATTGCGATCTATATATCTTAACCGTTTCAACGATTTCCAAGAGCACAGAGTCTTGGCAGTATTGCTTTCGAAGTTTCACGAGCTGCCATATCTTGCTTGTTTATATCCACTCATAAGATGGAGTCGTTTGGTCTCTTCAAAACTGACGAACCGAATCAGCAGAAAGGAAGCGCAATCTAAAGTCATATATGATTTTATCGATGGTCGTCTCTTGCGGCAGGAGGAAAGTAACGATGAGGGAACTGAACTTAGAGAAATATTCAACGACTTCAAAGTGGCTTGGAACAAAGTGCGAGAATTTGTTAATCAGAATATTGATCCTGACCAGGAAGAGATGCCATATTTAACGGAGGAAAGCTACATAGGCTACTGCCTGACAGAAGGTGACTTTAGTATCTATCTACAAACAGCAATCAAGATCCTTCAATCAATCCAGAACAACATTTTAGATGAGATAACTCTTGCATCAGCACGTACTAGACATGCTGCTCGGCTTCGTTTGCTCAAAAAGAACAAAAACCGTAACGCAATTACGTCCGTCTCTCTTCAAGAAGCAAAAGAAAAAGATATCATCAAGTTTAATTGGTCAGATGAATTCCTCAAGTATGTACAAGATCCGAACTATGGCTTAGGTGAAGATACTGATTATGATTTTGATAAAATTGAAGAGGAACTAGTGATTGAGATTGTGGCAGGAAAATGCCATCTTACAGAATCTGTGAACACTTTTATATTCGCCAAGGAACTTTTCCATTCCAGTGCTAAAGTTTTAACGAAAATTCGTGAATTTTGTCCGCAAAGTCAGTCACTACCAGAAGAAATTTGCCAAGGATTGAATAGCCTGAAAGAAAGCAGAAAGCAAGATGCACGGACTCTTCTTCAACATATCGAGATTGTCATTTATCTACTAAATATTGAATCAATTCCTGCTGATGATATCAAAAAGATAACACTGGTGAAATTTGTCGAAATGTGGGAGACAAAGCTTCCTAGTCCATTCCCAATTGATTTGCTACCGGAACCAAAAGCTTCCATCCAACTGACCCATATTGCTGCTCTCTATGAAGCATTGGAAGATCTGCTCGCTGATGGCGCAATCGAAGGTCTACCCAGGCAATACAACGTGAAATTGACCAAGGATACTGAAAAGATTCTGAATAGTTTGGTTGATAACAGAAACAAATCTTTAAAACTCAAATTATTCCTCAAAGCGTTGCGTCGTTTCGTATTCCGTTATCTTTCAGCAGAAAAATTTCTTCCAGAATCGCACACGCCATTGCGTTCCTGCTTGATGGAGCCTTCGTTGTGGTCACCAGAAGAAGCTCCCAGTGCTGATGTTATTCCTGGAGAGTTGAGACTGGAGAATATCTACGCTATAATGAAACATCTTGATCAGGTAAGTCCAATGAAATTCTCACACTTTTTATTTTTCAATCAAGAGCTTTGTGGTAAAGATAACGTCTCAAAATAGTTCACTAGTTTTAATAGTTGAGGCAAAACCATTTTACAAGTGAGAGAGGTGCTATTTTCTAAAATGTTCATGCAAATATTTAGGAACTAAAAGAACACTCCAGCGCAAGACTAAATCAAGAAAGTCGTGAAACTGGTCTTGGCATCAGAAGAAGACCAAAAAGAAGGGTTATTGCAAAGTTTTCACGTTGATCATTTTATAGAAACGTTAATCATTTTATAGATTATGCAACACTTAAGTAATTGATTGAATTTTTAAATTAGTATGTGTAGTTGTAGAATGTAATGAACTGAATATTTTGGTTGGAGATTTGGTTGGAGGTTTGTGTTTTATGGGAAAAAGTATTTTATTCCCAAAAAGATGGCGAAACAGATGAAATTTTGTCGAAGGAGAAAACCTGCAATGGGAACCTAAAATAAACTTATTATGTTTTCAATACGGCCAGTAATTTGTCAGAAGTTCCCTACGTAAGCCATTAGTCAATCGAAAACCTACACACGTCATTCTCCAAGAAAGTTAACTACATCCTACATTGCTGGAATACCAAACCGTAAACATTTGCTTGAAAGTCGCTTCACTTAGTGTCAACACAAAATGTTCGAACCATGCAGATATATGCAATCTAAGAAGCCTCTTTAATTGAATATGCATGCGAACATGCTTCATCCTGACCATATTTATTCTGATTCAAAAATATATTAGTTATATAAGATATTTTTGAAAAGCCTTTACTAAAGACTGCATGAATCGAACTTACACCTATAACTCTTTAGCATCCAGCGCATTTACAAAGGGCATAGAGGGTATACGAAGGGATGCAGTGACTGTATTTCATTGTTTTAGCAGCATATATTAATTTTCTACAGAAAACCTTACCGATAAGTGAACTAGAAAAAAGTAAATAGGTAAACTGAAAAATACATGCTGCACAACACATGTGAAATTAATATGGTTTACAGTACTGAAACACTAGCACGCATGTCTTTAACACTGGAATTCCACAACGACTGGACTCAAACTTTTGCCCCCTACTGTATGTATACTCTCTAGTATACAGAGTTTGCGCTGCAGACTACTAGCTCTGCATGTGATTCTAATGAAGTGCGGCTTGGTGACCTGACTATGTCTTGTTGTACCTACTTTTCAAACTAGCAGCTATTAGTATGTTGCTAATTACATTTACGTCATTGACAATGAAAAAGTCTTTAAATATGATTTTAAAAACCAATATACAAATCAATATACAAGTTTGGCCTTTATTTCCCCTGTTTAATTGTTAAGTTCTCTTTTCGTTGTGAAATGTTATCGTTAATCGCAATAACCGAAAATTGACAGACCTCATCTCTTACTGTTAGTGTCTTATAGTGAGGCTTAGATTTCATATTTATTTCCCCATTGAAATATTTATTTCTCCATACTGAACTATTTCCCCTGGGCTTCGAATAAGGGGTTTTATAAGTACACGAGGTAGGTAGGTAAAACTTTACAATTACACACAGACAGTTTCACACAAAGATAGATTATATGGATATAAGTAGAATGTGTTTCAGTGTCCAACAACAATTGATTTAAACAAACGAAGCGACTCAGCTGATTTTGCTTCGTTTGGAAGCCGATTCCAAAGCATAGCGCCGCTATATTTGAAACATTTTTTAAGGTATTCTCGATTCGGCCTACAGAGACTTTGGTCTATTGCATAGTTTCGGAAGTGATAATTAGTTTGATCTACATATTTCTCGTCTCACGAAAGACTCCCGAAGAGCCCGGCGCAGTGTGGTCATTAAGTATATTTTACATCAATACTGACTTGGCACTAGACCGTCTAGTTATAAGTGTGTCCCAAGAAATTGCTAAGAAGATCGATTGATGAAGTATCATAATTTACATCTGTTAAGACCCTCGCTGCACGAAACTGAAATCTTTGCAACTCGGCTCTGAGCAGCTTACCACAAGTATCCCACAGAGGGGAGCAGTAATCGAAGTAAGGCTGCACAAAACCTTTATAAACAGATTCTAGGGTATGTCTAGGACGAACAAAGGGTCTTATGCGTTTCATAACGCCAATCCCTGCACTCGCCTTTTTACATATCATTTGGGTTTTGCATTAGCCATTACAGGTACATCACACATTATATGGGTAGTTTTAACTATATATTGTATTAAATTATTGGATATCACATTTTATAACAGGCAAATAATTACTGTATTTAAACTGAAAACTATATTGTGATTATGCTGAATATTATAACAATTAAGGAACTAGTATATTTAACTACTTAACTCGTCGCAAAGTCAAGGAACTGTATATTCAATGTGGAATCTCATGCAATTAATAACAAAGAATTATTGTATTGAATTACTGAATCGCATTTAAAAACTACCTATTAATTGCTGAATAATATAACAAACTATTGTTTAAAATTGCTGAATCTTAAACAATACTGCCTTACTGGGACTGGTTGTACAAAGGCTGCATGGATACGGTATACACCGGATAGTTATGTTTCAGATGTAGAAATGCCTTAAAGCGGTAAGACTACAAATTTCGAGATAACAATCTCTAAAGAGAATCCTTCATTTAGGAACATGCATGCACTTATACCGATCAACGGACAATCGCAATTTCGAAGCGATTAATTGAAAAACTTATCCGGTGGATAACGTTATCCGGGCTTATCCAGCTTTTGTACAATTAGTCTATTTTACTACACAATCTCGTAACAAGAAAGTATACTGTATTGAAAATTTGAAATGCCGCATCTAGCTCAACCACAGCTAGACTACTGTAATTGGGATATAAACTATATATGATTGATTATGTATGATATCCTCCTATAACAAAAACTGTATTATTGTATTTTATTACTCTGATCCGCTGTTATTAAATCATTTCCCACGTTGCTAAGAACGAGATACAATACGACCAGGTCGTTTCTGTTTCTTCGAAAATCTACTGCGACCAGCGGAGACACTTGAATAATTTTTGGATTTCTGAAAACGAAAACATTTGGATTGTTTTTGTCAGTGGATAAACTATTTATTTATTTTATCATTCGTTTGTTATATACCTCTTATTAGTTTACCACAAAACATATTTTCAACTCTAAATTTGCATTATTTGCGCTTTTACGCGGACCATTTACAATGTTGGACCGAATACTTCATGTAATATGAAAAGCTTTTCTATTCATGATCTTAATTGGATAGAAATGTATAATATTGGTGTTGGTTTTGGCTTTGAAAATGTCGTTTTTGATCGTGCAAATGAGAACATACCGGTTCAAGATGTGTTATTATAGCATAAATATCCCCCAATGCCATCTTTTCTGGAATAACATCAGGACTGGGAGCTTCTTCTGGTGACCACAACGAAGGCTCCATCAAGCAGGAACGCAATGGCGTGTGCGATTCTGGAAGGAATTTTTCTGCTGAGAGATAACGGAATACGAAACGACGCAACGCTGTGAGGAATAATTTGAGTTTCAATGATCCATTTCTGTGATCCACTAAACTATTTAGACTTTTCTTGGTTTCCTCTGTAAGTTCTGCGCGGAATTTTCTTGGCAGTCCTTTGATTGTTCCGTCAACAAGTATATCTTCCAAAGCCTCATAAAGGGCAGGAATATGGGCCAGTTTTATGATGGGGTCCGGCAGCAGATGAACGGGGAATTCACTAGGAAGCTTTGATTTCCATTTATCGGCAAATTCAATCAGTTTCATATCTTGTATTAAAATTGACTGGGTATTTAGTACAAATATGACACCTTCTATATGCTGAAGAAGATTTTGAGCATCTTGTATTCTGCGTTCTTTTAAACTGTGTAGCCCCAGGCAAATCTCTTCTGGCAACGGCTCTGTTTTGGGGCACAATTCTCGAATTTTTGTTAGCATTTTGGCACTAGAGTGGAAAAGTTCCTTTGAAAATATGAATGTGTTTGGAGATTCTGTGAGGTAGCTCTTTCCGAATGCAATTTCATTCGCCAATTCTAATTCTATTCGTTCAAAGTCATAATCGATTTTTTCACCTTGTCCATACTCTAGTTTATGTGTAAAGATAAGGAATTCGTCAGGCCAATTGAAGTTGATGATATCTTTCTTCTTTACTTCTTGCAGAGCGACGGACATAATTGCGCAACAATTTTCGTCCAATTCAAGAAAATGCAGAGCAGGATGTCGAGTACGCGTTGATATGAGAATCATTTCGTCTAAAATGTTGTTCTGGATTGATTGAAGGATCTTGATTGCTGTTTGTAGATAGATACTAAAGTCACCTTCTGTCAGGCAATAGCCTAGGAAACAACTGTGTTGAGTTAATGATGGCATGGGGTCAGTGCCATTTGGTAGCTCTTGGTCGACAAAATCGCGCATACCTTCCCAAGCGATAAGAAATTCATCCAAATATTTTTTTAGTGCTTCTTCGTTTTCAACCTTCTCGTGACCAGGTATTCTACCATGGATAAGATCGTCGACCGTCTTTAATTCTGCTTCTTTCCGACTAATACGATGTGTTAACATTGATGAAATTAACCGACTCCACCTCAAGAGTGGAAATAAGTGTGCAAGATATGGTAGCTCGTCAAACTGTGAAAACAGTAATGCCAGAACCTTATGTTGCTCTTGGAACTCTCTGGAAGAGTCAATGAATGTCGATCGCAATTCGTTGAAAGATGGTTTTTTTGTTAGGCGAAATAATCTCTTTAATTCCCTGTCATGTTTCTGATGGTCAGACGGATATTTATCAAGTTCCTGGATCAATACACGCTGTTCATTACTTTCATCGAACTTCAGTCTTGAAGATCTGAGCGCGTTAGACAAAACATCTTTAGCTGTAGTTGCAAATTTCTTTTCCCATACTGCACATTGTTGTTCTGTTAAAAAAATACCATCACCGGGAGTCTTCCCTCGAATAAGTTCCGTACATTCCTCGACAACAAGATGCATGACGTCAACTGCAGTGCGACTATCACAGGAAAGGATCGTCTGTAAGCATCGTAGATCGTCTTTGACACGATTGAAGCAGAAATCTGCTGAATCTTTACATGTTGATGCTGAGGTGGATCCTTGTTCATTTGTTGGTAATAAAGGAAACACGTCTTCACTGGATGAAATTCCGGTTGCTATTCCAGCATAAAAACACGCATAAACGATCATATCCAATGCACGATACACAGAAGCACTCATATTAGCCGTGCATTCTTCCCATTCTTTCGACTTCGTCTCCAGATTGTAAATCTTGGCTTGCTCGGATGAATTTGCCTGTGTCGAGGTCTCTGTCCCGCAGTATGGACAAATGTTTTGCATTCCATTTTCTTTAAACTTTATGCGCATGTGGCATGAACACGTGATCGGTCTTGATGCATTGTAAAATGCAAATTCATCAAACACTCGTTGCTTTCTTTTTTTGTCCACGAGAAGCCAGGTATTATGACATTCTTTAGGTTTGATCAAGTATTGGAATAGCGGGGACATTTCGCCATGAACACGACTTGCTACAACACATGTGATATGAAGTATTAACAACGCGGTCTCAATGTCATGTGCAGATGATTCAGGAGAAATCTGTAGGCCAGGATGGCTGAATTTTTCTCGACCAATTATTCTCAGCAGGAGTTGCTTCATAACCGGATATTCCTCGATTACTACGGAAAACCAATGCGCTAATTGCTCTTCCTTGTGGCTGAGGTTGGTAACAGCTTTTTTGATATAAAACGTGTTAATCAGGAATCCCATCACAGCTAGTCGATTTTTTGCCGAATTCCGACATTTTAACAACATGTTAAGCATGTCGCTTTTATTTCTTTGTTCAAGTTGCACGTATGCCGCTTCTACTTCTCTATATTCCTGTAATCTTTGAACTGAGACAAGTTCGGCCTTGTGAACGACCTTGCATTGCTTAATTTGGCTGGTAACTGCAGGAAATGTTTCGCTTTCAGAAAAAAACTGGTGGAGGTCAAACAGGGTCATACCGGTTTTATAAAGTTGTTTCAGAAAAAAGATTTGTAATGATGAACTTCTGGCATTGTTGAGCGCTAAAAGGGAGTTAATCTCTTCCATGATTGTAGGTTTTTCCATTATTATAAATTCTTCCTCAAAAGAAATGTCTTTCTTTCTTTCGTAAATGTGTCTTGATAACTTTGTATAGAAAACGCGTAGAAACGCGACCGATGTGAGAAGGACCAAACCGACATAATTTTCTCCTCCATTTAGGACATTTGTAGCGCAGCGAAGACACTTGAGCAATTCACATTCGGGAGTTGTAAGTGTCTGTATATTACAGCGTTCGTCAAACTCTAGGATGGAAACGACCACGTCACAGATCAAAACAGCTGGATAAGAATCATGATGAATAAAACCTTTTGAAAAACACTCTTTAAAGATTTTATCAATAGCGTTAAGAATCGGGCAATTGTCCATAACACTTTGATCGATGATCATATCGAAAAATATCCCACTTGATTTCGTTTGGCAAGCATAAAATAAACTGTACATCACCGGTTTCATCAGCAAGACCAAATCTTCCCGGTCCAGGGAAAATACATTCTCAACGATTGGTATTGCCGATTGAGCATCTTTATATGTATCTAAGAAACGGTTATGAAACTTAGCCAAGAATTTTTGCATCAAAACATATCGTTCCTCTGCAGGGTCTAATTCACTTGTTAAAGGATCAACTAACTTTTTTTTGAAATTCTGAAGCGATCCATCTTTGTCTAGATATTCGGGTTTGAGCTCCTTCGCAATTTCATCCAGTTTGTATAGATAGTCCGTAGGTATTCTGGTTTTTTGTACCATTTTTGCGTAATCAACGCATAGGCGCAGGAAATGGAATGCCGGGGCCTGGTTGCTCACGTTAAACGCCAAAGACAACAACAGGGAAGAATTTCGTATCCACGATTCCAGCCCGTCGCGATTAATGAGCACTTCAGAAGGAAACATTTCTTCACAAAATTTAGTTACGAGAACATCCTCAAAACATTCGGACATTGAACTTGTCTCCAAATCGGCGTTTGAAGTATGCACGTCTTCGCTACCATCGTGTTCGCTTTCACTAGTGCTACTGTTGCTTTCTTCGTTACTCGATTCACTGTCACTGCTTTCACTTTCGCTTTCCCGATATTCTGTTCCCTTTGCGTCAGTCTCTGAATCATCAGGTTTATCAGCGCTATTCTTTAAAATAGATGACTCGCTTTCGATCATTTTAAACTCCGTCTCCATTCCATGCTTTCTTCTTTTTGCCATTTTTTTTTGATAGAGGTGTTCCGAATATTGCGATTGTTCATTCTTTCGTTTTAAATTTGGTGTGGCATTTTCCGACCTTTCGCATTCCACGTTTGTTTCCATGTCGGTTCTTTCTATCGAAATTGCTTCGTCATCCCTCGTTAAATTAGGCGAAACGCTGCCAGTCTCTATGGGCCTTGAGTTCACCTCCCTTTGAGATTTCTCTACAAATTGCTTGATTACATTCTCCACGACAGTTTCTTCCACAAACGGCTTACACAAATTAATCATTCGAATTTGATCAATTATTTGATGTTTAAAATTCCACATTAGCAAATGAGATTGAATGCAAGAATAGAGAGGATTCTCTGTGGACAAACCATAGTCGCTGGCGAAAGACGACAATGCCTTATTACCTATCTGTACTCTCTCCCTACGTTTCATGTTGTCACTGAAGGATGCTAAGGTTATATCAATAAAGTCTTCTGAATACGAATTAAGACACCATCCAGGAAGGTCTAGAATATCTGGAGCAATATTTGTCACAATATCTATGTAGTGTTTCATTTGTTTGTCTTGCGATTCCAGATTGTGTTCCTCGTCTTCGTCCGTGTACAAGTCATACGTTTCTAAGACTTGTTCTTTTGCAGCATTCACTTTCCGAACAATTACTTGACTAAAAGGCACGCTAAGCTCAAGACGGACGCCATCGATGATATATGACTCGGTTCCTAGTGGATCAGGAATTTTGAAAATGTCAAAAATAGTATCTCTTGAAATCAAGTCGCACCAAACATCGTTGTACTCGGCAGGAGCTTTCTCATCGGAAATGCGAGTTGGCCAGGCATTCTCTCGTTCCAAGAAGTAGATTATCTTGGCTAGTGGATTACGAACCAAACGGCAGAGATAATGTTCGATTGCGGATGAAAAGGTGGACGAGTTGATTAAGATTTCTTTTGTACAGGCGACCTTAACTGCCACCGATTCATAATTCTCTTGCTCGTTAACATACCTTATAACAATGCTTTGGATAGCGTTGAACACTTGTGTAGACTCGAAAAGATCCTTAGCCATTTTTAAAATTATGTCCAAAGGTCTCTGTTCTTTTATATACTTTATACAATTGAAACACCAAAGTAAACACTTGGAGTCACTTGAAAATTTCTTAAAGGACCAACTTGATTCAGTAAGGAGCTTTTCGATAGATTCGGAGCGAAATTCATTCATGGCAACTAACGGCTGTTCGATAACATCAAGGAAAGCCTGTTTCCAGCTGCAGAGATAATTAAATTGCCACCATGTGGCGCTTAAACCTGTTGTTCCTCGGCGAAGATGCACAAGAATGCAAATGTGTTTTTTCTGTTTCGCTAGATGGGAATTTTGGTAGGTTTTCGCGTAAGATCTTCGTTTTTCTTCAATGATTGATCGTGCAAGAAGCATGTGTTCGCCATCAAGCTCCGGTTTACATTGAAAAACTAGCAATTCTTTATCGGAAGAGAAGAAGTTTTCAACCCGGTCCTCGAGTTGCTTCTGTGCACTGTATGCTCCAAGTCGTTCCAACTGATACTTCATTTTTGTGTCGTCAAGACAATTGGCAATGTCCGTATGAACAGTGGCGTATGTCATTACTATAGTTTTGGAGCCAACGTCTTCTCCGGTCAGGTACGAAAACTCTTCATCTTCTACAACGTGCGCAATAAATGACGCCAGGCCGTTGTGTAATGGCTTCTCAAAATATTCTTTAGTAAGCATATTCACTTCTCGCGGGTTTTCTTTTACATGTTCGCATTTCTGGGTGCGTAGCACTCCATCGGGTGTTGCAATCCACATAAGATCATCTTTACATTTCTTTACAATCTCTTCGTTTGATTCGTCTGTATCGTTGCTATGTAACAGAACGAGTGATGGAAGTGTGTCTTCGTGAAAACCCATGAACATATCAGATTTTTTAAATTGCTCGTCTAAATCTTCAACACATGACATTTGTTCAACCCATGATTCTAACTCTTCAATAATTTCTTTTTGGTTTTCATTCAGCACGTCAGAGAAACGAAGTAACTGCTTTTCAAATCTGTTGAGGAATGGCGGATCAGAGTAATCGACTTTGTCCTGATCAACAAGAACAATGCAGCGAAATCCGTCGTTAACATAACACATTGGGTTGCTGTTGGCGCCAAGAGCCACTCGACAGTTCTTTCTCTTCCCAACCACAGAATAATTCTGATTTAACATATCATACAGACTTCCATAGATACATTCAAGATCACGCAATATCAGGATACAATCACGCTCCATGTAAAGGATGATGCGACTTAACATTCTGTAATTGTAGTCATCTGACACATCTTCCTCAAAACGACTTCCAAAAATTGTGATGGTTTCCTTTGCTGACTGTGAGAGATTCTGCTTGAGTATGCCAATAGCTGAATCTCCGTTTGTTATGAGCATCAAATGGCGAGCTTTTAGGTCGTCAAGATTCTCTTGAATAAGTGCAGTGACCGGAATTCTGACGTATTCCCTGCTTGTGGGCACGTGGAACTTTATCTTATCGACAAATATTTGCTGCACTTTGCTGGATTCAGCCGGGATGCCTCCGAAATTCCGGTGTAAGGCCAGATGAATTTTATCCATATCATCACAGCTGTTAGGACCAAGACTTTTGATAAGAGAGTAGTAGTCACGAAGGCCATGGAAATTCGCGTGTCCTTGTTGGGACAGGTATTCATGATAAGATTTGGCGAGACAATTCATCACACTGCTCGAAGAAGTATTCATTTTTTCTGTGGAATTTCGTTGAGCTTGATAAAGGGATATTGCTGTCTCTTCAAGATCCTTAACTGTGGGTTCTGGTCGTGACAAGTGTATGGCTCTGTTCATTTTAGCGGCATCCAACGCCCAATTTGAAATACCAACAACTGCAACTTCTGGTAATTCGCCTTTTCCTGGTTCTAAAATACTGTGCAGAACTTTGAGAGGATTGTTTGGAGAATTTTCTGCCAAACCAACTTCATCAAGAAGAACAACCGGCAACACATTCGCTTCTTTGTTGTGCTTTTTGTAATTTGATGCTTTTTCAAAAATTTTCGTTATTCCTTCAGACGTGGAAGATTCTGAACCTTGATAAGAAACGACGTAGAGCTGAGGTAGGGTCTTAAAGAATGGGTCTCTGGAATCTTTGCCTCGAAGACTACTTCTTATGAGTTGGATTGCCAATGATTTACTGCAACCGGGCTTTCCCACCACGAAAACAGGTATACGGTTAAGAATGGATACTAGCATGACAAAAACATTCTCTCGTAGAGCAGCATTTCTTGCTGTTCCTGAAGGAAGTTCCATTCGATCAAGGTAATCTTCTTGTTCCATTCGAATGATTGCTGAAAATTCCTCAACGCTTACGTTTGCCATTGTTGCAAATACTTGAGTCACACGTTCTTGATAGCGCCTCCTTAATTCGTCAGTCTCGAGTCGTGATAGATAACAATGAGCTAATGCAAGGATGATACTTTTCAAAACTGGTTCGGTATCAAACTGTTGTGCCACGTCACGATACTTCCTAAGATGTTCCTGATATCTATCGCCATCTCTCCTTGAAAAACGCCCCCGGTCTTCTATCATATTTATAAACCATTCCACTAGAAGAACATACCGACGAACATCACGTAAACTTACGCAGTAGGGATTATCTTCAGATTCGCGGATGAACCTTTGTGATTCGGCGATAAGCTCTGCTAAAACGTCCAGATATTTACCAGGGAGCGATTGTATCATTCTTTTGATGTATTCTTTTTCATCGTGAGGTGTCAAGGAACCATAGTCCCAAACATAATCCACCATGGCTTCTGGCAGTGGATGAACACGATACACGAGTTTGGAATATTCGTCCTTCATATTATTCATCTCCAAACCTGCGGTAAGTATGTGATCTTCAGTTCGTCTTTTGTACGGATTACATGCTGCAATGAACACTAAATTGGTAGCTAATGGTTGACCACCCATTAAATGATGACACAGAATCCCATTTATTAGTCCAAGATGACCACATGTGTTAATTTCATCAAGAAACACCCAAAAATTCTGATTAGGGTTCTCATTGGCAGCTTTATCCCGTTCTTTAACGAATTCCTTAATTTCTTCCTCACTTCGTCCTGCATGAATATTAAATGCGAAGAAAGGTATTTCGCAAATGTTTGCCAAATACTTTATCAAGCTCGTTTTGCCACATCCAGTTTCTCCCATGATTATAATAGGAACATTAGCTCTCATTCGGAGTATTATCAAGATCATCTTCAACATGTTATCTGGCGTTAGCGCGTAACCAGAAGATTCATTTTCCAGAGTAGAACCTTCTTCTGCTCCACGCGATTCTGTGCGAACGATTTTCTCCAATTTTTCCTGCAGTTGTTGCTGATTCATCAATTCAAAATCTTCAAGTTCTTTATTGGCTTCCTTAACTATTTGGTTTTTCAGCAGGTCTGAAACTTTTGGTGGGACATCTTCCTTTTTCCTGTAAAACGCTGTTATTGCCTGAGAATTGTTGCCATGAAATACTATCAGAAGATGGTTATTTTGTTCCCAGTGAATCATTTCCTCTACTCTTCCGATCATATGTTCGGCGATTGTGTTGGACTGAGTATCTGCTTCAAGCAGGTGGTATCTTGCGCTGCAAGTATTCAAAGCACGCGCGGCGAAGTTCTTCGACACTTCAAGCAATGCTTCAAATAGATTTCTTCGAACGCCCTTTTGTTTCTGTTCTACCATGTACTTTATATTATGAGTCATGAAAAAGGAGCTTTTTGAAAAATTTCTAAGTTGATTGGCGAGTAACCCCAAAAAAGTGTTTAGGGCGGTAAATGTTGTTTCAGAACTAGTCAAGTAGTACTTGCGAAGTAACTCGTGACACCTGTTAGCTGGAAGTGATTCAACTCTTTGTTGTCCTTTGAAGCGAACATCTGTGGATTCAAGTCGATTTCTGTCAAAAACATCCAGATACTGGCAAACTACCTGAATGTCGCTTGTTGTTTTTTTACTTACTTTCAAGTTCTTATAGTCATCCCATTTTAATTCCTTGCAAGTAAAAGACTGAGAGATTACCAAGGATTCGCAGAGCCGATCATTTAATGAATTAGCGACTTCAATATACACATGAGTGTTGCGAAGACTGTATAACTGGGTTCCACACGAGACCATCCCTGTGACAATTAACTGGAACAAAAATGTGTCCAACAAAATTGGATCATCGACTTCTCCAATATCAAAATGAAGACATTGGAAATTTCTGAGATGAATCTGTTTTAAGCGTCGAATAATCTTGCTTTGGTCAAATTGGCCACTAATGGGAAATGTGACAACATTCATTTCTTTCTCGAGCGCTTCCTCCCGAATGAATTCTGTTTTACCAAGTCCTGGTAATGTTGACGTCACGAACTTCACATCTGGCCATGAAGATCTGAAACGTTGAGAAATTTCAGGATTTGACATTCCAGGAATGCGATGAGAGAACTGTGAGAACTCCTCAATGATGTGATGGTCATCTCCTCCCCGGCAGATAATCGCCAAAAGATAATTTGGGTTATTTTTTCGTTCGGCTTTAATGAATTCTATCAAATTGAACTGAACTTCGTTTTCTAGTAGTTCAACATTTGCAAGACAAAATAGAGTTTTGTTCTGAAAAGGTTTGTTTCTAGCAAAACATCTTCGCAAAAATAATTTGATTTCTCTCCACTGCTTGTTTGCATCACAAAAAATAATTTGATTAAGTTCAGGGTAAGTATTTAGTGTATTTTCATACAAGGAAAGCACGACGTTGATGGTGGGTGCCGTACTATTCTTCTTCAAAGCGACAACATAAAGTTCACCAGGTTGGACTTCTGAGTTTTGCTGATGCTCAAAACAAGATGTTTGGTCTTTCAAAATCGCTCTTTCTGTGGGACGAGTTTTTGCAAAAATTTCATCCAATGCGTTTCCAATTATCAAAATAATTTCATCTGGATTACATTCAGAATTATTTTGTTGATTTTTCGAATGATTTTCTGACTGTTTCTCTCCATAATCTCGTAAATATTGTTCTTCAATATTTGAATCAACAAAACGGATCAATGTGAGGAGGTTTTCAAAATCAACTTCACTTCGGTTCCGATTTGTTAAGAAGTTATATAGCACGCACAGTTGGTCAGACCAGTAATAGTTAAGAAAATGATGTTGCCGGCGAGCATCGTCTAAGCTTTTCTCCCAATCACACAATTCGTCTTGTAGTTCTTTTTTCTTTTCTTGGAGCTCCTCTACACCTGTTAGCGTGACTTTATTCATGGTCTGGTACTTGATATATCCAGACGATAGCAATTTCAGAATCAACTCTTCGATGTCACACAAAATATTGACCTGGTCAATGAAGTCAACAAAGTTAACACGTTGTTCCATACTTTCGTCGTTTTCTGATGAATGTTTCCATGAACGGTCAGGGCTAACGATAAGATGGGCACGGCTGCGGAGATCACGTAGATCTGACAGAATGTAACTAGCTTCTGATTCATCTTTTTTCTTGTACTTTATTTCAATCTTGCAAACGCCTTCTTCCTCAAGAGAAATGCAGGCGTACCCTTTAGTTAAACAATGAGTGATTATCTCTCTTGTGACTTCCCCGCGGTTTGCTACACTATGATATAACTGCTGAAGGCTATGCACATGTGCATTACATTGGTGAATTTTTACTGCCATGTTTTCGTTATCTTCGCATTGATTCTTTATTTCCTGCAAAACGTGTTGAGGTAGTTGATCACCTGAAGCATTATTCTGGCACACTTCAATGACAGGAGCCAGAAATCCGTGCACATGAATAAGTTCTGAAACCAACGACTCCGATACAAATTGATCAGAATGTTCCTCAACAGCATCAATTAGTATGCGGATGTCCACGTGGATGATTTCTTTAAGAAATTCAATCAATTCACTGGATTGTCCTAACACGTCAATAACATCATAATCATTCTCGTTTAGATACTCGCCAATGATTCCCTGAACATCAGCCATTGGCTCGTGTAGTTGTTGTAAGCAAATTGAGCTATCAGGTTTAAATTCTTCTTCGAATTTCGTTAACGTAGCGACCAAATTATTGTTCGGCTTACGAAGTTTAAAGGTATCCAATGCTTTAAACGTGACACAGACATCTTTCTGAACACTTTCGTATTTAACATAATCCAACATATACTGCCTTAAATTATCCGGAATTAATTGGGGGCTTAAATTCTTTTCCAAAATTGATAGTTCCTTCTTTAAGTCCTCCTCATCTCGTATACCTTCTAAAATCTTCATTGTTTCGAACGTTTGCGACTCAGGATCATCGCTCAACTTTTTCCATTTCTCTTTGAACTGTTGGATAGTTTCAGTTGTAAGCAACGTGAATAATAAATATAACGCCTTGGTATCGTCATCGTCGGAGGAGTAAGTGGAAATGTTTTTAACACAGTCTTCAGCAATGTTCCTGAATGACACACTGTCCATTACAGGTTCGAGTTTGGAGGATAGCTCCAATAGCGGTAGAAGTGGTCCCCAGAAGTCATCGTTTAAATCTTTAAGTATTTTAGTTTTCAGGTGCTCTCTTTTTTCATTTAATATTTGTGGGAATTGAACTGAGTTTATCGCTTTTGCAAATTTTATTGCCGATTCCAAGCACGATAATTTTTCGCGGACAACTCTTTCCTTCTCGACTAGATTTTTTATCATGGTGAGATTATGCTGTTGTCTGGAATCTATATTTTCTTGAGGTGTTCTCTGGACCGCGTAAGCCAAAAGCAAGGATAGTTCATTCTCATACTTCGCCACGAGGCTTAAAAATTCTACGGATATTTCTTCTTTTTCCAAACAACTCGCAAGATTTTGCCAGATTCTTTTCCCATTTCGGAATTTTGACTCCCGTTCAAAGTCTCCTACAAAAGTGGCAGGTATTCACTATAGAAGTTACAGTGCGACTCGTAGCAATTATAAGTATAAAGGTTTCTAGACAAAAGCTTTTCTCTTATCATTTAGGGCAAATACAAAAGATTATGCTTCACAGACAGCTATAGTTCTTTTTCAATTATTGCCATGTAGACAAAGATATAATATATAGGAGCAAAACTTTTAATGGATATTTTAAATATCATTCATTCCCTTCCTTACCCTTCATTCTGCTAGAACAAAAACGTATTAAAAATGAGTATTCAAAATGCACCGAAAAAGAAAAGAAAATAAAAAAAGGAAAGACAATAGACAATTGCTTCCTAAGACTAATATCTTTCAGGGTGCTTTGAAATACTCTGATAAGCTGTTTTGTGTAATCTATAGTTTATCAGGTGTCAAGATGACAGTTGATTTGAATATTCGGATCCCTACATACATATTTACCACTGTATATACAAATTACAGAGTGTAAAAAAGTTTACACCAAAGACTTGACGGATACCAAATTTTGAGGGACCTTATCAGTTGATAAAACCTTTCCCGAGTTTGCTTCTTCGCCACACATAGGGTAGTGTTTATTACCGGACCCCCCTCCCCCTTCTATAGCAGTTGATTTGATTCGATGTGAAAATATTTAGTGTTAGAGTATATAAACATGCAGATGGTATTAAAAGTACCCATGTTTACCAAAAGGTTCTTAAATTTAGCTCATTGATTTTAAACTATAGGACTATTTTATAATTGTTCACTTTATACACCCTGTATAGTTTTACCTAACTATACCATATGTTTCAACAAACCAGGCCAATAGCTTTACTCAAAATAAATGAATATATATGCGCTAATGCGCACATGCATGCATATGTGCATATATGTGTAGCTCAGACACTTACTCTCTGTACGAAACAATGCAATCCATATTTCACAATATTGTAGCATGGTCAAAAAATTTTTCTCGGTCGGCGAATACTGCTTCTTTTCATAATTGGGGATTTCCAATGAATCCAACACACATTTGAAAAGTTGACTGCGAAAACTGTAAAAAAAATTAATGTGTTTTTTAACATTTAATTGGTTTTTTATTATTTCGATCATATCTACTGTTGAAATACAGTACTATTTATTCTTCCTAAAACATCGATACTCTCACAAATATCCTCCCAATTAAACTAAAAAAAGTGGCAAATGGCACTTGTTTGGTTAAAAATGTAACGGTTTAAAATAGTAAATTACAGTAACTGGTGAACAGTGCGAAAAAACTCGCTCTGTAACATGTAAAATTGTCTTACAAATTGCTTTTGTTTTAAAGTAGATATGAACATTTTTTTGGGGGCTGTAAAAACTTTTGATCAAGTACTGTATATTGGAAATATAAAAAAATGATTGGAATATTCAGCTTGATGTTGAAAAGTAACTATACATATGTAGCTATAGCTGCATGTGAATTTTTTCTAGTACTTTCAGATTGAACTTAAAGCTTTATGAACAATTAAGCGTTGTTTCTTTTTACTCTACCTTGAATTGTAAAAGTTATTCATTGTTTCTTTCGTATTCACCAGATTGAAATTTTGACGCAGTACTTCGTCCACAAGTTTGAACAAATTACTTCTAACATCCGACGGAAGATCGACGTTACTGATTTCTCCTGATTCTTTAATGATAAGCGCGTAATCTACATTTTCAAGCAACCAATTGCGAACAGTTTTTCCAAGTTCGCTGAACATAGTTTTGTTCTCGCGAACAGGTAGGCATGAAATAAAGTCTTTAAAAAGGCAATGGGCCGTTAACACCATATTTCCGGCTATCCCATGATTCTTTTCATCAGCTGCAGTTTCCAACTTTCTTATCAACCATGACTTTCCAATCGCCACTTTCTTTAAAGGGAGAGATTTCCACTTGGATTCAAATTTCGGGCTCTTTAGAAACTCTAACACCATGTTCTGACGGCGAGGGGAGGACGACTTTGACAGAAACATAAGAATATCATGGGATTGTTCCTTGGGCAGATGTAATGTTAATTGCTGAAAATCTGCAATATCTTCATCTGTAAGGTGCGCATCAGATTTCGCAAACCTCCGAAGATATTCATACAATGATCCCCATTTTAAATTGCGGATTTTCGCAGGTATAATCAGAAGCTTCTTCAATACTTCTCCTATTGTAGAGTTATTTTCATTGCTTTGCAGGCGCTCCAAGTAACAGTCGGCAAAAAATTTTAGCCTTTCTTTCTCAGTGAAAAAACATTTCTTCATATTCTTATCTTCACACAACCTAAACAGATCATGTCCTTCTGGAGCTGACTGAAGCACCATTTTTAGTAATTCTCGAAGAGTTAATTGACTTTTCCAATTGACCTTTTCAATATTAGGTAGTAATAAAGAGAGTAAATAATTGTAATGACTCAGCTCATAGTTTAAGTGAGCCATTTGAAATTGTAAAAGCCGTTTCGTATCGCGGTAATAGGGGTAAAAATATACAACCAAAGTAAGCCATCCAGGGTAACTGCAGTTTTCTACAAGAATACGAGACAGCTGTTCTAATGGTTGACAGAACGAAAACGACATGTTAAAACAGTTATATTTTGCACACTCTGCTAGGCATCCGAGTAACTTGTCGAAAGCGCATTTTACTTGTTCCGATTGAGGTATTTGTAATCCATAAGGGGGCATTAAATGACCTAATACATAACATAAATACAATCCTTGCATAGGATGTAAATGATCGAGATTCGTGCAATCGATAACCCATTGAAGAAGTGTGTCGAACTGTTGAGCATCCAATGTAAGTTTTGGTATTTGCCGAAGAGCATGATTGATGTCTCCATTCATATTTTGGGTCGAAAACCAAAATTTCAGTAAAGGGAAAATTCCATGAACTCCAATACCATGTTCGTTCGTAGTATACTAGATGATGAAAAGTATAATTTAAAAATGGGCATCTTAAAACTCCCACTGACTTAAGGCCCGGTTATACACGGTGCAATTTTTCTTGCAACTTGCAATGCAATTCTTCTTTTGAGAGATGTAGATTTGGCAACTACCGAATTTTTATCTTTATTATATACTCCATGCCCTTTTTTTACTCTTACCTTTTGAAGACTCTTCACTAATTTACATCTCTTAAAAGTAGAATTGCATTGCAAGTTGCAAGAAAAATTGCACCGTGTAACATGGCCTTTGCCCTTTAGGTACGACAAAATGTGGATTTAATTGACAGACTGAACGAATCTGTCGGTGAAGTTGACTGTAATTAAGTTTTAACATGGCTGCATGCGATATTTTTTATTTGAAATATACTGTATCTATTGGCCTTACTCAATCTGTATAACTTGAACGCTAATTCCAAATATACGCATGCATGGGAATCCTGCAAATACGAAAACGCTTGATGGTAACGTACATGCAAACTCGAAGTTAAATTACGCATTTCTATAATTTGTTTCGCTGTTCTTCGCTCTCGCTCAACATTTTCCTGGTTTGGCACATTTTTGAAATCATTTTGGTTGCATGTCCTAATTGTACGAGCAACATTTCGCATTATTATTTCTTATTTACTAATTTAGCATATAAAAAGTGCTTTTTCGAGATTCCTTGAGACATAATCGTCAATGCAGGCATTAGAGATTCTTGTCAAAACACAATCCTGCCGGTCTTATTTTGTACTTTTGCCAGTATTTTCGTTTACCTTTCTGGCCTTTTTTAGTTTCTACAGCGCTGTTTAGTTGGCATATGCAAATAACTAACCAATTCATTTTATTATGCTAATAATAAATATCTTCAAATTTTTGGTCCAGTTATATTTAATATATTATATTATGTTAAACGTATTTCATTAGTAAATATATAGGCCAACAGCGTAACATATAGGGTATTATTGTGGTATATGATATTATATACATGCTTAAAAATACACTTATCTTAAAAATGCTTAGGTTGCTGCAATGTTATATAAACAGGATTTCACAACATTTTAGTGTCCATATTATTCACAGTGGTCATCAAATTCAGCTTCAAACACAAATAAATTTAACAACTGTACCCTATTGTGCATGCATGGTAGGCCCATCACCTTGAATGCATATATTTACTGCGCCGCCCTTTCCATGCAGTTTATGCAAGTTTTGAAAATATTTTTGAATTTAAGTACCTGTTGGATATTTCCTTTCACTTGGAAGGGATATTGCCTTTCACTTGGTCGCTGCTTTTCATTCAAAATCACTTCAGGAGGAATATGCATGTGAGATGTTTCTGTATTTGACGCCTGACCCACGTTTCCCTCATGAAACTGCTGTTTATCCGCTGTGCATTTTTGACGCTTTGGAGCAACTTCTTCAAACGATAACAGCCGTTTTCTCCCCCTGTCTGTTTCGTGAGTCTCTTTTTGGGATGACATTTTACCATTATGCTTATTTTTTCCTCTGTTTTTCTTTTTTTTACCTTTCTTATTTTTCCCCATGATTTTTAGCCCTGTTGATATATACAAATAAAACACTTCTCAATATAAGCAAGCAAATACTGAATCACTAAATACTAATTCCGTTGGTCATACATATATGGAAATTGTAGGAAAATATTTTTCATTATAAAGAAAATCTTTTCAGGACGTGATGTATTATTTCAATCTCTCGCGTGCAGGCATTTTTGTATTTGGCTTGACGTACAGGAAAATGCTAAGCAATCTTGTAGTCATAACTAGAATGGTCTTGAACATTTCTAAACTCACAATCCATGTTCTGTTTTATAGTTTAAAACTTCTTAACCGCGGTGTTTGACCGCGCTACCTATACGCTACCCACAAAATTGAGTGCGTTATGGTTTCTAACAAGAACCACTTCCGTTAAATTACTTGGAATTAGTCTTCCTAGAATTCACTTCAAAGAGCGAGCCTAATTTAGAAAGTATACATATATATTATTATATATATAACCAAAGAGCAGCGTGGCAGTGTCTTCAAACAACTGAGCATCAAATGTAGTATAACAACTGCCTAAATAGACAAAACATTTAGGCAGTTGTTATACCACATTTGATGCTCAGTTATATAATATATATGTTAATTAGTTCGTATATAATTTCGATAAACGTACTAAACCCTCATGAAAAACAGCAATGCTCATGAGGCTAGCGTGTTTAAATAAAGTATTATGTGTGTAGGTTATTTTATATAGTGACTTAAACAAGCACTCAAACAAGTATGTTATGAATAGCCGAAGCGCGTCTCCTATTATTTGAGTAGCAAAGATATTTTCGTAATTTGGCAGACAATTGCGAAACTATGCATGCAGATGGTTGTGTACACTTGACGTGGAAAAGGTAAAATAAATGGAAGTAAAGCATACAGTTGTTTGATTTGTTTCACATAGCTACGAACTCGCTCTTGTCTTTATTAAAACGTGCCATAAATGTTCTGTTAGGAATAAAGTAAGAAGCAGGCTAAATTGAAAATAAGCTGGGTTTACAATAATTATATATATATATAGTTTATAATTATATATAACATGATGATGCATAACATGAGTTTCCATACGAAAAGACATACCTTTTCAACTGATTTCTTTGTTAATGACGCCACATTCCAACCAAAACCATTACCAGTTTAACTGAAGACTCTATCTACTTGTAGGGCGTTGTTTGCAATGTGAATAACGTATCATATTACCAGCCGCCAAATTCCGGTATAAAGTCCCCACTCAGGCCACTATTATATGAGTAACTTTCGTTTTGCCAGGTTCGGTGCATGCCAATCCACTGTCATTTACCGTGATACCTTAAATAATTGTCGCTGCATGGATGTATTGTTGTAATTTTAACCTTGGAGGAAATCCCACTGAAATAAAATCTTACTGAATAATTTATATGCATATCAATTGTCCCTCCCTGCATGTATAGTGATATTTGCATATATACAATTACCTGCCCTATATATAGCCGACACCATCTGTAAGCTGTTGTGCTTCAATCTTCATAATAGAAGTTATTCATTTTAGCGAAAGAAACAGAAGAAAAAATCACGACACTGAAACTTAGGTTAGCGAACATAAGTACATAATTTTATTTCAAACGTTTTGCGGGCAAGTTGAAGCGGAATCTTTTTTTCGTAATACAGCATCATTCGCGACGCTAAGTCTGTACGACACTTCCGTTGAATTACTTGGAACTTTATACGATCTTTCTAGAATTAGAATTGATTGGATTGTGTAATGAACTGTAGTTGCATTGTTGAAGCCGAAGCTTAACTTCATTTATTGTGAATTGGTGTACATCTCTGGACAAATCTGACTTGAAACAAGCTGAAAATCATGAAATGTCATCTGTGCAAAGAAGACAAGCTTTCCAAAGAGTTTCCGTTTTATAGTCTGACTGATGATTGTAATCACGCATTACTTCATTGCCTTGATGTGAGTATTTCACTTTCAGTGGCCAATTTTATCAAATAACTTACCACCTAGACTTATATTTTACAGTATCTTTAATTTTGTATTCGGTTATGTTATAACCTTTAGTTAGCAAGGTTTAGTTAAAGTCAGGAAAGTGGAATTATCATTAATATGTCGATGCTGTATGCACTAAGCTTTCTCATGCCAAATATATTATGAACAATTTTGACGTTGCCACAGGAAAGAAACTGGGAAAGCTTAGCAAGATCGCGATGTTTTATAAAATAGATGCTGCAAAGTCAACTTCAAATTTGCTAGCTATTTTTCTTAAGACAGCCGGATTTATTCTCGATAAATTCATTCCAAAAATTTTGAATGGAGGTATTTGCATTAATCGGTCCACCCCTGCATGTGTTGCATTTCCTGTATAGACTAAAACAGAGCAAGACAATTCGGGGCAATTTCTCTTTTATGAGTTTCTTCATCGGATGTTAAAGCTATATATTCATATAATTTTTTTGACCGCTCTGCTTGTTGGAGTTGTTGAGACGACAACTGAAGCGGCGTATGCTGTAATCGTCGAGTATTGTATTAGACTACACCCCTCTATAAAGGACAAGGTATTAAAGTTGGGACTACTTTTCACTGCACAATTGAAAACTTGGCGCATATAAATGCAGAAATCTCTTTCGTTATTAGACAAAGTTTTTCTTGTTATTGAAAGTCTATAAGAAACGGGTTCCTACGGAACTGCGCGAATGTTTTCACTTTTTCTCAGGATATATGCATGTGCATGTAAAGGAGAGCTAGCGCTTTTAATTTCTCAAACTCAGATTAATGATCAACATATAGAGTATTCTTATAAACAAATTTTCCACGTCCCTGCCTCCTCAATGTGACAATGTGAGACTTCGAAATTTGGGTCTGTTATGTTTTGCAGTTGGGCTAAATTTATATATAACACTTGCAAACTCGCGGATTCATGAGTTGGACAATTTGAGAAAATTTTTATTCTCAAGATCAATCGTGCACTTTTAATCGTGAACTCGAACTTAGTTAATCGACATCTCGGAATTTTGGATCCCCATTAACATTTTTCTCCAAACAAATAAAAAACGTAAAATTATCAGGTGTTCAGTGCTTTTTATAAGCAAAGCAAGCCCAGGTATACATTGACTCATTTTCATTTTGTTTTAGTGTTCAATTTCATCCGTCAAAAACTCCAACAAATGTTCGCAGTGCGACAGTTTTGTGGATGAAAATAATAAACGATATCAACAATATCTGAAGACGATGAATTTCTTGTTTCCAAATGAAGAAGAAGACGAAGATAATAATTCCATTGTGGAAATGGATATTGCAGAAGGAGAGATAAAGGTGATCACCTTGTCTGGGGAACATGCAATTCTGAAATATCAACGACGAAAGACGATTCGTGTTGTCAAAGAAGAAGTCGAGAGAGAATTGAAAACTCCCCCAGAGAGACAACGCCTGCTTTATCAGGAGAAAGAGTTGAAGGTATTTTTGCTATGGTATTTATCTTTGAAATTCTAAGGATCTAATTAAATGCTCTCTCTATACCCACTCATATATCGTATTTTTAGTCTCTAGTCGCTATATCCAAACAACCAAACGCTCTTTATGAACTTCTCATCAAAACAAAAATCGTCATTTGCGCTTGTGACTTATTTTGTTCGTACTACGACGGCAAAATGTTTTTTTTAGTCTAATTGTTAAATTATATATAGAAACCTCAAAAACCTGACCAATACGAATTCCATGTAGAGAATGGCTTAATTTTAGATTCTAAAATGATTCGCATCTTCTATACTATTTCAGATGAAAGATGAGAATAATAAGGAATTGACACTAGAAGATTTCAACATACCACCTAACGCTACTCTCCAGCTCATCATTAAACTATGTGATGTTCCTGATGATCTGGAAAAGCTTGTTTTTGATTTTTGTTGGGGTTTGCCAAGTGGTACGAGGAAAGACTATCTGGATGTTGCAGTTTTTGTTTATACCGGACGATCTTTCGTTGAAACAATATACTATAGTAATACTTCAATATCGGAATGCCCTGGCGTGATACATTCTGGTCCGGCTGATATGGACTACGAAAAACGAGAGGGGCATCACAGGGTTGATATCGATTTAAAATCAGTTCCTCGACACATTGATAAACTTGTATTTACCTTAAGCGCTTGGCGTTCATCTAATATCGGGAAATATCGTTTTCGCCGACTTCGTTTTTATGATGTTAACAATCCCGACGTGGAACTATGCAGCGATAATATGGACACTGCGCTGCACAATGAGTCCATAGTTATGTGTTATTTAACAAGAAAAGGAGATAAATGGACTGTCCTAAGTCTCAAGCATGGTGCAGAAGGAAACACCAGGTCTTTCCACAAGACTTACTGTCCACTTCGAGAAGACATTCAAAAGCTGATAAATCGCGGATTTATCAGTTAACCATATCCACAAAAGGAACTTCTATGTAGTTTTTTATCTAGCTTCTTATCGAGTAAAGTGATCGAAATGAAACAACTTTCATTAGTTACATATATATAGATTTGCTTTTTAAGGAAATTCATGGAGATATTACTTATTTAAAATCGGTACATTATTTCTGGATGTTTAAAAATTGATCAATCTATAACCATGCATGCTATAGTATGTATCGTATATGTATCAAAAATATTATGCAATAGAAAAATTCACGATTCTAAGGACCTTACATGCAATAAGTCCATATGTAATATTCTAATGACTTCGTTATCGTTTTTACCTCATGTTGCCAGTCTGATAAATCTATTACAGAATTCTCAGCTAATAAGAAATTGTACGTTGAATCTCTGACTTTGTGCTGTTAGTTACATTTCCTTTTTATTTAGAATATATGAATTAATTATCACAATTTGTCTCTTTCAGCAATTAAAACAAATTGTCTTTTATCAATGTTTCTATTTCCCGCTTTATGGGACCATAATTTCTTGTAAACCCGCTGCAACCCACCTTCATGTCTATTACCTCCCATCTGCCGTTATTTTTCGACAAACAACACATGATAATGGTCTTATAATCTTTGAGATGGACGTCAACCTCGTCGTCACACAATTGTTGGTCAGGAGAGTTGACATCATAAAAATTGAGCCTGTAGTAGGGATATGATGAAACATTGGCCGAAGCCCAAGCACTTAGTGTAAACACTAATTTATTAACATTATGTGGAACAGACTTGAGGTTTAACTGGACTTGATGACGACCTTCCCGCTTGTAATAATACATTTTTGCAGGACCTGAGTGTTCGACGCCTGGACAGTAGTCGAGATGACGATTAAAGTAATTGATGACGCCAAGATTTCTCCAGTCGCTGTAAACCAGAACGGAGACATCTAAGTAATCCTTGTTGCGTCCGTGAGGCAATCCCCAGAAGAAATCAAAAACAGCATTTTCAAGATCGTCTGGAACTGCACATAGAACAATAATGAGGTGCAATTTGCTTTCTGGTGGAACTTTGTGGTCTCGCAGCGTAAGCATTTTACGATCCTCGTTTCTCACCTAAAAATACACATTTGTGAAACTTATTCATAGTTTCATACACTCTGTTTTAAAACTTAGTTAACCTAAAAAAAAACACTGTAGACATGGGCCTCTAATGAGTGTTCGTAGTTTTGGTGCCAATTTTGCGAAATAGTGTCTAGAATTTTCCCCAAACATTTCTACCTTCTTCAACAACAGTACCTTCAACTCTTTGTTTTGGTAAAGTAAACGTTGTTTTTCCGGAGGCGTTTTCAGCTGGCTTTCCACTTCTCTCTTAATGTCCAGGATCTTTCTGTGGGGAGTATACGAGAGAGTTGCTGACTCACCAGAGATGGTTGTCACGTAAATATTTCCAGACACAGCAGCTGTACATTGTGCCTGGTGGTAACCATCGTCCTCACTCTCCACTTCAGGAGGGAAGAGGAAATCCAGTGTTTCTAAATACTCCTGATATATCTCATTGTCTTCTCTCACCGGAGTCTCACACTGGGAGCATTTGTTGCGTTTCTTCACAGACTCTGTGGCACACTTGAAATGTCGTGAGAGTTAGATAAGGGACGTGAAGTATATATGGTGACATGTAGTCAAAAAAGCTTAATTTAACTGATTTATTTTCTTCACTGTTGAAATTTTGCTTATAAATATATGAGTATCGATAGAACAAGTCAAACAGACTTTGGAGACCCGGTGAAACGCTGAGAAAAGATCGTTTGCACTTACGCTCAAGCATGCCTGGAGCCAGAAAAAATGGTGTAGCAAAACCCAAATCATCATCTATATCTCATTTTACAGACCTTTACTCCCGGCATAAATTCCATTTGCCATTTTGCCAAAAACAAAGTCTTATAAGTCTTAACTGAAATATGTCATATGAGGGGATAATTGCATGCATTTAGCTATGACCTATGTCTAAACTGCATGACAACATGTATGCTAGCTGACGAACTTACATATGCAATTTTGGGCTCACTGTAGCTGGCAAAATGTCTTGCATGGGGTGCAAAAACAAAATAAAGTTTAATGCATGCATGGCATATCCGTGATTCTGTAATTGTCTCTCTTTTAACAATAGGGACCTTTAAGGTGGTTTTCCACTAGGCGAAAAAGTTCGAGCGGAACGAAAATTTTCGACGGCAATTCCTACTGCACATGCGTAATACATGCTTGGCAATTTCGACTGCGATACAATTCTCTTCGCCATGTAGTTGAAATCTCGGCGACTTTTTTCGATTTAGGCAAGCATGTAGGACGCGAACGCGACGACGACGGCTATCAATACAATTGAAAAGCAATGAATAATTAAAGACCCATGATGGTTTTAGACGTCGTCTTCGTTTTGTTTATAACGCGAACACGTCGTTTTTTATGTCTTGCCTAGAACGGTTGCCTTTCAGGACCCAGCGAGCCGCCGAGCCCTACCTCGAATTAGGCTCTATAGAATTGTCCTTGAACTATATCTCACTAAATCAGTACAATTAATAATATACAACAACCACTTTTCCATAGCATTTAATAAAGGAGAATTTCAGCCGCGTCGTCGTCGTGTTGCCGTCCAATAAGCTTAACGGGTCCCTTTAATGTTTACAAGACGCCTTTATCACTACAAACGTGTACTGGTATGTTAAACTCAAAATACATAAGCTTAAACTCTACCATAGTCCATACAGTTAAACTCTCTGTAAACGTATTGTGTCTGTGTATTTTTATACTGAAACAAGTTTGAGTTTTATATTTTATGTTCACAAATGCAATATGCGGCAATCGGCATATTATTTATTTGGATGAAGACAAACAAATTAAGTCAAGTAAAGAATTGCGTTAGATAATACTATATTGCAAAGTAATAACAGGCTGTACAACACAAAATAATCCCAGCTATACATTTTTGTATATGTAAAGTTTACAACACATTATATTACGTGCAATGTAAAAGTATTCTTGTATACTTACATCGAGGCAGTGAAGTAATGGATGATCACAATCCTCAGTCAGGGGATAAAATGGAAATTCTTTTGAAAGTTTATCGTCTTGGCAGCTATGACATTTCATGATTTCGTCTTTAAATCGACCTTTAGGATGAATACTAAAATCGTATTTGATTTATTTAGTTATTGCAACTAAACTTGCCCTCTCTGGGCAAACGCATAAATCGAAGTATACTTCAACGGAAGTAGAGACCTGCATGCATAACAAACAATTTACCAGTTTGGTCTAATTATGACGTTTATAAATGTATGGAGATTTGATACACTGCTAGTTCCAATGAGAAGGTAAAAACAGGATAAAAATACACAATATAGACCATAGATATAATAGATCTATGATACAGACATACGCTGTATCGTCTGAATATGTAATTTGATAACGAAACTAGACTAGAACTACTTCATTTCTGGGAAGCGTGTATTGTTATTCCTGGAAGTGTTTACGCATGTTGCTATAGGCAAATACAGGTATATATAAAGAAGCCAATTGTGAAACCAACATTTATTACGTTTTTCCAGCGGGACGGTTATACTTTTATCAAAGTTGAACAAAAGTATGGACAAAATGTGATTAAACTTCATTGGGGGAACATTATACAGTAATAAGGTAACACTTTTTGAATATCGAAACCCGATTTGTATTATTGTCGTTGGTGTTGATTACAATCGTCAGTTTACAAGCAGAGCATTGTATCAGAGTTATATTGGATTGCTTTTTTGTTATATTTTATTATGCGGGTGTTGTCATAGGGATTTTTTTATATTTCATTATTCATATTTCACTGTACGTACGTCGATCCTGCAGTATACAGAGCCAACGTTTCACTAGTTTTTAGGTTTCGAAATGATAATCGCAGTTTCAGTTTGAAGGGAGGAGCTAGGCCGGAAGAAGCAAAGAGAGCATTATTATTTCATAAATATTATTACGCCAACCTGACGACAGTCAAACCTAATAGCGTAGTTAGTACTTGCTGGTTTTAATTTTCATGCTATATTGAGAAATATAGCAGAACAACCTAATTGTACTCCACTTCAAATTGGTAGTTTTGAAAAGCGAAACTATGTCGCCCTGCCTGAATGATCTCAAACTTCGGCCTTCAACCAAGTAACGCGCGGAATATTTTATTTCAGCTTAAAATCTCCGGCAAAATACGTTTTAATCAAATGATACATTTTTCAATTAAAGTATATATACTTATAGCTATTATAAATTCAATTGCATAATATTATATAGTGTTCAAGCTTTTTGGTGGAGGGCGGTCCAGATTCGTGTTGTTTTGTGGGCGATTTTTGACGTCGATTTTCTTCTCTTGGTGTATGCTATTAAGTAAATTTACCAGAGTATGTTACTTTACTTCGCCCAGCTTATACAACTGCGTATATAATTCACACAATAACATACGCTAGAAAGACAAAATCGCCGATGAAAATTGCCCGTGTATAGCCGCTGCTATAAGACCGACAGATTCTCCTTCAAAGTGATTGTTTTCACGGTATGTAAACATGAAGATAGGAATAAACATGCAACCTCCTGAATATGCACCCGACGACTGGAGAAGAGTTTTCACGCATCAGCCATGATTACGCTCAATAAAATAGTCTATTTCTCTATAGGATTCCATTTTCCTTGCTTGAAGATAAAAGGAATCCCACAATTTGGAATGCATGCAGTACTGCATGAACCCAGTGGCGTAGCAAGCCTGACGATTTAGTCATGCTATGCAAATTTTATGTTATAATTATTCATTTCTTTAGAAATTCATTGTTTTCACCGTCGATGATCACCAAAAAATCGTACGACAAAAATCGCGTCGTGTGCGCTAAAGTCGTCTGTCCTTTGCTTGTTTGACCAATTACGGACCAAAGGCGGATTTCCAATCAGTGCAAGATGTCGCGATCGATTTAAAAGCGATCGCAAAATTAAAAATCGATCGCGCGACATCTTGCACTGAATGGAAATGGTAGCCGCTTAGATGCTTTATAAATGCTTGATATAGTTTCACTTCAAAAAGTCAACAGGCCATTTCGTATCCTTGATTGCTGAATCAGATGTTGTGCGTGCGTCGTTGAAGGTAGTCTCCCGTCCTTCCATAAAAATCCATACTTGTAATTTCACAGTTTTCTCTCGTCAGTCACTCAACAGCGAAGCTCATGTGCCAGTCAATAATAAAACTTGTTAAAGGGGACATTTTCGTCTCGGCAAATCAGATTCGAGAGTCATATTTCATGTTATGTTTTAGGTCAAATTACGATGGGCAAGCCTAAAGGTGGCGGAAAACCTAAATCAAAGGGAAAGAAAAATCAAGCGAAAAAGAAACCTGAGAAGAAAAAGAAAGCAAAGGAGAAAGAAAAGAAGGGCGATCATAAGGAAGATGTTGATGTTGGCCAGTCTTCTCGCGCTGAAGATGATAATTCAACTGCAGCTAAAAGTGAGAAATCTTTAAGTCAGAAAGAAAAGCGGAAATTAAAGAAAGAGAACGCTAAGAAGTCAAAAGACCTTTCAAAGGATTCGCATGAGTCAAGCAGAACTGACAGCCAGTCAAAAACCACAGATTTCGAGAACTCTATTTCAAGCAGCAATCAGTTATCACCTCAAACAGGACAATCAAGATCAAATGATGCTAAGGAGCTGGAGGGAAAAGAAACAAGCAGTAGCGGTGCAGAATCATCTCCGGTATCCAGTGGTGACAAATTACAAAAAGTAATGATTTAGTTTCTACACTTGTGTATCAGAGATTTCATAAGAACTGGAGTCACCGCCTGTCATACGTGATTGATCTAAAAGCTCACGTACACTAGTATTTCACAATGCGGCCGTTCCATGATAGCGTCTCCAGAAGCTTGCCTTTCAGTATTCCCCCCTAATTTTCCCGATTCCGTGCTTTTAAATTCATCATCTTTTTTATAATTACGTATTTCTTTACCTGACGCTTTGATAAAACGACTCGTTCCATTAATAATCCGAGATCGCCTCACGGATGAATGGCCACAATTTTTTATGATCACGTTTGTAATTAGATAATAATCCTTAGATTAAGTTTAATTGAACTGAGCACTCGCCTTTTTTATTAAACTAGGCTGAAAATGTCTCAAAGGAGCCCACTCTGGAAATTTTTTTACTAAAGCCACACGAAGCTTTGACTTCGATATCTGAAGGCATGAATGTTTCTTCGCTGCTGGCACGAATTGAAAAATTGGGATTTTCATCACTAAATGAGAAACAAGTTGAACGATGTATTCAATGGATTATTGAAAAATCGATCGAAACATCTCTAACAGAGCAACAAGGACTGTATCTTTCTGCGGTCTCAGGTAATCTTGCCATCACCACCTCCTCCCGCGTAAAGCATTTTGAATTGCCAAAGAATGAAACCACCACACGGGCCTGTGACAGTCTACTTCGGTGTCTCGTAACGTCTCTTAGAATGAAATTATTCATTTCTCCAAAATGCACCGATCATTTGAAGGCAATTGCCCCAGTCTTGATCGAAAACAGTACTTCCTCTGGATGGTTGGGTTTTGCTGCAAATCTTCTTCCATTATATGGAATAAAAGATATTAAAGATATGGATATACCATCACCTGATTACCAACAGGATGACTACATGCAATTGTTCGACGTGTTGCTATCACACGAGATGCTGAACATCAAGAAGGCTCCAGAAGAAGACAAGCCCCATTACCAACCGCTGCTGACACGAATTCTAAAGCATTGTCCTGACGAAGATACCCTTTTTAAAGTATTCGCAAGTAAAGGAATTCAACGCTTTTTTTATCAGCCGGCAAATCAATATAAGTTCTGTGCTAAGTATTACGAGGACAATATCCTTACTAGTAGCGAAGAAAATGTTAACATCAGTGAGATACTCCACCGGCTGTATAATCTCCCAAAAAGCCTTCGCGTTCACATGTCGTGTGATATTCACGAATATCTTTTGAAATTTTTGCAAACTGTCAAGAATCCAACCAACGTTGACTTGCAAAACTTTCTAAATATACAAATTTCATCAAAATTGAAGCAAGATCAAATTCTAACAATCTTAAACAAATTGTCCACGTCAGAGTCATTGCCACACCAGGAACTATTGTTGAATCTTTTGAATGATGACGAATTTAATTGGCAGTGGTCACAAGTGCCGACAACCATGAAAGTAAAAGTTTGTGAAGCATGGATTAGAAGAAGTGCATGTGTCAGTGACGGAAAGAAAATTGATGTCATGAAGGCATTTGAGACTACAGGAATATTTATATCATGCAAACTTTGTAACAAAAATCTTCGTGAAAAATTGCTGCTATCTACTCGTAAATGGCTGTTTGAAAGCGTTCAAACCGAGGTTATATTTAACGGATTAAAAGACCTTGAAAAAATTCGGCAATTTGACGTTCGTGAAAGCTGTATTCGTCTTGTCGAGGATGTAATTCGTAAATGCTTGTCCGTTGTTAACGACCAAAGGCTGCTAAGTCAGTTTTCTCACTCCAGGTAAGACAATTTTTAGTATTTTGAAAGGAGGCTTTTAATTTTCTTAACAAAATGTTAAAAGTTTTTTTGAGAAATAGCGTTCTCAATAGCATAGTTCTACGTGCGTAGTTCACCTCAGTATTTATAATATAACATTTATAGTACGCGCGTGCTGATTGGTCGAGAAGCGTGTTTCTATTTAACAATTAGACAACGAGTCCGAGTTGTCTATGAGCGAATAGTCAACGAAGGCGAAGCCTGAGTTGACTATTCGCTCATAGACAACGAAGGCGAGTTGTCTAATTGTTTTAGTATGCACCCTGTACCTAGGTACATTAATTTCGAGAAAATAATCGATACACCGCATTTACACGGAAAAATAATTCAATTTTATACGGTCGCGCGAGCGAAATTTTTCCCAAGCGTGCACCATCACGAATAGACAATGGTTGAGTAGCCAATCAGAATGTAGGATTTGTAATAGACGATAGTCGGGTGTATACTAAAACTGTATAGAAACGCGGAAAATGTTTTCTATTTCTTAATTGATATGTACCGCAACTTTTGACTTTCTAAAAAAACTTTTTGTCCCTTTCTTGCAATATAGCTATTCCCCACGCATATTTTTTTGTGTGTTGGCTAATTTACCAATTCCTGACTCAAGGAGTGAGCCTGATGCCGAAGAAATTTTTTCCAGGATGTTCCGATGGTGTGAAATTTGGAGTACGTTGTTGAGAGCTCAAGGTATTTGGGATTTTTTCAGAGGATTTAAACTGGATAAATATGCTTTGAAGTAGCTGCAGGAACTAGAATATACTCAATATCTATAATGCCTGCGTTTAT